CGGCCGTAAACCGAGACTGGTTTGGAGCACAGTAAAACGGGGAGCCATATACTGTGAAATCTTGACCGTATACGACGCAAATGTAAGCATCGTACGGTCCGTAATACTGCGCCCATTATACGGTCCGTATTGTTCGACCTGAGTAGCGATCTATTCTTAAGGATCGATTTCGATTGATCGATTAATTATCGGAATGATTCATTATCTTAGATCAGCTGTAGATGAATTGACTATAGTGGCTAACATCTGTTGATGACGTCACTTTAATTATCTCGCAACAGATTTCTTTCATTTTCGTCATTTTGGAAATAAATTTCTGAGACAACGGAACTTCAGATTGAAGATTCGAAAACAGGTGTTATAAGTTCGACCTCGATACTTTTATCTGACGTTTTAACTACTTTTCTACGATTTTGTATTCTCGAGATCATCGCGTCACAAAGCGACGGAAAACATGCGTACGCCGAGAAAGCAAAAGAAAACACACGACGGACTACATAGCTTTTGTAACATTTTCATTTCTATTTACCAGAAGCTTCACAAATTTTTTAACAAGTGATTGAAATTTGGACATATTCAATTAAGATTTAATATAGATGATTTTCACATATACAATGCATATCATTTTATTATCGGTGCCTTGTATTTTTTTATCTGTTCTTTTAGAGCAAAATAGAATCATCGTTTTGCTTTCTAATGAAATAGAGTGATGCAGAAGAAGTGTGTAGCGGTCGTTAATAAGTTTTGAAGTCAATTTTTATTTATTTTTCATTATTCAAAATTAAATAGACTGACAAGACTTGTATTTATCAAGCGATGAAATGTGAACTATTATTTAAAATTATACGTTTATTCAGCCGAAACCGTTATTAACTAGGTAGGATATGAGTAAAAACATGGAAATACGTCTGTCAATTTAGTTTTTCATTATATTTATATCTTAACTTTGTAAAAATGGCAGCGTGGAGCCTATCTCAGCATCAGAGTCTGAAAGAGCAGACTGATAAAAACAACCCATTGTAAGTGTTAGACAAATATTTATCTCATCTTGTCAGTAACAAACAAGTAGGAATGAGCTCGGATGTATATTTTTTACAGGTTTCCTACACACGCACTTTTATTATAATGTTCTTCATTAATTATCGATCATTTTACATGATCGTTCAGTAGGTTATATCGCGTAAGAGATAAATCATGTTCCTTTGATTGAGACTACTAGAAATATAATCTATAAATGAATTTTTATCAGACTTCTTCTAAACTATTGTTAGGTAGTGGCGCTATCTTTAGACCACTACCTTCCTTTTCTTTTCTCTACTCTATCTTCTATGGATTGGTCATCGGGATGATCCATAAGGATATGTGTGGGTCAGTTTGTTTGTTTTAGTTCAGTTAAAATAAAGATAGAACCAGGAGAAGTTAGTCCACAGACTAACAACTATATTCCTAGCCAACCAAAATCTATGAATCATACTGCAAAAAAACGCATTTTTTTAAGCAGACAAAAACTTTCACGAAATCTGAAAGGCGTATCCTCTACTGCATTATAATATTTATATTCTAGATTACGTGTCATTTTCCGAGTGTTCAGCTGAGTAAGTCTCAGATCTGAGCAGCCAGCTAATTTGTTTTTAAAAATCTAGTAGAAACAAGTCACTTGATATGTCCGCTAGTAACTACGACGGGAAATCCAAGTTTACATGTAAATGCGGCCGCCAGTATGACAATGAAATAGCTTTAGATCAACATAAGGTCAGAAAATATTAACAATCATTGATAAATCTGGTCAACTTGTTCTAGGCAACGAGCTGTGAAAATCAAGATCTTTCTTGTCCATTATGTGAGGAATCTTTATCAAGCTCAATTGATATGCGTATACATTTGTTTCGATGCGGTGCCAAGACTGAGAAGTGTCCCGTATGTCAAAAATATATCCACAGAGCAATCTACAACTTTCATGTTGAGAATAATTGCATCGATTTGGATGAAGATGAACCAAATGGAAGTAATGTCAACACAGGTAATGCAATATTTCGAATAGCTAGTATTGGAATTTATTGACTTTATATATTGCAGAATATGATCCACTCAATAGGACCGTGAGTATAATTCATCATTAGATAAGATCGATTGTGATTATGAATAGTAACATTGATTCAACCGTGCTTTTGTTATTTTAGGATAGAACACAAATTGAATCCCGTAATGAACCATCAGATAATATAACTCCATTTTTTGAACGATTAGAATTAAATTTTAATGAAGAATTAGTGAACACTACACCGCAGCAGGCAATGCACAATAGAGTAAATGCGGTTTCATATTTGCATGGGAAAGCTTCTCAAATACAGGAAAGTTTGTCTCGAGAATACTATCCAATCGAGGTGAATCATGTTGCCGAAAAACTTGAATTTAATATTATTCTTATTGGGTCGCCACGTGTTGGTAAAAGTGAATTTATTAATGCAATATGTAACGGCGAGAAGAAAGCTGAAACAAGTCCTAGTTTGAATTCTTGCACTAAAGAAGTGACATGTTACTTTTTGGAAGATAATCAAGAACGAATGCCTGGTATAAAACCATTTCGGATTAATTTTTACGACACACCAGGTATTGAATCGTGGACTAAGCAAGATGGAAAAGCAACGATGTTGAAATTTATTGAGGACAAAGATCCAATTTGTGTTATTTATTGTGCTGCACCGGGATCATTCGCTGATTTGCCACAAGTTCGTCCCGTATTAGAATTTTGTCAAAAGAAAAATATCTTCTGGGCTTTCGTTTGCACAAATATGTGGTCGAGTGTTCATCGTAAAGAAGTCATTGAAGAGTTTGAAAAGGAATTAGCTATTTTTGGCGTTGGAATCGAAAAATCGTTTGATCAATCACATTCTCCTATTCCTCACAAAGTAACAGTGTTTGGTAGAAGTGCACTTTGTACAATGGTGAATTCAATCGAATACTACGATCCTGAATATTCACCAGAGAGAAAAACAGTGCAAGGTATTGATGAACTCATTCATTGTATAATGGAAGCACTCGATGATGAAAAACTACTTGGTTGGTGTAATGCTGTTCTATACCGACGCAGTTTTTGGGAAAAGTTGGGTCAAAACTTGAATGGTTTCTTTTCGATTCGGATTAAAGATATACAAAATATGCATCATGAATCGACCGAATCGATGACATCAGTAATTATGAAATATATTTATTCCATTGTACGAAAACGTTGAGTGTAATTGTGTGCTATACTTTTTTTTTAATATTCTCTTATCATTCATAATGATATCACAGTGAGTGTTTGTGATTTTTCTAGATCATTGTTTTTTTATTATTAACGATGGCCAAACAATTTAATATAGTAGTTTGTGGCTCAGCTCGCGTTGGCAAAAGTACTCTTGTTAATGCTTTATGTGGAAGAGAAGTAGCTCAAACCAGTAGTAGTTTGTGTTCAGAAACTAATGAAATGAAACAATACGTGTTGAATCCATTTTGCCAAGCAAGTAACGAAGATACAAGTTCAACTGAATATTCAATAACGATCTGGGACACACCGGGTATTGAATCATGGACTGAAGATCATGTTAGAAAGCATTTTACGAAAATTATGCTTGAAAGCACTCCAATCTGCATGATTTATTGTGCGTCACCAGGCTCATTTGTTCGGCTCGATCAATTAGAATGGGTTATTGATACGTGTATTCGTTCAAATATTTTTTGTGCTCTGGTATGTACAAACAAATATAATGGTGGCAGTCAAAGACGTGCTCAAGTATTAGATGAATTTCATCGGCTTCTTTCTCATTATCATACAATGACACTCGATGAAGCCAATGTTAAATATTATGGTGGTGTGGCTTTGTGTACATCAGTGAATAGCATTCTTTTTGAAGATATAGATTTTGGAGTAAGAAAACATGTCGAAGGTATTAATGAACTTCTTTTTGGTATTACAAAATCGTTAAAAGACGATAATCTGGCAGCTTGGTGCTACACTATTATTGACAATCAATCATTCTGGCTGACGATGCGTGATGGAATTGTAGAACTATTTAAAATATCTGAACCTATTGTGAAAGAATTTCTTCAAAAAGAAGGCAAAGACATTGCGAAATTTCTAATTCCGTTGATTATACGTGCGTTATTAAAAAGATAATCGAACCAAGACGGACCATATAACGTCTATTAGCACGTTTTCATTTTCATTTGATTTGTCTAAACGCCTTCATCGTATCTACTTAATTTACCTGAGACCAAGATCTTCTTCAGGTCATTTCATTCTTTGTTTCTAAAGATGTTAATTCTGAAATTTATATTTACTAGAAAATTCTATCGCTAGTATTAAGCTAATGAGGATAGATATAAACGAAGAAAATTTTAAAAACTCAAACTATTTCCTAGAGCTATGGGCAGAGTTTTTTCTGTGAATAATTTTTTATGTTTATGTTTATGATTAACTTCTAGAAAAAAAGATTCATGTCGAAAAGTTTCGAGCAATCGAACATCCTTATATGTGGCTCACCTCGTGTTGGTAAAAGTACTCTTATTAATGCCATATGTCGAAAACAACTTTCAAAGTCGTATTCAAGTTTAGGCTCTAGTACAAAAACTATTGATCGATATTCATCTCAAAGCGTAATTGGCCAGATTACTCATGAAACAAATTTCTGGGACACGCCAGGTATCGAATCTTGGAATGAAAATGATGTTCGCGTGTATATGGCATCACTAATTGAAAAAACGCATCCGTTATGTATGATCTATTGTGCATCACCAGGTTCGTTTGCTATATTAGAACATGTTGCTTGGATGGTCTCTGAATGTCATCGGAACAATATTTTCTGTGCACTTGTCTGTACAAATATGTGGATGGGTCGTAATCGGCAAAATGTCGTAGATGAATTTTGTAAACTTTTGAATACTCTTTATCCACAAGTAACGCCGACTAAAGAAGATGGTATCATATATTATGATCGAATTGCTCTTGTCACTATGGTTAATAGTACAGAGCATGTCGATAAAGATTTTGGTGTTGCAAAGCCACCGTTAGGTGTCGATGAACTTATTTTTGGTATTGCTAAATGTCTTAAGAGAGATTTTATGATTGCATGGTTTCGAACAGTATCTGAAAATAAATCGTTTTGGACAACGATGTCATCGAAATTATCCAATCTACTGAAAGTACCATACGAGAAATTCAATAATCTTGTTGAACGTGCTGATAATTTTCTCGACTCACTATTGGGTTTTTCGGACTTCGATGATGAATATACGACCTTCCCTATACAATCTAGAAATAGCGGCGGACGTAATGCTAAATTATCATCAAATCAAAATTGGGTAAATTTCAATAGTACAATTGATCGACAGAGAATGTTTTCTTTTCTTCTACTTAAGAATGAACCTATATTTTACGATGCAGAAATAATTGACATGCCACCAAGTACTTCAAAATCAAAAATACTATTTTTCACATTGAAATCAAAAGGTATTCAATACGATGTTGTCATGAAATTTCTAGATATTTTCGTGCAGATATGATATTACAATTCAGCGCTGCCTTGGCACAACTCGGTGCTAGGGAAATCCGCAACCGTCCATCTGACGAAACAGATCCACATCAATGTCTCATTGAAGTTAAGTAAGTGAAAATGTGAATGTGATCATTGAGATGAATTCAGAAAACTAGTGAGAAATACTAAAATGGATATGATTGGTTACATGAAGACGTGAGTTTTTTGTTTTTATTGTCCTTCGTTGCTCGACCGCTTTATCAATCTCCTGTAATCAATGATGACTAACCGTAAGAATAAAGCAAGGTCGTCTTGATAACAACATTAAACAAAAGGCAAGATTAAAGTTTATCAACTTTCTCCATGACAGATATAGCGGTAGATCAATTATTAATACTTTGAATTTTCTTATGATTTATTTTTCAGATTCGAAGATGAAAATAATTTGAAAGCAGTACACGATTTTTGGCAAGTGATGAATCAAACGGAAGTTACCTGTAAAATGGTTGATAATTCGTATGCCAGTTTCAATGATGATGTTTTATGAGCTACTAACATTCCGAGTCAGGTTTTATTCACAAATATTACCCATCGCAATATGTCACACTCGAACTCTTCTACAAAAGCCATTGAGAACAATTCATTTTTCTTTTACTAAAATAAAGTTATCATGACTTCTGCTCAAAAGCGTACCTTTTTTTTAAACGTACATCTAGATAAGCTACAATCGATGTTGGAAAGCAATTCGACATCATAAGGACTGAATAGATCTAATAAAGTTCAATCTAAATTAGTATATTCCAATGAAATAATATCCTCTGCTTGATTTATCAACGCTTACTCTTCGAGATAAATGTGAAAATGACACTACCTCAAGGTTTGTTTTTCTTTTAAAATGTCAGTCTAATCCTATTTTCAATATTGAGTCGAAAATAAAATGTAATTAAATAACTTCGATTTTCTCCTCGAGTAAAAAAAACTAAATTAATAGATGGATTCGTCTTGTATTCAACCGTGCGGGTATTTTTACTTGTTGTCTTTTATAATTTGTTGACATTTAATACAGATAAAAACGATAAGAAAACACCGTTTTAAGTATAAACTCGTTTGTTTAATAAATATATCTTTACTTTTATTACAAGTGCAGAAGCGCATGTGTTTCATTTAAAAATTAGTGATTGGATAGCCTGAAAATCGTACGAGCATTCTTTTATACTATAGGGTGTCGATGAATGGCACGTCTGTTCTCAATGTAGTTTCCTTTTCTGCCATTTACATTCCAACCAAATGGAAGTCAAAGCCATACATAAAAAGTCTACTCTTGATACTTTTCTTCCGTTGTAATAATCACTACTATTTTATATTTAGTCTATTATTATATATGTTTGCAGGATGAAAATTATGTTGAGACTAAGTTAAACAATAATTTTTATAGAACATCGCATGAAAAGAATTGGCTAAAAAAGAAGCTTAGATACGTATGTGTCGCCGTCAAATCGAGATAATACTCAGCGACTTGAACGCCGTATTAACATTCAAGCAGTCGCTAAATCCATGGCTCGTTCTTCTGGCTCCATGGAACTCAAATTATTTCCCAAATGATGAGCGCTACATGAACTAAGACATAAACTTGATAGAGAAAATAAGAAAAATCCATTGAAAGAAATATATAGACGTTCTTTCACAAGAGGAAAAAACAAAACGATAAAAAACATAATCCAATCAAATATGGTCATAAATAATGCATTAAACTAGACCAAGGTATAAAGTACGGATGTCGTCAAAAGGGAGTTTAGTTATACAGCCACTTGATATCTAGTACGAAATTTCAAGGGAGTTGTTTTGTAGAATATTATGTACTTGAAAGTAAAGAAAATGATTCGGTCTTGACTCTTACAGCATCCGATGTCATGGCAGTAAGAACGAGAAGAAGAAGAAAAAGAAAAAAGACGAACAGAGAAAAATACGCATGGCGTGGTTGTTGTTACTCAGTCGGTTTGTTTTTTCTTCATGTGCTCGCCAACACGAGTTCGATAACGTAATCATTGTCGACGGTTATTTAGTGTTATGTTGGTTGTATTACTCTGATTCTTTTCTTTTCTAGTATTCAAATAAACGATGGCCGCTACTAATGAATCTCTATCTAGTGATACGCTCAAACAACGACGTCGTGGATCTATCATATCGAGTGTTACATTCGATGCTGAAACTCAAAACCTTATTGAACAATGGGAAGCATTATCGATTGAAATGGATTCATTCGAACAGCAGCATCGAATATACTTAACACATTTACAAGATCTTGAAACCCGTAAAAAAGACCATGGCCTTGAATTTAATCGAATTCAAACAAAAATTAATAATTTAAAACATTTAATCGATATACAAAAATCATTAAAGATTGTTCCTATTGATAATCAAGAATATCGAATAGACAAGGACAAAGCTGAATTATTACGTATTCGTCGTGAAAGTGAAAAACGCATGGAAGCGCCCGAAAAAACTTTACGTCGTTTGAATACAATCTATGAACATTTAATACAACAACGTTCGGAATATCTTAAACGAATTAAATATACTTTACCACAACCACCTGAAACATATTTACGTATTATCCTTGGCAGTGAATTGCCTGTATCGATTTTAGACAAATCTCAACAGTGGAAGTATAAAGAAAAATATGAACAATTTAAATTACGTATTACATTAATTATTATGATTATATCATTGTTAATGTCAACAGTACTACCAGTAAATCGTGCACTTGATGCTATTTTTCATTTTCTCCTTGTTTGGTATTATTGTACGTTGACAATTCGTGAATCTATACTCATTGCCAATGGTTCAAACATACAATTCTGGTGGCGTTTACATCATTTTATATCAACCATATGCTCATCAATTATGCTTCTATGGTCATCAACACAATCCTATAAATTATTTCGACAACAACATTATCTATTTTGTTTATATATTAGTTTTGTTCAAGTTCTTTTATATTATTATCAAAAAGGTCTTCTTTATCGTATGAGAGCTTTAGGTGATTCGGATGAATTACAAATAACAATTGAAGGTTTTCATTCATGGATGTTACGTGGACTTTCGTTTCTAGCACCATTTCTATTCTTGGGATATTTATTTCAACTCTATAATGCTTATATTCTCTATAATCTATCAAAAGATTCCAACGCTGAACCTAATCATGATGGACATTTGATGTTACAGGTTCTTACCATAATATATTTGATTCTTTTTCTTGGTAATTTTCTAACAATGTATATGGTTATTCGACGTAAAATTCGTGAACGTATTGCCGATATTCAATGGTTAAAACATCGATATGAAAGTGTGATAACATTAATAAATCGCGTTCGATCAGTTAAATTAGTTCCAAAATAAACTAATTACCTTATTTTTCCTTTATTTTTAATTTCAAAGCAAGTTGATTGAATGAAATAATCATATATTTTTTATCTATTTGATCGAGATTGATTCATATAAATTGAATTTCGAAGAAAATGATTATAGTCGTATAGCAATAAAGAAATGTTTTTTTTTGTCATTAGATATTTGAACGTAGACTCAAATAACAAAATATAAAAATTTCTCACGATAATATCGTACTACCACATGTTGAATGCTTGTTTTCGCCTTGAATCAATTGTCTCCTTTACACGTATAAAATTCTGTTAAGATTACTAAATATGAATTAATGGATATTGATAAATTATATCTCAAGGACTCACTGCAGGAGATGGTTGTCCTTTTCTTTTTATACTAAGAGAGAGTATCAGTGTCAAAGAAAATAACATAAAATTCCCAATCCCCATTTGTAGTGATGTTTTCGTCTCTGCTTGTTACTATAATAGTGATTTAGAATAATAGAATTCAATTAATTTAAACTGTCCTTGGTTACTGCAGATCATTGAAGCTATTCGTTTTGTGGAACTCACATATATTTTCGAAGAAAATAGTGAGTGTAAGTTTAATTGTGAGATTTTTGCGGCTCCCCTGTACCCCCCACGGNTTTCCTATTGATAGATTCAAAAAGCTTCAAATGTTAAAAAGGTTTTATTATCTTATTTTTGAACAAAATATGATCTTACTACACTGAAAAAATAAAACTTCTATTTGATCAGTATCTAACTGACCGAAATATGTGAGTTCCACATTTTAGCCCCAACGGGGCTGCGCTGAAAAGCTTTTTTAGATACTGTTTGTTAGTAAGTCTTCATATGATTTTTTTTTTATTTAAAAAAGAGTAGCAATCACTTACTCTTGCGAAAATGGCGCTTCTCCTTCAAAATAGGTCACCAAATGTCGGCTAGTTTTCGAACGCATATATATCGCTGACCATGGATGGATACAGTCGTATGGATAAGATCTAAAGCATATAATGGTAAACGTACGTTTTCTACTACTCTAGAAGAAGATACCATTAGAAAACTAACATTTATTAAACTATCACCTAACCAATAAACAAATATAGCTACTTTTAAACGACAACATACCAGACCTAATGTTATAATCATCCAATATTTCAAAAGCGCTCATCGTCAACTATGAACGATGCAAAGATTTTGCTACATGGAAATGTCAATAAAACAAATACGGTAGTGAAAAACTTTCGATTATACATGAAACGAAATATTTCTCGAATATAAAGCTGAAGAACTTCAATAACATAATTAAGAATTGTAAATCAATTTATAAGTGAATGAAATTCCTGAATTAGCGAAACACTTCGAGGTTGCATTAAAATGATAACATTCTTTTTGATTGAGTAAAATATTTACGCAATAATATCAACTATACTTTTATGTTGAAAGAAAATACAAAGTGGCTCAACAAACAATTTATTAGTCAATGCTTTATCCCGAACCTCAAGATTAGACAATTATTTTTATTTAAAGTCAACATACTAAAAAGTATTAACAAACCAATGCTTCGCCTATAGAAATGCTATTATCCGTTCTTGTAAAGCTTTTCATTACATAATAAACTCACGTTGAAATATATCACGAATTTTCCTAAATGATATCATGAATAATATGATGTTGTTCTTGTTATATCCGAACCCGAATATTTTATTTTCAATAGACATACCATGTCGCACAAACCGATCGAAAATCGCCGGTTAACGGGAACTAACTGTGGTTAACCGGCCGCTTCGATTGGTTTGTGCGACATGGGAGCAAATTCTGTTGTTGATGATACTAAGTACTCTTTTTATTTCTATATTACATAATTTTTTTTTATTATGCAATAACTGACGGTTTCATGAGCCCTTACAGTACTCTATATTACACAATTATCATAGATGCATGTTGAACGAACTTAGTACAAGAGAATACCGAATCAATTTAATTACCGTTTTTTTTTATATTCATGATCTTATTGTTCATTACTTCCAAGGTCGATGATGATACGGACTGGGCATGCGGATGAAAACGACTGTTTTTTTCTCCGTATACAACAAGGAGATATACGATCGAAATACAAGACCATGTAATCTGCCGTATTTCTCCGAATACGTGCGTTTACGCCTGTACCTGTTTGATGTGGGTTTCCTCAAAAGAAATTAATAAGGAAAAATTATTTTTTCTACAACTACATTTGTTATCTTTCCAAGACTTTGGACACAATAATCGAAGTCGCACGAAACAGTTTAAATAAACACAGTATATGAGATGTAGAATTCAAGAAAAAAAGGAAAATTTTGATATATCAGCTAAAGTAAGTCGACTATTTTTGAATAAGAAATACTTTTGTGTACGAATGTCACAATAATAAAATCAGTCATTTCAAACAAATTAACGTGGTGATACAAGATTATGTCGATGAACTACATTAAACGTACAACTAAGACATTATTATTCTAAAACAAATTCGATACTGATATTGAATAAGGATTTATTTCTTTGAAGATACACAAACTTTCCCAACAACTGGTGTATCATCGGTATTATTAATGTTTACAAATAACAATTGAACAACAAGTATTATACCACCGGTAAATAGTTTTGTACAAATAAAAAATAATATTGTCATCATATTATTCTCTAAATCGTTTATCAAATAATCCTCGCGCATCACAATTAATAGAATATATGAATTTGTCACTAAAACATACGAAACCTCAAATATATTTGCTTTTAATCAAAATGAATTTCAAAATTTTCCGTTTTTTTGTTAGAGAAACCTTTTTTAAAGATCCTATAATGTCGACAAGTTTAAGAGACTTTTTTTCTACTAGATAATTGTTTAGACTATCAAGATTGATATTGCTTACAATCAGTTTTCTATTATAAATGATAGTGTCTAGAACAAACATTCTTTCCATATAGTATGAAATCGAGTAGAAAAGTCGTTCATTCCTTTACAATAGAATATATGGCACAAAATGTTAACGTCAAAATCTAGTTTAGCTATATTTGCATCTCTTTTCGTTTTCTCGCAGAATGCATTTCTCGTGTTTTGATAATTCTGTTCGGTAGATGTATCACATTGAAATATCTAGATGACTCTATTGAACTGTTTCATTATATATTCAATCGGATAATTGTGCAGTAATAATGAGAAGAAACATTTAGTTCATGCGAATGTTTGTGGAATACTTCATAGATATCCGTTTTCCATTTTCATTTTTGCAATGTAATCTCTAGTCTATTCCAAAACTTAATTAAAGAATTCAGTGTCTCTGCTATAATATTTGATGTTATGAACAATCATCTATGTATCTGCAATAAAGTAAATTTATAATGAGATCAAACAGAAATAAATTTAGAGGCTACATATTTAAGAAGAAGAAAAGTAAACACCAATAAGAGATACGACACAAGATTTACCAATGCACACAGATAACTTTCAAAAGCTTGCGTTTAAACACTTTGTTTTGTGAGTAGCATGCACAGTCTATTATTCAACTCATTCTAATTAGTTTTTATTTTATTTTAGTGTATGTTTTGATTGTGCCTACGCATAACAGTTAAAATGCTGTTAGATCCAACTTATTGATTTGTACTTCAACTAGACACCGTTTTTCCCGGTAATATTATTCACACACAGCTACACCTTTTTGCTCATGCTTTGTTGATATAGATGTATCAGCCTATACTCTTATAAAACATGATCAAAATCTTGCCTTTTCTCTCTCGCGTGGATGAATTAATGTATATCGTAACTCTTATGTTTACTATTATCGTGAGAACAGAGATTATAAAGTAAATTTTGACTGAAAAACAAGCCACGAAGCAAGAAAATATTTATGAAAAGATCATAATTGTATTGCCTTAAGGAATAAAATACACAACAAAGCTTAAGAAAAAGCTTGCGAATAGATACCTTTTGACTTGATTTAACTATATCTGTTTTTATAAACTATGTATAGAAGAGTTAAGCTTTGTAAAAAAAAATAACGTTCGTTACGATTCAGTGATAGTAACTATGAAATTCATTTAAGAAAATTTTCAGAAATATATATATGACAAATATAAGTTAAGTTCGATAAAGAATTTGATCAATATTCATTTGTATGTAATCAAATATTCAGCAAACGCTTGAGCATCGTGATACGTAACGAAAATGTGATTTCCATCAGTAGTTGAATCAAATCCAAGTGGTCGAGTTTTCATCGAATTGTTTCCTCGAGTAGTTTTTCCTACCAGAACCCGCGCTAGAAACATGCATCGTTCTCCATTTGCGTTATTTTTAGCATAATCATGACTATAGGCTGCTCTGGAGGAAAAGTAAACACCAAAACCGTAGGAAGTTCCTATACAAAAAGAATAGAAAAAATAATTGGGGAACAATTGCTAAACTTACCATTCACGCCAGCAAAGCTTCTGTTAAAACAATCTTCGATAATGGAATTAGCAGCTTGTTGTGAACAACCGTGATATAAACGTTTTTCTGTATCGGTGTTAAGACGTTTCAGAAAGTCTCTACTGTGTGCTAAGTACTGCATATACCAACGTTCGTTTTGAATCCGTTCGATTTTTATTATACGTGTGTATTTTCCGGTCATGGCGTTACCAAAATTAGTAGCAATTGAATTGTATTCATCTGCCTTGGTAGGCAATACAAAGCGAATTCTTTGTTCTGTTGACTTTTCCCAGGTTGGTGGTAAATCAGAAACGATGGGTTCATGAAAACCTATGCAAAATAATTGATATAAAGATTTTTGTGTGCGATGAACTTATTGGGAACGTTATATTTCTGTCTTTTCTCCCGGTGCTTTCGTCTTCAAACACAACATTCTAAGTAAATAACTGTAAATGAATTTAGGTTCTTGTTTTCTCACATCAATGTGAATCATTTTCATTGGCTCTCTTCGAAGTGTCAATACTTTTTCAATCAGCGATTATACTCATTCTAACATAGTGTGCTTTGCAAGATGAAATATTGCTGCATAATCTACTTTATTGTCTGTTAGAATTAGCTTTGATTATATGAGATAATTATGAACTACAGAATAATTAGTAAGTACGTACACTCAAATAGCTTAAACTCATTTTAAGGGAAGAAAATATAAAGTTTATTGCAGCTGGTGATTTACTCTGCATATGTAGCAAAATAGTACTTAATCATTCGAGAGAAACTTCTTATTTTACCATCCTGTGTCGTTAGTAATTGTGTACAAAATTCATCATAAACATTTTCTTGATTGGGTTGCACCACAAATTTAACTCTCCAAGCTAAATCTCTCTGAACAAGATGATTTTTCATTTCGCGAACCATAGTTTTAACTACAATATCAACTGAGCAGCCGTGTTGTCCACATCCGATGGCTGGAAATGCAAGTGTCGTAAATTTATGTGATATCATGTTTTGTACGGCAATAGATATGAGATCAACAAGAGACTGTTGCAGTATCTTATTGTCGTTATCAGGTTTCCATTTAACAAAAAATATTTGTTTGCAGGGGAGAGCTCCTGGTGGTATTGCTATCAAGATTGAATGCGGATGATTTTCTAATTCAGTATTGTACGCGCTTTGAGATTGTTTACCAGCAGCTTTAATTATTTTTTCTTTCAAAATATTTGATGACGAACTACCAATTATAGCGTCAACCTATAAATGAGAATAACACATAAATGCAATCTAAAAAATAAAACAACAATTTGAATTACATTTTCCGTTGTTATATCTCCCATTTCAATTTCGATTACTCCTTTTCCAAATGTAGCGCATCGTGTTATTCCTGCCGTAGGTAACGTCTGTCGAGTTAATGAATCAATTTGTTTTTGAAATTCAGCATAAATATCTTTTCTATCTGGTTGTATTACGAATGTAACCGACAAGTCACTATGCTGTAATTTACGATAAACTTCTTCAGTCATTGTTCGTGCAACAAGACCGATTGAACAGTGCATCTTACCACAGCCAATAGCTGGAAACGCAATACTTCGATAGTTTTCTTCTTTTGCTTTGTCTAGTGCAACAGAAACAAAATTTTTAATCGATTTACAAAGAATGGGCTCATCAGAAGATGTTTTCCATGGCAGAAAGTAAATTGCTTTTGATGCAATTCGCCCATTAGACTGAACGATAACAATGGGAGCAGCAGAATTTTTACTGATTTGCTCATTGTAAGAATTTGATACAGAAGCACCACCGGCTTTGCAAATCTTCTCAAACAAAAACTGTGATGATGAGCACACAACAATAACATCAGTCTAATATATGGAAAGAAAAATTCTTGGGCTCATCAATCTATTTTCTAAGATTTAAATTACCTGTTGAGTTCTCAAATCACCTTTGCAAATATTTATTAGTAAATGCGAGCTGCTCGTCCTAGTTGGAGTCTATAGTAGAGAAGATCAGTTTATGTGATTTTCACTTGAAATTATTAAAATAAACTTTTACTACTGAAGAATATCGAATGATGACACTAGCGATGTTATACGTTAGTTATTCTTATTAGTGACTATCATATCTAGACATGTGAAAGATTATAGTCCCAGTTTCACGCCAGAGTAGAAAAAAATCATTCGAAATTATGCATAACTTAAAATACGAGTTTTAGCGTCTAAACATTTTTAGAATAGTTATTTTCGAGCTCTAGGAATTATGCGAACAAGTCTTTATTAAATATCATAAAGAACATTCAATATAGAACCACCTTTAAGTAAGAGAGAATTTCATGTCTGCTTGATACGAATGGGTTATCTGTTCTTTGCGGACAGTGAAAATTCATGGAATGATCAATGGAGATCTTGTCTATATTTTTAGTTCTTTGTAAAAAAAAAGCGATGAAAAGTCTTCATGACGCCTATAAACTATGATGCCTGCAATGCATGGCTTAGATTAACTGTGAGTTATCAAAGAAATTTAATGAGATTTGCAAAGAACGAGATCTAGATATTTGTTCCGTATTCGCTAGCTGATTTCAAAATTCATTCAAATCGGTTTCAACGAGAAGTGATTCGTGCATGAGGAAAACTAATGTCAAGATGTCAACCATTACTTTAGAACGGCGTCGAGTTTGAACGGGTTGCTGTAAGTCATCATCGGTAGAAATACTTTCAAATGAATCGCATCGGGTTGAAATGGATGGAAGTATATTTTGTGGTATGGAACTAGATCGGAATCGATTGATATTTCTTGCAATGACTTGATTTAGGTTGTAATCAACAGAACTGGGTTGAAGTGTGCTCAAATCACTCGATCCAGGTCGGACTAGCTCTAGCTGGGATCGGTGAGAATATATTGGAGTGCGTTGGGATGTTGGAATAAAATTTTTTCCTCGTGGTGCTACCGCATTTCGTGAATCGGGTATCCTTTGATAATCAAATAAATAGTTGTCATCATAAGCGTTTATTGATGAATCCATATCTAATTCAGATAATTTAGGACGCTGTCGTTTCTAAAAAAATATTGAATGAAATTGAGTTGCAAATAATCAGTAAAATCAACTCACTAGATAAAAAGATTCATGATCTACTTGATATTCTGACGGCGCCGATTCATTTTGAAATGATGAATCTGATTCATAATCTATAGACAATATATAACATGAAATGAAAGAAATCATGAAATTTGTGCTAGTGAAGACTAGACAACATCAAATGATAAAACGATGACTTAACATGATTATTTCTAGATTATTTTGATTTCCTGGCTTAAGTGAGACCAGAGGAATTTTATTCTAAACTGAAATTAATTGTACGAGTTTTGGAAATTCTAGCATCTATCATCTCTCTATTTTTTTTTTGGAATGAGGGTCTTGTCAGCCTACAGAGTCAATGCAAGTGTGCAAAATGTGATTTGCCATGGATGCTGCTGTTAGCTTGAGTCTAGCTTTTCTAAATATGCTGATCCCACCGCATTTCTGCTCTCTGGTTAGCATTATCTTCATGATAATTATGTCTGTGTTCGAAGCTAAAATGATATATTTACCATTACTATCAGTTGAATAGTCTAAATCAAAGGTTACAGGCATTTGATGGAATGCAATTGGCGATGGTAACACTGACTGAATTATTCGTTCTGCTTGTAGGACAAACGGCGATGGTCTTGTGTTCCTTGCTAAAATAACGAGATACATTATTCATGAAAAAGGAATTTTTAGTGATGCACGCGAAAAATATGGCTCTTCTTCAAAAAACAAACTACTTCACTAGAAAAAAAGAAACTCGTTAAAAGCGTGGAAATTGTGTGGGTGTTACATTGCCACCTCGGTTGGCGCATCACTGAACTTGAAATACTCATTCCAGTGATAAACTGTATTGTTTTTCTGAAGATTAAAAATAAATCAATCATAACAAAAATCTACCTTGTTGAAGCGATACTTTCAATTCGTCGAAAAATTTGCATGAATCACTGCGTTGTGTATCATAAATAATAATGATTTTCATCGATGGGCTACTAATTGTTGTGACTCCATTCGCACTCGCTTCGTCAAGCCACTCCAGATGATTGAGCTCTTCCGAAAAGATCGTCTGATAAGAAAAAAAAGTCCATGTTAATTTTCATTTTTGCTAACGAAGTTTCCATCAAGCCTGTCCATGCTCAAGTTAAAAAATTGACATTCTTCTACAAATATAATCACAGAAGTGAGCAGAAACTTTCTTTTTACATAAATGTACTTGACACGGTTCAGGGTGAAGGTGAATCCTATTCTGTTTTATTTTTGGTTACAATAAATAAAAGTCAAAATATTGAGCACTCCTATAAATACGCATAGTAAAATGCAGTTACAGAGATTGCTACTATTTAAGGCTATGAAAAAGACTTAAACGATCAAAATCCCACAACACAAAAATATTGAGTCAGAAAATAGATAACAGGAGCGATTCCCTTGAAAATTTGTGAGACAGTAAAAAACTCGCAATTTAATCTCATCTATTTGATAATCAGTTTGTATTATATGTTTGATGAAAGGAAATTCATGTACATATTACATTTTGAAGAACCCTAACCATGCTATCTTCCTGTCGACAAATTGTTTGAGATTCCCAAATCCACTCTGAATGTTCAGTATAATATAAAGCGTTTTAGAATAGGCTGCTCGTTAATATGTAAAACTGCCTATTTTTCGATGTCATATCACAATTAATCAATTACTCTGCCTGAACAAATGTAAGCTGTACCTTTTGTTGTTCAACAATACAAAAGTATTTAATATTTTCTTGCAGGTCTTTCGGCATGCCAACAGTAACATTATTATTGTGAGTGATTGATGAATTTTCTTCAGAATGTAGAATACGTACCTTGCTCACAGGAACATAACTGTTATAGAAGCAGAATAAATAAAGTAGTGTTGTTTTGCCTATACTCTACCTGTGTTTTGATGACATCTGAAAACAAACAAAAAGAACCCACTGTTATTTTGATTCAAAAGAGATTTGCTAAATGTTTTAAGAAAAACAATTTTAAACAGTAACGTTTATTATTTGTTACACTAGCAGTGTTCTTAGCGTGGGTGAGAGAAAATAGATGTCAAACATGAATCTGATAGGTGAAGACATTTAGGCAAGCGAAAAAAAAAGCGCTTGACTTTGATCAGTTTGCAACGCCGTATTTTCTTCGTGTAACAAATACTATCGAAATACTACGAAAAGCTTCTACAGTCAGAAATAGAATTCTCGAACAATTTCATAGCTATCCAACTGAATAAACTGTGAATATTAGTAAGGCAGCTATATCACTTAGTGGCCTATCTTTACAAGAGCTAGTTCAAAATATTTATTTTAGTAAAAAAAAGTCATAATAACTTGTTTGTCTGGTGTTACCTTGTCTATGGATGTGAGTATAAATAGTGAGTGATGATCAGAGTAGTGGTAATATCCAGCAAGTCGCGTTTTTTCTTTTCCCTTCATATTGTTTTAAAAATAGTTTTTCCGAGTACGTATTGGATTCTCTATCAAAAACATCTTGTTTACACTTCCTTGCTTTTACATTTTTTATATTTGCTCGAAGTTCGAACAGGCATGAGACAATTTTACTGTTCTATGAAGCAAATAAAGAAATCTGATTCACATTCTTTTTAGTCACAATTCAAATAGCAAGTATAAGCCTTTTTCGATTCATACAAAAACTTTCATAGAACGAAAAAGAAAAAAATATTTTTTTTTTATTCAATATATTTAACATAATTTTTAGACTTTCTACTCCATTTCCTAGAGACAAAACAATTTAAATCACTTGTTCAGTCATTTGCATAATTATTTGTTCATGCCTCCATTCCTAAGAATATTTCGTTATTATTTCACAAACACGAGAAATTATTGTAAAGCTGATGTTTCTAGCAGCGATGAGAAACGAAGGAAAAAATAATCTCGAAGTATTTGTTTTAATTTTACAGTACATTGAAGAAAAGCGAATTCATTAGCGACAAGAGTAACAGGGTTTGAAGAAAGGAAAATTTCTAGAAAATCATCTTTGCATAGTTGAATTATTTTCGTACTATAAAAGCTAATCATTCGTTCTGATCAGTTTATGTGTAATGAATTTCTGCGAAACAATGTAATAGGAGTCTTACCATCTACTGGACACAAATTCTAAACTGTGATAAATTTAATTCACTTTAGTCAAACTATTTTCTGTTGAAAGAAAGACAATAATTTTTATATTTTGAATTCGCGCGATGCATCTAAAATATAAAAAGTGTTTACTTTCTTAGTTTAACTGTATTTAAGTAAGAATAAATATTCGTCAACAATTTTGTTTATTTTTTCATTTTTTTTGTTTAAAAAAATGCAATAAACATGTCGAACAACCAAAACCAAAATTCAAGATTATCAGTAAGCGATGAAAATGAATTAATAGCTGAAATAAAAGATTCGACAATGACAACAATAGCCGAACAGATCGATATTCAACCTGTTCGTAGCATGACATGTTATATATGTTTTGAAAATATTGTAACAACATACAAACCATTTGGTATACAAAACAATTGCGATCATATTTTTTGTTTTGACTGTTTATCAACTTGGCGTCGCACGGTTAGCTTTTCTCGAACTAATCTATTGGACTTTCCTAATATTCCGCTAAAATATGCTTGTTTTTCTCCTCAGAATACTATGATTGATAAAGATGCAGCTAGACGATGTCCATTATGTCGTACGCGATCAACGTTTGTAGCTCGAAGTTGGCGTTGTTTTAATAATCGTGACGATAAACAATCTTTAATTGATTCGCACAAATCATATTTAAAAACGATTCCTTGTCGAACTTTATCCCGATATGGTTATTGCCGATTTGGTCGTCGATGCTACTACAATCATCAAATACAACAACGATGGTCTTCATCGCCGATCGATACTTCTATTTCATTCTCTGAACACCAACTCGATTCCTCAAATGTTTTCCCATTAAATACTCATAATAATGATGAACAACAAGAACCACCAAGAAGATTCACCTATAATTCACATCGATATAGACCTTACTAGAATAGAAATAACTTGTACAATATTTGCTTTTAATTAATAAAGTCATACTATTTTATTATATAATGGTGAAAAAAATATATTAGTAATTACAGCGCATACGATCAGCAATTTTATTTCGATTATTTATAACGATTCTCAAAATGACTACTGATTAAATGCTTTTTCTTTAAAGCTTTATTGTTCAATGACAATGTTACTAGTAGTAATCTACTGTTACTGAGTGCATAGGTAGATACTGTATAAAACCTATAATAAATGTCGTAAGAGAGACAAGCCCACGTGGCCTAATGGATTAAGGCATCGGACTCCTACATTGAGTTAAACGAGAGTCATCCGAAGACTCCGGGTTCGAGTCCCTTGAGCTATTCATTTATCATCCCATCATCATATGGAAGCTCTGTGTATATCAAAGAAAATTGTTGATCTCGTTTATGAATTAGCTATCGGCGTGGGTATTCACACCTTTTGTTTCTTTGCGTTCTCTTATCTTTTTTTAACTGCTATTATTCAAGAAAATGAATGAGTGAAAAAAAATCATGATGAATTAGTGGAGGAAAAAATTTTCAAACTTGATTACCTATTCATAGACACGAATAATGTGTTGTAATTGTATTCATGTCATATTAACCAATCGACAATTCCAGATTTGTTGATTAGACATCATTGTTGTGCATGATTTTGTATCTATCCATTGATTTCATATCTAATTTTGAAGACTAGATTCCGATTCTTCGCTGTCTATTGAAGCATGCAGTGCAGTCGAATAGTTAATTGCAATGACATTTACTAGCTTTGCCGGTAGAGGAAGTGATACTGTAAGGTCACAAATCTTAGAAAAACAAACAGAACTTGAATTTAGATGTTCGTTTTTTCAACTTTTTCCAACAAAAGGTTATGTAAACGGTCGTCGGCTATTGCGAACCTAAAGGTTTAAACGGTGAATCGATGTGACAATAATTGGAATCATTTTCGTCCTTCACATCAACAGTCATGGAAAGGACTCGAAGATTAGATGTGGTGCATCAACATATAGTACCTTATACAATCAAAGTGAAACAATTAACCAGGTCCATAGGGTACATCTTCGATAGTAGTTGAGACTGTAAGCATGCTTATATCGTAACGCATGCGGAAGAACGCGCAAATGTTCAAAAATATCAAGTAAAATTTCGTTGGGTCACGACTGCTACAGTTTCATTTTTATCGTTTGTTTTTTTCTGGACATTTTTCAATTTCTCTTCTTCATGAGTTTTCGTATTATTGTTTCTTACCACATAGAAATCTGTGCTTGCCTATGATTACTAGACACTAAACTTCGTAAATAAAAGGAGTCCTCACGATAAGGCAAAGACAAAAGATAGGTGGCCAATCGACAACAGTTAACACAAGAATAAAACAAAGAGCGTAAAATGAAGATTCACATTTATGCTCGTTCATAAAAATGCTGTTCTATATAGTGTATCGAAACAATACAAGTTTCAATTATCTTGTATTATAAATAATACAAATTTTCATACAAAACAAGAGATCTAGATTGAAATCATGCGAAATACAGAATATTTACTGTTGTAGAAAAAAAATATATAAAGCCTATATATATACAACAATCACTGTGACTTAAATGTTTCTTGAAGATCTTCTAAACTGAGATTTTTTATCATAGCTGGTTGATTTTCAAAATTATATTTCGACGATAACGAATCAGTCAGAGCTACGAGCGATTTTGATGTTAAATATCGAACAATATCTAGTTCGGCTTCAGTTATCGGTAGACTCGTACGACGACGTAGTTTAGTTTCACGACGTGTATTATCGATCGTAAAGTCTGTTGTAGTATTAGTATCGATTGTTAATTGAGTATGAGTTGTTGAAACAGGATGGCAAGTAGCAAATGCTGAACTACTACGTGCTGGTGATGATTCACATTGAGATCCTGTAGCATATGTACTTAAACGGCACGGTTGAACATCGGTATTGAGTGGAACAGCAGATTTTATACGAACGTCTAGTAATTTCTTTCAAAGAAAAAAGAAGGATCTTATCATAGAAAGAATCTTTGCTTTGTGCCAAATTAAGATCCTACTTGTCGAAGTTGTTTTCGTGTCATATTGGCTTGCTCACTAATTTTCTGTTTTGTTAATGTTCGTTCTTCGACTAGCTCATCACATTTTTTCAAATACATATTCCTAAAATTAGCCAATCATTTTTGATCGTAACATACTCAAATCATTATACCGGAGATCAGCATTTTGTAAATACAATTGATCAAGTCTTCCGGCATAAAGTTTTTCAATTTCTTTTATTTTCTCATCAAAATTCATACGAAAATCATTTAATTGTCGATTCTAAATAAGAATTGAAATGCAATCTTGTATAAAAAAAAAAGCAAAGCATTCATACCGTTTCAGTATATCGAATTTCAAGATCTTTTAATTGTGCAAACAAATTTGTTGCACGTTCTTGCGTATCATCAAGTTCAAGTTTAGTTGATGTTAATTCTTTCGTCAGCGTTTCAATACGTGTACGATCAAAAGCTGAATCTGCAAAAGTCTTATGAATAGCCTAGAAAACAATAGATACGAATAAACATTTTCTATGTTGATATTAAATTACATCGATTTCTTTTTGATGTTGTTTTCGTATATTTTCAATTTCCATTTTTTGTCTTGCGCCAACACTTTTTCTTTCTCTAACTATAGCATCATTTATCTTTGCATTCATTTCTTCTTCTTTTTTTCGTAAGTCTTTTTTCATTTCATCTAGCGATTCGTCTATTTTACTTTGAAGTTTGTCTGAATTTTCTTTATCAAGGCTGATCTATGAGAAAAGAAAATTTTTATTTTAATCGAAACAAAATACTATTTTCGATTTACTTTATAGGAATGAAATGAGCATTTTAGAAATTCAATTTCATTTTTTAAGATTTGCTCACGTTTATCACTTTGAGATTTTTCTTCTTGTAGTGCTTTAGAATTAGCGTTCTGTTGTTCTTCAAAGTCCTTCTCATGATCGAGCATTTTTCTATGAAGTAATTCTTGAAATTGTTTATTTTGATGTTGTAATTGAGTGGTAAGAGTTTCTTCGCCCTTAATGGATAGGTTTCTTATTCGTTTCTTTTTACCAATAAAAATAATCAAAGATCTAATACTTTAACTCGTGTTTGTCTATGATTGAGTCGTTCTTCGGCTAATTGTAATACTAAATCATCAATTTGTTCAATTAAATGATCGATATGTGCTTGAACAGCTGGCGGAAGTGAAGAACGTCTAGATTAAGAAAAATAAATGAAGCCTATTGAAATATAAAAAGACAGTTATACTGAGAATTTTCATCGGATTTATTTTCTTCATCAGTTATGTTAAAAAATTCTTCACTAATGAGTGCATCAATATTTTGTTTATTTTTTTTCACAGTAAGTCCTTGTCGACTGTATATTTGTCGTTTTTCACCCTGAAAAATAAAATTTACAAGTAAAAAAGACTCTTTTGTATTAAGTCTATTAACATACATCAAAGAACCGTTGCCAAGGTTCAGGCTTAAGCTTTTTTAATGGCAGATTACATGGGAAAATATGATTTGAACATGAACTGCCAAGATTCAATCGATGAACAGAAGCTGATGAACTAAATAAACAATCTTATAGAATTATCTATTGTTAACATACAATTAATTAACCTGATATTTGATCTAAGTTGACCCAATGGAGTTCGTGTCGTAGATCGTCCATTACTGGATAATCTTAATAAGTAGAAATCTTTGTTTTCTTTATTTTTAATAAAAAAAGGCCAATAGTCATACAAGGGTAAAGCAGCTCGGTGATTCTTCATTTATATATTTCTTAGACGAATGAATGATGAAAAAATAAGTCCACACTCAAGTACAAGTGCTTCCTTACGTCTTTTTCTCTATCGACGATAAATGTTTTATAGACAAACGTTAAGAAAAACAAGCAGAGAAAGAACTCGACTTGCAGAACAGAATTAAATAGTTGTGATTAGAAAAGACGTAAGAAAAATAGATCAGTGTAAAGCAATAAGACATGTCAATAAAAACTTTAAAAAAGACACAATATTTTTTTTTGCATATGTAAATAGTTGAAAAAAAATGACATGCTGTATAAGCCATAGAAATATCTGCTTAAATTTTGCATCGATCTAGATTTGACTATCGACTGAAATTCTAAAATCACACCTAGGCTGTTTGCTTAGGATACAGAGAATAAACAGTTTTTCTCAACACGATTTACATTGCGTAACCATGGTAGCACAATTAATTTTTTTCATAGTTCGATCATTGATTTGCAACTAAACGAATCTTAGAGAATTTTTTACTCTTGTGCAAGTTTGTTGTTCTTTTTTCTCATTATAAAATCAGTCAACTGCTCAAAGTCAATAAAGATTCATTCGAGTTTATACGAGGATTCATCATTAAACAGTATCGGGTTCAATATAAAATGTTGCCTTAAACAAATACCTGCTGTTTCGATCGATAGAAAGTCGGTACGTTGATGCGACAGACATTTTTCATTCTGTCATTTTTGAAAAATGTAATATTTTATTTTTGTTTCAATCTGTTTTCAATAGTTGGACAAAATGAGAACCAATAAAAAAAAGCAACTTAGACTTCACGGCACGGGTCACCGGCGATTTGGTGGCACTCTCGCAGACGACTATTATGCCGAAAACAACAATCAATATGAGCGTATCACTAACCTACAAATAAGCCGCTTCGCTATTATAATTTTACATGAAATTATATCTATCGAGTAACATTAAACCTACGATTCTGTAGTAACAAATATAACTGCATAGGGTGAAATATGAGCTGAACTACAACAACAATTTCACTATTAAGAAATTGTTAACCAGCAATACTACCGAAAGCCCTATCAAATAAGATATGAGTCCATAGAAACTATCATCATCATCACAACACTATTTATTTAGTTAACAAAAGTGAAAAATATTTACAACAGAACTCCCGATAAGTAAATAAATGCAAATATCACCATTTTTAATCCAAATTTCAACGTGTTTGAATTTTTGAATACAATTTCTTATGTTTGATAATTATTAAATATCAATGATCATTGAAACTGTTTGTCATTTTAAAACAAAAATATTTTTTCAACTGTAATAATAAATGTATTATTTTGATTAAAATTAATTCAAGTGAAATAAAAACGATGAAAAAAGTAGAGATCTTTGCAACATTTCAATAATAAAAAATTTGTTAACTAATAGATAGATCACTAAATTATTCAACAAAAATAATGATAGAAAAATTTTGCAGAGTTGAACACAGATTCTGAACATGGGCACTCTCAAAATGAATGGTGAGGCATAGAAAGCGACTGAATCATGTTTCTATTTTTTTTGGTAACTTTTGTTTCAGTGTTGTAAAAATGTTGATTAGAGTTAAATCTCACCTGCTGTTACTTGTTTGCATCATGTTTAGAAATTTTCAATAACTACGTTTGGATTGTAGACGCATTTTTTCAGGAATGAGGGATTACACACCGTTCATAAACAGAGCTTAGACCGGAAAGTTTTGTGGAAAATTAACGATCAGGATATCCGTTCGTAGGAAAATATTTGCGCATTCTAATAATGCATTAGTTGAGCATTTTTACTGCAGTCTCAAATGTTTCATTGTGAACGTAAACTTCACACACAATTTACTTTCAGATCGTGAGAAATTCCGTTCATCAGTCAAAATTTAAACAAAAACAGTATTGACCTCATGGTTGACTTATTCTGTAGGCATGTATTTGTACTCATTTTTTTCTATGAGAATAGAGTAATCTTTTGAATAATTATACTTATTAATCCTCCTCTTGTTTGTCTATCTTTTCGTTGTACATATGCACGTAGATTAGTCACTATGAAACGTTGTTATCGAACATGAAGCTTTGTGATATGTTTATAAAATAGTTTCTGTTTTACTAATATGCAGCAATCAATCAAGAATAAGACGGATGTTCATCATTTTCAATAAAGAATATACTCAATCTCTTAAACAAGTTCTGCTGTTGATACGCAGCTAAATGTATAGTTGCAAACGATATAAATTTCACGCATCAAAGAGTATTGTATACTCGAAGAAAGGAATCTAACTCTTTTTTTTATGAAAATTCGATAGTACTAAGCATTCTCAAATATTTAGAAATAAAATATTTCCATGTAAATTAGTATTATTGATAGCTATTATTGTTTCTACGAATATTCATTTGAGCAATCGTGAAATCTTTGCGGGTACGATTAGTAGCAACACAATTTCAACTGCAAACTTGCTAATATTTTAATCTTGAAAGTGCAAAAAAGGATATATTGGCAACAGGTAAAGATTTCGAAGATCGACTTATTTCTGGTGATATAACAAAGGTTCCTCATCTCGGTTCACTCAAATTTGCAACCAATATTAATTATTGATCAATTTGTGTCAGATGCAACAAAAATTATCAATGCAATTCGAGATGTTGTATCCAATATGTTTACACTATAGAAACATATCACCCATGATTTAACAAAAACCATTGTGAATCTCGAGATTTTTTCATCAGCATCTGGAAAAAAATCTGATTGAAACGTATGGTGACTTTCGATTCATATTGCACTCGGAATCGATTAGATTTAAGCATGTGATCAATGCCATTGTGGAATCAATCTCCATTAAAAGTACAACTACACTATTGCAACGCACACAAGATGAGATCGTAATAAATATTGATGCTTTAACACATTTATTACATATTCAACAATTATTCCACGATTTAATGTGAGCCGTAGCAGATAGAAGTACTGAACTTGTCGCTCCAGTAGTTTCATTATTATCGAATGTTTTTCGTCAATTAAATTGAGTTGAATACTTTTTCATCTCTCTTCTAATTTGCTACTTGTATTTCTTAAATCGTTTTTTGCCAATCCTATTCTAATTGTATGACCACACTGTAAACCAATGCCCTCTGATGTCGCATGATGTCACTGATATCATCCAATATTTATCTATTTGTATAACGAATGTTCTACGTTTCCTTTTTGCATTGTTGACACATGGCTCAGCCAGTCAGTCAATCAGCCAGCCAGTTGGTATCCTTTGATCAATAGAAATTAGGTTGTAGTTAGATTACTATACACTTTATTATTTGTTAGAATTTTAACAGGTAATTTTTGTCATTGACTTGTACTTTCAATAATATTTAAATAGCAAGATCATTGACTTAGTTTCGAGTAAGATGTATCGAAATATGAAGAGTTATTAAACAATTGAGATCTGCATTATGTTTTCTAGAGTAGCCGTTCGATTTAACGAAAAATCCTATCAAAATTTATTTGTCAAACTTCAGGACTTATTAATGTAGAATTTTAGCAAACCTACAGTCGAACGAAAAGATTGGCTAGTGCCATTTTAAAATTATTATACAGTGAAAGTAGATATGATATAACCGATTATTAGTCACTAGATGATAAAATAATTCATTTTAGTTTAAATTTCTTATGGGTAATTAAAGCAACGATCATGATGACACGGCACAAATTCTGATATGTATACAAAACGAACAGATAATGCCATTAGTTGTTTGTTTTTTTAATCATACGTATGCATTTTTCTGTAATGTCCTTCGGTAATTCCTATCAACAAAATGGCGGATCTGAATCATTGTCAATGACTCAATATTGTATGACGAACAGACCGGTGACTATAGGAGACATCTAGATGTTTCTTTATATTATATGATTAAGTGATGTATATATTTTCACGAAAACAACTTTCACATTCGTTTCATTCGACAAAAAATAGTATTGACAAACAAGTAGGTGCTCGATAAATCTCTTGCGTTTCTTATCATCATTTTATATTCTCAGAGTGAAATCATTACTTTTAGCGCCAAATCCATAGTATGAAAAACTACCTACTATTTTCAGATTTTAATTATCGACGTAATATTTATTATGCAACTTTCCCATAGTTGAACATTTGCGTGCTCTAAAAATATTACTTAATGCCAGAAATTTTTTCAATTTTAGATAACATTAAATATCTAAACTTGCAATAGACAAAAACAAATGCATATATCAATAGCAAAATTTGGTGGCTCTGAAAATGTGCTAACAGTTGAAATTGCATCCGATCTTTCATTAAAAGATTTAAAAGCTGTTATTGAAGCTGAATCTGACTTTGCTATCAAAGCTGAGGAAATGAGTCTATATTTTGAAGGTAAAATTTACAGCAAGAACATTTCTTTTTCTAAAACTATTAATTTAATTTTGTTTTCAAGGTAAACTACTTGGCGACGATAATCAAACGCTTGCACAATGTAAATTCAATGATTATGATTTACTTACTTGTCAACGAGCATCAGGTATTTTATTTTCGATATGTTTTGGGAGGATGTATTCAGATAAAATGAGTCCTAACGTATATAGGTCTCGAGTTAGTTAATGTGAAATTTCAGATTTCTTTTGTGTATATTTAGCTAATCATGGTTTAAGACCAGAGCCAGCAGCTACGTCACGTCGAAACATGAACCGTATGTGTTTGATCTCTGTTGAAAAAGAAAATTTTATTTAAAAATCGATATGTGGTTTTTGTAGCACGTGATCCTCGTCAACTTTTTGAAATGATTCGTAGTAATCCTGAAATGCTTCAACAAATTCGCCAAAATTCTCCACAATTAGTCGATGCTGTTCAGCGCGGTGATTTCAGTACGAGAATAAAAATTCAATGTTTTTTCTTCTAATCATCTAATTGCAGATAGATTTATGGAACATATAGCCGCTGGATCACCTGAAATGCAACAACGAATGGAACTTGATCGACTTGCTAGTCTTGATCCATTCGATCCTGAAGTGCAACGACGCATTCATGAAATTATCAAGTAAGAAAATAATTTATAACGAGCTTTATCTTTCGAATATTGTATTTCAGTATGCAAAATGTTCAAGAAAATATGGAGCACGCTGTGGAACACGCTCCTGAAGTCTTCGGTCATGTGATTATGCTTTATATTGTATGAAGGACATGAAGTCGAAGTTTTTCTTAATTTTTCATATGGTTTATTTAGAATTGTAAAGTAAATGGTCATCTTGTTAAAGCTTTTGTTGATTCAGGAGCTCAAATGACAATTATGAGTAAAGCATGTGCTGAACGTTGTGGAATAATGCGTCTTGTTGATCGACGTTTCAGTGGCATTGCAAAAGGTGTCGGAACACAAAAAATTCTTGGACGTATTCATCTTGGTTTGTTTTTATTTTCTCTGTAGTTTTTCTTTTTCTAAGTTTTTTTAAATTTATTTTAGCCCAACTTGAAATCGAAAAAAATTATTTTGCAACATCATTATCTGTGCTCGAAGATCAGCCAATGGATATGTTATTAGGACTCGATATGCTTAGGCGTCACCAAGTAATTATTTACAAGGATATATATATTATTTTTGTTAAATTTATTTTTAGTGTGTTCTTGATTTACATAAAAATACCCTTCGCATTGGTAATGCTGTTGAGACAAATTTTCTTTCTGAATCTGAATTACCAATACATGCAAAACTATCGGGCAATACACCCGATATTGAGGATGATATTTCCAATTCAACAAGTAAATATTCCAATTTTACTTTTCAATAAATCTATTTGTTGAGATGGAATAAAATTTGAAAAGATTCATTACTTATCATTCGACTTTTTCTTCAGAAAAAGAAATATTTCAATATTTATGTGAACGTAGAAAGCGTTTCAATGACAGTTCATAATCATAATATTGTGTTTTCGTCTTAGACTCTCCAAAAGAGACGACGAAAAGAATTCGATGCAAGTAGTTTGCTATTTATTTGTAATGTTTTTTTCACTGTAATTAGTCTTTCTTGTATAACATGAGTTACTATTATATAGCTTAATTTAATTAAAGAATGATTTAGCAAATAATCGCATTGTTTTGTTTTCTTTCATTCTTTTTAGCTGAGAATAATTCTCAAACACGAATGGAAGTATCAACGACAGCAAGTTCAACACCAGCTCCTTTCCCAGAAGATTCAATTAAGCATATAACAAAGGGTGGTTTTACACGAGAACAAGCAATAGAAGAATTAAAATCAGCAAATGGTGATGCAACTAAAGCACTTGTTTCATTGATGACGAAATCATTATCGATACCTAAAAGAAAACGTTAATTGTAATTTTTTATATGTATATTTCAAAGCATACGTTTTTAATCAAATCCAGAAATGGATTCATATCACTTTTTTTTGTCTTATGCTTTAAGCAATTTTTATATCGGGATCAATGAACTTGTTCATCATACGCCTATATTAAATATATACGGGATAAAGGAAAATTATTATTCTTGTTAATGATTATGACTCGAGAAAAATGAAACTATGAAAGATTTATATTCAAAGTACTGCTATCTTCTGAATCTTTGGATCGTGATGTTAAAGATTAATATACTGTTTCACTCTCATCTATGTTGCATATGTCGGCCTTGTGGCCTAATGGTTAAGGCGTCTGACTTCGAATCAGAAGATTGCAGGTTCGACTCCTGCCAGGGTCGGTCGATATTTTTTCATCTTTTTTTTTGTATCTTTGATACAATTACAAATTCTTTCACAGATTAATCCATCATATAGATGATCGGCCTTCTTTTTTTTTCGCAACAAAAATACTATGAAGAAGATCACGAATTATGCAGATTGATTGTTAATATATTTGATATTTTGAAAAAAAAATAAATGAAATATCTAACAGTTAAATACATATATTTTATCCATATAGGAAAGTTAAAAATGATTATTCTATTTCATAGATTTTATTATTTGAGCTTTACAAAAAAAAAATTCGATCCGTTTATTTTTATATATTATGAGATGAAATGTTAGATATTTTATTCGAAAAATGTGTTATAAAAATTTATAAACTCCTCACCAAATATATTTGTAGTTTCGATTGCATTTTCTTCCCAAAAGCCTAACAGTAATTCGACACTATTCATTTTGATTTTCAGATCGAACGATTTCAATAATAATTGGTAATGGGCATTTGCCAAGAGTAAAAATATGTTCAATAAAAATTTTATTTTGCTTAACTGATTATTCGTTGTCTTCATTTAATGGTAAATAAGCACAAGTAGACGAAGTGAAATCCCTTTGGAATCTTCTCCTTTGGAATCTACTCCTTTGGAGAAAGAGAACGCGCTAAAAAATGGTATTTGCTGAAACACTATGTAAAGAATTCTTAATTGTTATTGCTGAATAAAATTATTTGTTGGTTTCATTGTTATTTTGAAGTACAATAGAGTAATACTCATTGAATATTATGGCTTACCTTACAATCGTTCGAGAACGTTCTTTTATTCAGAACTACGATGTTCTATCAGGCACAGTTGAATACATTCCTATTTCAGACTTTTTTTTGTTTGAATTCATTTGATCAGCAACCGTATAGACCCACATTGTTTTGTTAATTGCTTCATTTATCAGCATTTCATTTTCTCAGTCCCATGATGTTGAAAGTTCGCTCATTTTCACCAGATTCGTATACGATAACCATCTTCTCCTATAAAGTAACTGAATAGAAAGATATATTATAGTATAAAAATTACGCCATTACGTATTATTAATTACTTGATTTAGGTTGATACTCTAACCGTGTAGTTCTTTCTGGATCATGTTCATACCAACATTTTGTTTTATCGTATGTAACTGGTTCAAAACATCATGTATGTTTCATCTCGCAACCAATTCAATATGAACAACTTTGTACTTTTTCGAAATTTTTACATAATTTAAATATCTTCAATGATACTTTCATAATTTCAAAATGAACGCAAAAATCGTGCAAGTCGAAACTATTTTTCTGTAGCCAATTTTCTTGTCGAATGCTCATCTCCGATCTCACTTATCCAAGTTTCGACTTCTACACGATCATTCAATTCAGTGCTTGGTTGTACAAGAATATTAGTCATGTCCAATTCGAAACTTCTCGATAAATCTTCACCAATAACATTTGCTAGTGTATTCAGGTTCATCCGAAATGAAAACGGTACCGAAATACATACTAAGGTACGCGCTTCTTTTGTACAGTGCATTATACGCTACGAAGAAATACTTACGTCTATCATTTGGCACTCGTAATTTTTCAAGAATGAATAGAAATCCTTCAAATCGATGTTGCTTTTTTGTCTAGCACGATTCGATCAATGGTATCATAGCTACGATATAAATGAAAATAATTTTGCTTACTCGTCTAATATGAAGTATGGTTCATTATTGTTCAAATATTGTTGATTAGGAAACATTCTGTTAACAGATTGAGATTTTCTACCACGAATGACTGTAACCAAAATCAGAAGAATGCTTCTCGGAAAATTTCTACAGAGTAAAAATGTAATATTTATCATAATCATCAAGTTAAAAATCAAGATGTATGTTGTAGACAGCAGAATAGTAAGTATTTCGGTATATGCATCGTGATCTGTAATCAGTATCTCGAAGTACGTGTTAAAAATTGGCGACGAATCTGAGTAGTTAGTTTCAGTTGAACTGGGGGCCAAATGTGTAAATTCTCTTTGCTCTCAAATGAACACACTCGAATATAAATCACTATATCATTTTTATTTGAGTTAATGTAGAAAAGAAAATGAAAATTATCATTGATATTGCTATTAATCGCGTGTTACAAGTATTATTTCACTGGTGATTGAATTGAACCAATGCTTCATAAATTAATAACAATAGTATTTGCGTTTACTTCTCTATTACAAAAAATACTCTTGAATCGAAAAATCTGTTTGTACATTTGCAAATAATTTTTTTATAATAATGTTGCCTTTAAAAAGTATTGACAAGAGAACATTTTTGGAAAAACTCTATGATTTATCACTAGTTTATCGCATTTCAGACTTAAGATTATCCAGTCTAATATTACTTGGCGATCAAAACAGAAATCTAGCAGCACATCCATTGTTACAGTAGTCCATATGTTGACTTTTTCTTATTATTGATGAAACACTTCCATATTTTATGTAAAAGAAGAATAACTTGTGCTTAATTCATGAGATGCCTAGTTCGAATTCGAATATAAATGGACACCCAACTGCATGGTATCGATTCGAAAATAATTGACGCGGCGACTAAGGGGTAACTGTGGGTGAAGGGTATATATGTATTCATATGTCCAGTGATTTATCTACCGTATGGGCAGGGTAGGCGCCGCCCACCCGAAAATAAACAGTTGATTTCATAAAAGTAACGGGTGGCCTTTAAAGAATGGTGGTCTCATTATTTACCCAATATCGTTTTTGCTCTTCATTGATTTGAACTGAACATTTTCCCAAAAGATTGAGCATTCAATTCTCTATAAACTCATATGTAAAAGATTTTTTAAAACTACAAAACGGCTAAGTACTAAAACGAAGAAAAAAGGTTAAAAAATCTTCAACTTTCAAGCTCAACATACATTAACATTTGGAGTATGTTTCGACAATTTATACACAGGCTTAAGTTACGGGAGAAACATTTTCTGGTATTTTCAAGTACGCTCTTTTCAATGTATTTGAAAAACATTTCTTTAAGAGTGGTAATCGCCTGTTAAATCGATATTTTCTGAAAACTCGTCCATAACGCCTTAATTTTGGTTTACAAGAAAGTATACTGCAAACGAAACTTTGCATCACTCGAACAAGTGTACAGGAGTGTAGTCGAGTATATTGGCTTTCAAAGAAAAAGAAATCGTCAAAAAATAACACTTTTTAAGTGAATGGCATGCGCTTTAGTGCAAGCATCAAAAACATGACACCACATTTGTGTTTTTTAGAACAAACAAAAGAACTGATGCAGAATTTTTTACTCATTTTGTAATGAAACAAAATTCGAAGACATGAATCTTGCCCAAAATCTGATGCTCTTTAACATGATAGGCTGAGTTTTTTTTGTAGATCCTCACATGGAACGCTAATTAAAAAAAAGCGGATTTAGTGCTTGAAAGTTGGAGATTTTTTGACCTTTTTTCTTCGTTTTAGTACTTAGCCATTTTGTAGTTTAAAATATTTTTTACACATGAGTTTGTAGAGAATTGAATGCTCAACCTTCTGGGAAAATGTTCAGTTCAAATCAATGTAGAGCAAAAACGATATTAAGTAAATAATTAGACCGCCATTCTTTAAGGGCCACCCGTTACTATGCGATAACAAATTTTCTAGCCAGCAGCCCCTCCAAAAATTTCAACCGCCCACCCGAAAAATAAAATCTAGTTAAAACACTGCATATGTCGCATATATAGAAAAGTTAAACTAAGACTAAATCTATTCCTAGATTTAGTTTTAGTTTAACTTTTTCTTTTCTCCATTTATATTCGAACTCGAATTAGACAGCTACTCGACGCATTATTCCAAGATACTCGTTTTCTACTTGCCAGCGCTGCTTTCGTAAAATTTTTCATTCTCGAACAATCACTTTTACTTTCTCCGTTATTAACAGCTTTGTTGCGTTTTCGAAATCAGTGTAGATAGATGAACTTTTATATTGCAGATGTAAGTAAATATTATGTGGCTACACACACACACAGTATTATATGAGCTGAGATAATCTCTATATTTTAATGAGAGAAAAATAATGTCGTTTATAGGTTCTACAAGCATAATCAAGGAACGACTCTTTTTTTTATTTATTCGAATATCATCTTAAAAGTGTTGATATTTCCTTTCAACAGTTCCCATATCAGTTCATTTAGATATAAGTTATCATTAAAGAAATAAAAAATATTTTTTGCTGAATTCTTACACTTTCTGCTTTCAGCAAGTGAAATTGAGAGTGAAATTAGTTTATAAATCTTTGATTTACTTGATTCTCAATGACAAGAAACACATTATCCGCCAAGATCTTAAACGTAGACACTAATCAAGAGAAGGCCCGCCACACTTACCTAAGATATATTCTCAGTAAATGATTATGGTTATTCATGTACAAGTATAATCTATGCGCAACGTTCCTCTAGTTTGTTAGGGAACAGTCTTGCATTCAGAGAATTACTCTTAGATAATGAAAGTATCTAAATTTTTATGATTTTAATTCAATATTTTTCTTGAAGTTTTCTATGATAGGGTCTAGTATATTATCGTGTTCAGTATTTCATGAACATTTCTATTTTGTGGAACTCATATATTCTCGAAGAAAATGGTGAGTGTAAGTTTAAAAGCGAGATTTTTGCGCCTCCCCGAGCAGTCATCCTATTCCGCAATGTTGAACATTTCGGAACCAGTTCCACTCCCGGAATCAGTTCCGTCGATTCTGGAATTAGTTCCTCCGATTTCGGAATTAGTTCGTCCGATTCCCGGAATTCGGTGAAAGCGGAGTCGCTGGGAATTCGTAGTAATTCCGGAATTACAACTTGTGTAAATATTTCAGCTTGTCTTACCCATTTCGAGATGATCCGATTCCGATCCGGAATTCCAGAATTAGGTCAATACGGAATAGCTGGGAATTAGACGGAATTCCGTGTAATTCCGTTCAATTCCTATTCGACCTAATTCCCGAAATTCCGTGCCGGAATTGCATGGTGTGGGTATAAATGTGGGTGTTGCCATAAGTGTGGGTGTGGATGTTAGTGTGGGTGCACTGAATTCCGTAACCGTTGGGAATTAGGCGGAATTCGTATGAATTCCGTGTAATTCCGGAATTGAATCGGAAGTGATAAACGGAATTAAATGGAATTGATCGGCAGTGATTCCGGGAATTGTGTTGGAAGTGACAGGCGGAATTTCGGGAGTTAGATGAAATTGTTTCCGTGAGCGGAACTGGTTCCGGAATGTTCAACATTGTGGAATAGGATGCATTCTCGGCTCCCCACCCCCTCCCCATTACAGACATTAATTAGTTTAAAATTGTGCTAATTATTAGCTTGGCTAATTAGGCTGCTATTTTTTCTCTTTTTAGTTACAGACTACACGAAAAAGCTATACTTGCCCATTACAGACCATAGTAACCAGCTTATGGTACCATTACAGACCATAGAAACTAGTATCTGTCATTGTTAAATATACTAGCTAACAATTAATACTCGATTACAAATATAAGAAAATAGGCAATGACCTAATTATAGGTTTTGGAAATCAGGATAGATTTTTCAGATGAACTATTTTGAATTATTTTAGTAAGCCGAAGGGATATATGTGAGTTCCACATTTTAGCCCCAAAGGGGCTGCGCTAACAAGCTTTTTTTCCCTATTTCCTGTCGCTCACTCTCATTATAATTATGCGTGAGAATGAAAGTGAAAGACATGCGTTCCTTTTTGCTTTATTCGTTTTCTTCTTTGTACGTTTGTTTGGTTATTTCCAACAAAGTTAATCACATCTGACTTAAAACTTTTATTTATTTCGCTTCAAATAACATGTAACATGACCCGTTTCTGTGAAGGAAAAATGATGCAACATTACGAATTTCACATAGCTCATCATTAGTAATCTTTGCGTCATAAAATTAGTAATATCACGTGATAAATAATGAGAATGTTATCAGAATGTGAATACATTATTATTTAATAGCTGGCATCGTGTGTGTAAGAGGAATATGTGTGGTGTCAAAATTTATGTTGATAAGCCACTTGAAAGATAATGCTAAATCAATACACTATTTTTTCATTGCTTAAGAACTAATTTTAAACGAGATAAAAGCGAAGGAATGAAAACAAATTCACTATTGGAGACATCAGGTAAGAATTGTTGAAAATACAGTGGGTTTTTCATTTTGAATAAAGTGAAAGGAACTGAGTGGTAGAAAATGACAAGTGGATTTTAACACTGGTTTTCTGTGATTTCCAGTAAGCCATCGTTTGATAACTAAGACTTGAAAGCACACAACATTAATGAAATTTTGAAAACTGTAGGTCATATGTATGGTAGGAAAATTATCAAGAAATCAAGTTTGAAAAAATAAATGAACAGAGATTATGTGAAAAGATTTTTCACTCTGTTTCTAAATATCTCACAAATTATGTTAATTTGGCACTGCATTTACAGTTACTTTCAAACATCTCAGGAAATCTGAAAGAGTGGCTAAATTTATGACATTTAAGCTTGAAAAATGAACTCGGGTATCCTTATAATTTGTGTTAGATCTTTTTTTTTTATGTTACACGACAGGTCTTCGCGTGGGATGCAGCAGCCTCATCCCATCCTACGGGAAATCCTATTACGCGATCATGACCATTTTTCTCCGCTAGGATATCACAACAAATGTTTTTCTTTCAGTATACTAATTTCGTACCACACATTACATTTGGAATTACAGAAATATGACGTACATCAATTCGTTCATTTTTTCAATCATTTTTTTCCTAAGTGAGTTCTTTTCACACTTGTGTTTCCCGACTCATGAATTACGAAATTTCTTCAAGGTTATCATAGATATTTGAGTAATAGTGTACAATTACCTCACGTATGTTACATGTTTGGTGATCGTCACTTAATACCATTCCCTAAACGGGCTGCTGGAAATCATGGGCAATACCATTGCCAGCAAGAAGGGGAGCAAATCCTGATATCTAATAAATATGTTCGTGGAACAATCAACGTTAGCAAGATTCCATCCTGGAATGAGCATGTAATATTTTTATTTGCAATCTCGACCGAGAACACGATTAAATGTTCTTTATTCGTTCTAGTTTCGATTCGAATTCTATGCTGGAACTGGAGAAATAATTTGCTCCGTCACTTCACAAAACTGTCATTGTGGCGACTTAACTAAGCGTATGTAGCACGAGTAGCTGCCTAATTCGAGTTCGAATATAAATGGAGAAAAGAAAAAGTTACTCTAAAACTAAATCTATTCCTAAATTTAGTTTTAGTTTAACTTTTCGATATATGCGATATATGAATACATATATACTCTTCACCCGCACCCACATTTGAGCACTCATCCATGGTATTCATCATCCACAACCACATTTAAAGTGCGCTGGGCACCCCTGCACCCTTTCCAGGCACCCCTCCTACCTGTCCCCTCAATCGCACCGCCACCCACAGTTACCCCTTAGTCACCCTCAACCCACACTCACTCCATCTTAAACTAAATATAAAACTAAAACTAAATCTATTTCTATCACTTATTTTCGAATTGATACCATACAGTTGGGTGTCCATTTATATTCGAATTCGAACTAGGCATCTCATGATATCGCCAGCTAATTCTCGTAGAAAGTGATAATGTGAATTTTACTCAAATAAGAAGAAAATATGATATTTCATAAGAGGTACAATGATTTTTCGTTGTCAACTGAATAGACTCTTCTGCGTTTTAAATCAGTCGGATTTATCTTGACGAAATGAGAATTTTGTCTTAAAATCCAAAGGTTTCATATATTGTAGAAAAAAAAAATTATAACGCTTTTGTAATTGAATAGAATTTCTGACAGAATTTATTTGAATACCACGACAGAAATCTTTTTTTTCCATTCGGATAAAATTTTTCATTATTGTATTTCACTTTTCATGTTTATTTACTAAAAGATTTATTAATGACGCATATATGCAGTTAGCTATGAAATATTGTAGATTTTTCTTAATGCAACAGATTTCCATACAGTGTTCTAACATGTACTATGTTGTCGTATTGCTTTATCGTTCTCTACAGGTATTCTTATTATTCGTTCACTCACATCAATCGATATTTATTATCGATATTTGCCAACCCACGATCTTCGAATTGCAATAACGATATATGTGAGTAATATTTTGTCGACTTGACCATTTTTACTATTAAATACTTGTTAGAACATCGGTGAAGGCAAGGTTGTTCATGATATTCAGATCATGCAACATCGTTCTTTGATACGCCGTTCTTCTGGTTTATGCGTGGCATTTAATCAAACTTGTCATCTAGAAAGCAATATACGTGGTAGTCGATCACGAGCTTCTACAGCTACAGTAGCGGCATATGTGTGCTCTATGTTTCTGAAGGAAGCATACAATAAGATCAAGGAACTTGCTATTCCTGTTTCACAAAACTATGTGAGCCATGCTAAAGTCGCTTGTATCAAGGACCTAAATATGCACCATAATAAAAAAGTGAATAATTCTTAATAAGCGATGAATACTTTCATTTCTATGTTTTCTTTTTATAGTTCGCTAAGAGTTTGATCATTCTTTTACTTCGCGATGGTCTTTACAGAAAGACGATGAACAATAACCTATGCAAAAAACAAACCTTACAGATATTACAAGCTATCGAGCAAGCCACTGTACTTGCAAATCAACAAGCAATGACTCTTATCACAAATACTACAACGTATCTGAACTGAATAAATACTATTTTATAATTAAAAACTTGAATTTTAATTTTGTGCACTTTTTATATTAATTCAGATGACTTTTTTTATATTAATTCAGATCGCTTTTTTTTATAGTACCTCATGTCACGAAAATTGCTGTCATTTTCGTGATATGGGAAACTTACGTTGTTGATGAATAATATCTTTAATCGAAATAAAAATTTCCTGAGACATTAATTTTCATTAGGCATTATAATTAAATGTTCAAAAAATAATTCTGGATTTTTTCTTCAGATGCAAACAACTATGATAAGTAATGAATTAGTAATTTTGACTGACTTCTTCTTATTTAAAATATTCAGAGATAAAAAAAGACAGATATGAATAATGTTATCTATAGATACCAATGACAATAGCTGCTGAATCTTACGGTTATGCTCAATATGAACTTTTATTTATTGAACAACTAGAAATCCTTTTTAAGGCTTCAAATTGTCGCAATATCTGATTCAGCCATATTCTATAATAATATTATCTTCATCAGTCCTTAGAACAATCTCGCATTTATATTAGGGATAATATCAATCCACATATCAAGGCTGATGATATTTGGTTGAGATTCATGATATTATTAGGCTTCTTTTTCTTTTTCACATAGTTTCAATGTATGATTGTTTATTCATAGCATGAAAATGGGACTACTTCTGATTTTCACTGGGGCATTGAAATGAATATAGACATACGAATAGCAGAAGTGAATAAATAAAGTGTATAGTGGAAAGCTTGATTGTATTTATTCGACAAAATCTTGACTAGCGAGACAATGTGCTATATAGCATGAACAGCAATATATGATATAGATATACAGTACTGAAAATTGTTATCTGGTTTATGTTAAGTCACATTTTCCATAACGAGTATCGAACAGTAATCCACTTTTCTATTCACTGAGTGATACCAAAAGCCATTTGAATCAGGTGTTATTCAATTCTTTTAAAACTCTTTCAAAGTGAATATCGAAAGTCCGGATGCTAAAATAACAATCTGAGCATAGTGAGAATTTCTCTTTTACAAGCAATTAATAATTACCCAATCACATGGTTCTTCAACGCTTTCTTCTCGCTTATGTTCGACGAGTGATAGGTGATTTCGACGATTATTTTCTTTCTTCAAGCAAGCTCGTTGAATGTATGTGACAATTAAAGCAACCGATACTGCTCCACCACTGATTATGTGCCCTCGTTGCATTATGGATGTGTTGGCATCGCGATAGAACTAAAACATGTTAAAATCTGAATTATTTTCAAATAGTATGATTCTTTGTTAGAATGAGTTCATTTCCTCTATCAGTTAAGTAAGTAAGTCACGTTAAAGCAACCCGAAAACATTTTGAGTCCGTTTTCTTAGATAAGAATCTATAAAATAGTACTATCGCGTACCTCTGTCACAACAATGCCTCCAAGCTGAGAAATACTGATGAAGCAACCGATTGCCACTGCTCGTTTCACATGACCACCCACATTATTTGTTGACCAAGCTAGTAGTATGGGTGATGCTCCACATAGGCCAAATACAGCCATGCAGAGTCCCACATATGCTGCTGCAGAGCTTATTTCTGACAAACTTGCAAGGAAGACGTAACCAAACAAAGCAACGAACAGAAAAACAGTTATGTGGAATCCATGTTCGTAGCAACGAAATGCAGAATAGCTACCCGAAAAACAGCTCACAATGGCAATGATATATAGACCAATCATATATAATTCTATAGGCGAGTTTGTAAAGCTGAAGCTATTTAACAAAGGTGGAATAATCACCGGGAAACATCTGAGAATACCCAGACTTCCAAGGTAAATCGCACAATAACGGTATATTTTCAAATCAATAAATACGTAACGCACTTGATGCCAGGAAAAACAATTATTTGATTCTGGTTCATTGTTAGCCATATACACATCAGTGAGAAGAATTTCTGTGAGGAAGTCTTTTTCAACATTGCTCAACCCTAAATATTTGCTTAAATATTCATGTTATTCTCCAATTTCACACTAATACGTACACTGAACAGTTTCGGGTACTGTGCCAAAACAAAAATAATTAACAATACCGAATGGAATAATCGGTAATCCGTTAAGTAAAGCGAGCCATTGCCAATTTTTTAAACTTGTAACTGTATCCATTTTATTGATAATATAGAACTGAAATACATAACCAATGTCAGTCTATTATCATTCTAGCATGATTTGCATACTCACCAAAAATTCTTCAAAAGCACCGAAAATATAAGAAGCTCCGAGAAATATAGCAAGTCTCATGATCTGATCTCTTCTTCTATACCAAAGCGATATGTAAATCATGATACAAGCAAAATTACCCGACTCGATTACACCCTTCAATAATAATCTCACGTCGATACATCCTTGTATATCATTATGCTAATATAGACTTACAAGAACACAACGCAAAGCAATTAGTTGTTTGCCATTAACCACAAAAGCAGTGCTACAAGTGAAGATACCCCAAAGAATCATACACAATACCATATACCGTGTTAGGCCAATATAACGCGGGAGTATTGTACTTGGTACCGCAAAGATCAACTGAAGCACAAATACGAAAATAAAGTTCCAATCAAAATGAGTATGTTCCTATTCAGCTAAGCTCAACCGTGCTTTATCTATTGACTATTTGTTAAGATTTATTAATTATCATAATGTTTCAGCACAACTACACTCGCCCAATCCATTCTCACATGTTCATGCTGCTCATGAATGTGATTAGGATATATGCTTCCGATAGAAAAATACAAAAGGTTTAGACGAAGTAAAATAATCATGGCAATCAGGATCCGTAGTTTAATGAAGCTATCAAAACGTTTATATTTCCCTAAAAATCCCGACTAAAATTTGTTATAAGTGTCTATTAGAGCTATACTTACATAGCCTACATAATATGCCGATACTGAAAAAACCGTCTTCTTCTGGCGATAAATTGAGATCACTTCTAAAACGAGTCAGTCGTATAAAACCTAAATGAAACTTAGATACTATAGACAAGTCGATTATTAATGTAGTGGTAGTAGACCCATTGTATAATGAGAACCAAACATGAATAGTTTGAGAATTGTTATATAAGGTATAATACGAATGTCGATTTTTCGGATGAGTCGAGATGTAGCTTTTTTCAAGTTTGCCACAGTATAATTCTGCGTAATCGTCGTCATCTATTTGATATAAAGGTGAATACTTATTTACTTCACTGTATTTATTAGTGTACAAGATCAACTTTTCATGTCTTTTCACTACCTTTTTTGTGAAATTTCAAGTCACTTTTTAACGTAACAAGTGACTTTTATTAGGCAAAAACAGCAGTGTCCAAGTTCACAAGAGTCGGGAACTCGTTGGGAATTGGGGACTCAAAAATGAATGAACAGGAATAAGCGATGATAAACCAAAGCATAGCAACCTTATGAGGGGTTCCAAGGAACTCAGGGACTCTAAGGAATGCTGGGATTCGAATGAACTCTGAGAAGCCCGGAATTCCAAGGAACTATGGGATTCCATGGAACTTTGGAAAACCAGGGAGGTCACAAATATGAGAAAAATAAGAGTCTAGTCTCAATTCGCTCGGGTTGGACCATCAGTATATTGAGTACTATACTTAATTGGCATGAAATCTAATCGCGATAATGGACATAATTGAGTGAAGGCATATCCATTGACATAATAGATATATGAGATACGGTGGAGAAATGCGCAAATTTTCTGTTCGCTTTAGAATGAGTTGCGATATTTTACAGTGATTGTTTATTATGCTTTGATAAATTTATACGTTGAAGAAAAGTGGAATTTGGGAACTTCGGATCGTTCGACTTCGGCGATAGTGGGATATAGGAGAATCATGATTGATGGTATCATTCAGTTTTTAAGCGACGAAAATATTCTACCTATGAAATATTTCTGGGTGCTTATATGGGTAGATAAATAGGTAAATCAGGTTATCTATCTATCCAGACAGCAATTGAGAGCGGACACTATCTAAATATACATTTGTTTGTTTAGCTATTCCTCTAATGGTGTTGCAACTGTTGATAATATTCACATTTACAGAGAAACAGACAAATCTAGTTATGACAGTCGGTGTCGCGACAGGATTGACAGCCTCAGCGGGATTCATAATAGAACAAATTGACAGGGACGTTTAATTTGCCGTATTCAAGTCTGGTACCCATGTAGTTGAGGCAAAAATCAATTTGGTGGAAACTTGTGAAACCTATTGAATCGGTTGGCGATAATCAGAGAAAGGCGCGAGGAATTTCTTGTAGTGGAAAGTTGTCAAGTATGCGTAAAATGATGTTATTATTGTTGTGTCAAAGATATGACTGCTCTATAGCACACCAAGTTGGGTGTGGATGAATCAGTTAGAATAGCAACACCCACACCCTTGGCCATGTCTCTTTGCGCATGATATTTTTATATTACGTCAATAACTACTTGTTCTTTTTCTCTACAGGATAATTTGCACAGGTAGAAGTATTTTATTGTATGAGTTTCCAATGTCAATAAAGAACCATGGGGATCAGAGGTACTAGAGTCATATAAAAGAATATTCTTTCCGCCAATTATGCCATATATAGGGGAGTTTCTGCGCATGAAATTATGTAAATATTTTTGTTGGAAGAAATCTTTTTTCCTACTGTATAAAAAATAAGTTGGTCTGCTTCGATCGTCCTTTGTGAGTTTGTGTGCGCTTTAGAAACGATAAGTCTTCTACTCATACATATTACCTGAGGAATGAAGAAATTATCGAACTTCGTTATGAAGTTTCGAGAAAAAGGACAAGCCTCTTGTGCCCATACGAGTATCGATTCAAAATCAGCAATAAATTTGACTTCGGCACCATCATTTATTTGGATGTATCAGTCGAATATCGATCCATGGAATGATAATCAGGATACTGAATGGACCCCATGATCAGATGATATGTCAGTAGCTATAGAAAATGCTTTCAATGCTGGTGCTGAACATATATTCGTTGATGATTATTATCAGATAGATTTAAAAAAATTAGTCCAAATCAATATGGACGATGTGCATCTACAGCGGCGCGTTCGACGGCAAAATCGTTTTTCACAAATGGATGGCACCGAAGACAATGAAAATAAATTTGGACTTCATGAGAGATTAACCTTTCCCGTAGACACGGCTCCGAGGTATAGTACAACAATAGATACGTTGCATCGTGGTTCGCCATTCATTCGAGATTGGATATTGACATTTACTCATGGTAACTTTGTTGTCACTTTTGATTGCATCTTTCCAGTTCTAGTGGAAGGTTTAAAGTATGAAGGTGAAACAAACGATGAACCAAAATCTAGTATCGATATTTTAGTCAAAGAGTTGAATGATGTTCAAGAGAAGTCCTCTAAAAAGAAAGAACACGAACGTATTCAAATGTTAGAAGATATTTGTGCCAAACTATATACAAAAAACTTCTATGTCTACAGAATTATCAATACAGCTTTACGTGATAATAATTTACAGAAATTGCACACCCTAGGTCCCTATTGTTATCTTCTATATAACTGTATTGGTCGTGCTAATAAAAATGATTTTTCTGGTCGTCCATTTTTTTGGCAGAAATTTCATTCAAAAGAGCCATCATGCACGATCGTCTATCGTGGAGATTATATTACTAATGAAAGAATAGAAGAATATAGTCAAGCAGCTGGGAACAAGAAAAAATATTTTAAATGGCTTCAATTTGTTTCTACTTCAAAATGCCGCGATGTAGCTGATAGCTTTGGGCAGAATGTTACGTATGTGATTGAACTTCGACGGCGCTCGTCTGACGATCAATTTACATTCTTAAACAAAAACACATATTTTCTTACTGAAGAAGAAATTCTTTTGCGACCTGGAACGCGATTCCGAGTAACTGCTGTGAAACATGACGATCTAAGTAGAAGAGCGTTGATTCATATTAAAATTCTTCCATCATATGTATCATACCTGCGATAAACCGTCGATGTTACTTTGAAATACTTCTTTCGTATGCTGATAGAATTAATAGTAGTGAAAATCGAAATCACATAATTTCCCATATTGTATGCATGGAGAAAAGAGCTAAAATGAAACATACTGTGAATGAACAATTAAGTACCAGTTTTTACTTCTCTTTCCTCACTACAAGCCCTGGATCACGATGTTATGTATTCTTTTCTCTCACATTATTAAACTCAGTTATCAGCGAGACAGCAACGTTATGATATGACAACAGAATGGAACAAAATGATAATATCCCTCCGATGGAATCGAATCAACGCCTTCTGCTTTCCGGGCAGCTGTACTACCCCTCTACTAGAAAGGAGCGTGTATTATTCGTTTGTTCCGTCTTATGATTGAAAGGGAACACTTCGGTCGAGTCTATGAGCTTTTCGATTTCAAACTGAATTCTCAAGAAAGAAAAGGCACCCTTAATATACGTGACGCGGTGGGGCGGGGGGCTTTAGAATTCTTAAGTATATAACTATGCATGTGTCTTTTTTTGAGCTGGGGGCTTGGGGGCTTCAGAATTCTTTAGATCTATAAGTATTTATGTGCCTTTTTCGAGCCTGGCGTCTGGAGAGATTCGGAGTACTTGGAGAGCCGTGTTTAAAAGTCTTCAGCTATTTGCTTGGGTATATCCGTTTTCGATTGGTTTGTCGGGGTCCTTAAAATTATATATTGTCAGAGATTAGCCTATATTGTAATCTGGATCGATGAGGGCTAGTGCTCTTTGTGGATGAAATAATATTTTTCCATCGTGATGAGGTTGATCGAATTCGAAGTAGCAATTTTCGTAAATGATTCTCGATTATCAGGAGACGTTTTCATCTTTTTGTTCAACGCTGTTTTTGGGCTAGAAAACCAGGAACCATACTGTTTTATCATTTGCATCTGTTATATGGATTACATGGAGAATCGGATGGATGTTCTATGGGATTATTGGACGACTCTAGATGTTTTTGATGATTCTGGTTTTAATAGTTATATAGCTAAAGAAGTCTAAAGCCCCCCTCCCCCAAGTCTCCCTTTTCCGTATGAATTCGAGTGCTTTTCTTCTCTCATAATTTCAGATGGAAATCAAATGGCCCATTGTATGCTTCGGTCATAACACCCGATAAGTAATAGTGACAGCAAAAGAATCTGATAAATAAAAGGGTTCACCGTCAATTTGTGCCGTTATTGCACTCAGAAGATCGATATGTAAGCAAGTATATTGAACGATCTGATTAACACGAACCGATTCTTCGTGCTTGTTGCAGTCGATGGAATAGCGCATTGGTTCATACTAGATTTATACCTATTAGAAAACCAGCAGTGTCCAAGTTCCCAGGGGTCGGGAACTCTTTGGGAATTCGTTGGAAATTGGGAACTCAAAAGTGAATCAGCAGGAATCAGTGATGATAAACCAAAGCATAGCGACGTTATGAGGGAAACGAAGGAACTCTGGAAAGTCAGGGAAGCCAGGGAAGTCTGGGAAACCATGGATCTCTGGGAAGTCACGGAAGTCTGGGAAGCCAGGGAAACCAACGATCTCTCGGTAGTCTGGAAAGTCAGGGAACTCTGGGAAGTCAAGGAACTCAGGGTGTGGGTGTCTTCTACTACCTTCCTTGATACATACACTTGCACTGTATCGTGGATGTGTTGGAGTCCCTGAGTTCGTTGACTTCCTTGACTTCCCATGGTCCTGTGGAGTCCCTGTGTACCCAGAGTTCCTTGAAGTCCCTGACTTCCCAGAGTTCCTTGGAGTCGCTGAGTTCCCAGAGTTCCTTGGAGTCCCTGAGTTCCCAGTGTTCCTTGGAGTAGCTGAGTTCCCAGAGTTCCTTGGATTCCCCGAGTTCCTTGACTTCTCAGAGTTCCTTGGTTTCACATCGCTCATTGATGCTATTTTTTGGAGTTTCCAATTTCCAAAGAGCTCCCAACTCCTGGGAACTTGGCCACGTCTCAAATGAGGAGAGGATATGTTTCGCTTTACAATGATTATCCCAAGACAATATGTGTGAAAGGCAAGTGGTAAAAGGAGGATTCAGCATTTCAGTAGGATTTCGGCAATCCAGGAATCCCATTGGCTCTCACAAGTTTTATAATAACAAATGGTATTCCAGAAATTCGTATTTAACCTCTATGATTCCCACTGTAGTCCTGCAAATCTCATAGAACTCGCTATCAAGGCTTCACTGTTTTATCCCGTGGTCAGAAAAACTGCATTAAACTATTGAGAAAAATCATTTCCTACGTGAACTACTTTTTTCGTATGCGTGATCTGTGCAGACATCAAGATTTGTCCACAGCACATAATATTCTTGCTCCAAATTAAAATTCTAGAACTTAACCTGATTAGATGCATATCGAATCCATTTTGGCAACACGGCAGTTTACTTTTTTATTTTTAAGGGAAAATGTCCGAGGTAGAATAACAAACAGCGGCAACGAATAAGATAAATTAAAGAGATAAAAGAAGTATGTGAAATCACATGAATCTATAGTATCTTATGTGTAACCTTTTATTCATTCAGTAATCTGACAGTTGAACATACTTAAAGCAATCAGGTAGCAGGACAGCCTTCCAGTCTACTGAAAGACAAGATGATGTCTATCTATGACTATATTGTTTTTTGCATTAGTTTTGACACAAGAGAAAAAGAGTTTAAGAGTGAAGAAGAAATCGGCTCGGAGACACTTATTGTATGAAATTGAGATTTACTGGTAGTTGAAAAAGAAGATAACTTATTAATTTTGTCTGATGATCAGCTATATTTCTCTGACTTGGATAAAAAAAAGCAACACTAGATTTGAAGTACTAGTTTGACTCTTGATTCAACGAGTTACAATGATTTCCGTCAGATTAGAGAATACGGATTTTGTTCACACTAGACTCGCACAATTGATCTACTTTGTTTTATTGAAGATTCTCTTGTTTTCTTCCGAGTGAAATTAACATAAAATATGAAAATAAGATTAAAGGCTAGATTATAAACTTGGCAAATACTCTTTAAAATTATCAAAAAGGACTGCTTGTTTTGAAGTAGTCTTTTTCTCATCATTTGTGGCATTTTTGGAAATTTTAATGAAAAGTTCAACTTAGTGGATTTAAAAGGAAAATAAAACAGATTTGACATGTACTGTATTAGCTGAACTTTGCTCGAATATTCGAGATTCTCATCGACTTCCATATATCTATTTTTTTTCTTTTCTAGTTGAGTTACATTAACGGTAAAAGACGGCAAGATGTTACAGTGGCAAAACGAAAAAAATGTTCTCGTCACGGTATTTGAACCACACATATTCTGCTATCCGGGCAGATGTCCTATTCCAATTAGAATAGAAGAGACACATTCACCGTACTCGTCATACATAATGATCTATGATATCCATTATGTAGCAATGTCACGATTTGGGTCGCATTGTTTCGTTAGAAAGCAGTTGCTTCTATAGCCCAGAATGTTCAGTAAACGATATCGATTAGGGTTGGATCTGCACCTTCTTTCTATTTCCACGAAACATCCACATCCACACAATTATTCTCTATACCTCTACATAGTTCTCTTAAAGGAATGGGCTCAAAAATATAAAATGAATGAAGTGATATTTGTTATGGATGAGCATGAATCATAATTTCAGTATTTTTCAGGCATCTACATCAAGTATTCATGGGACTTCCATCAGAATCCCGGGAATCCGCCTTTTCACCCTTGGTGAAAGATCATTTGCAGTTCCTAGAGGAGTTTAAGTGTATTGAACAACAAATATTCTAACGTGCTAAATAGTATTATAATGTGTAAGCTTTGCTGAATGTATGTCAACAATTTATTAGTTACGCATTTATTGTTCAGAAAATTACCATTAATTTTCTAAATCATCATTATTTGAATTCATGAAGCACTGACACTTTCAATTCCTAAACAGTGTGCTTACATCGTTAACAATCGAATATTATTCATCTCATATGTTGTATTTTTTACCATGCTAAACATTGCTATTTTGTAGTGTTCTACTCGTAAAACATATTCATCGATAGTCAAAGTGAAAAAGACATCTAACCGAAGCCAAGCGTTACTATATCTTTTCACAGGAATGAGTGATGGATGTGTATGCCAGTACCTTACTCACAATTATGATGCTCACTTTGATGATTTCATCAATTCTTATCTTTTATAAGTAATATTTTAGCGAGATAAATTATTGTAATATTAAAATCGATGTCATATTTGTCTTTCTTTCTCCATTTTAACAATGCAATATATTAGATATTTTGTTAGCTGTTTATCCTTTTTTCATTTTTTCAATATAAATCCATGCATAAACATTAGTCATTTGCTCTTTCTTTAATCAACAATTGTATATTTTATATCTATTTTCTTCTTCTTCTTCTTTACTTTAAATTTCACTATCACGTATCACTGTACCGAAAATTATATCCTAAGCCTTCCTCTCATATTATTCACCGATTAAAGATTATTTTATCCCTTTGCCATCTATGTCGCATTCATTCAAAAAAAGCATGTTTTTTATAACTTTTTTGTATTGTAGACTATAGTCTTGCAGTATAAAAGCTCTTTTTCATCTTATCTATTCAGGATGATACGCTGCTGTATTTTTTCCACATAAATTGAGAATAATCGTGTATATGTATATCACAATGATTAAAATACCGTATCAACCATTCTCTTGAGTCGTCACTATTCGCTTATGGCATTTACCAAACATCTGGAGTATCTTTGATTGAACACATGCTATTGCATCCAACACTCTGACAGAAAAAAATGACTGTTTCATATTTATATGAAATAACTCAGGTATTTTATAACATTAGCTTTTCCAAATGATAAAAGTATGCAAAAACATTGATTTATGAGCACAATAAGCCAATCTCAACACGACGACTACTGTTGTATGAATAAATTTTTCTTTTTAGAAAAAAAGAAGCAAGACTCTTTTCTTAAACGCTATGTGTGCTTACCACGATGCAACAGCAGCAATCGTACACTGTTGAACACGGTTTCAATCCAAGCAGTATTCAGCGAAACATGAACAGTACTTCAATACAAGAGCCACAACAAAATCATAAAAAACTCGCGCGTGCAATGACCCTCCTTTTGATTATTGCTCTTCTTCTTGTCATTGCTCTTGCCATCAGCGTTACAGTTCTCTTTACCATTGGTTTACAGGCAACACAATCAAGTAAAAACAGTAACACTACATTTTCTACCCCAAATAATTTATTCAGGAGCTCTCTCTCTGAGCCCTGTACCTGCGGTTGTCCATCAATTGAACCCACATTCAATGATGAAAAGAAAGTGATTGCAGCACGTATTATAAATGGACAAACAGCACGTGCGCATTCCTGGCCTTGGCAACTATTTTTAGTTGTGCAGGATTCATCAACAGATTTATGGCATACTTGTGGTGCTACAATGCTTACGCAAAGACATTTTCTTACCGCTGCACACTGTGTACATGGTGGCTTACCACCAAACATATTTCTATTGTCAGGTCGCCACGCTCGTATGATAAATACCTCTATGGCAGACATTCATATTGTCAAAAATGTTTACATTCATGAAGGCTTTAATATATTTGGTCACAATGATCTAGCTATTGTTACTAGCGAAGAACCTCTTCGTTTCGATTCATATGTCAGTCCTATTTGTTTAGACAGCCCAAATTCTCCTCTCCTACAGCCGGACGAAGAGCTTGTGGTCATTGGATGGGGTGCTATACATGGTGAACCAGAAAATTTGAGATTTCCCGACTCTCTGCAACAAGTTAAAGTTGCTTACGTGCCAACATCGAATCCGAACTGTTCAAAAATATTCGGCTCAAACGTTGCTTTGCATCCCGGACAAATGTGTGCTGGAATTCCGGGTCATAATGCATGTCGTGGTGACAGCGGTGGCCCGTTGATGCGACGAAAACGTTTGGTCAACACAGAGACTAACTACTATTGGGAGCAGGTTGGTGTTGCATCACTATCGAAGGATTGTGGTTGGAATAGTACGTGGCCTGATATCTACACTAGTGTGTCATATTATCACGATTGGATCGTTGCAACAGTGAAACGCGCTATTTAAACGATATTTATTTTTGCGTCTTTTTAGCGAATCTACACATGATTATCGTATAAACGCGCATTAATATATAAAGAAATTCAGACAGGCTGTGATATTCTTCAGCAAAATCAAAAATAATCTATTATAATAGTTCATTTGATCCTTAATAGGAGAGTTTTGGTCACTTCTTTTTACAGTTGAATGTATGCATTAAAGTGGGATGATGTTTTGATCAGTTTTAGTATAGAAATGAATCTGTTGGCTCATTATTGTTAAAACTCCGCTGATCTTCGAGGAATACAAGTGTAGACATTCTCGAAAGTGACTCACCGAAAAAAATATAATTATTTTCAAACTTTCGTATGTATGTGTGTGACTACCATGCCGATACATAGTACTTGTGCATGTCGAACATATATTTTTCGCCCTTCACGCCATAATACAGTGATACAACGGGTTCCGGTCTTTTGACTTCAGGCGCCATTTTATTTCCTGAGATAATTCTACAAATGCGATTACGATTACACCCTCACGCTCAATTATGCACACCTGTCGTATAGTACTTTCCAGACGCAAAAAGATATTTATTGGAAAAAGAAGGCTGTATAGTAAATTGTGCATTAGAGCAGATGAAGTCTCTATATGAAAGAAGTATAGATCTTACCCTCATGATTCATTCTACCGTATTAGCTAGTTCACACCCTCTTCACAGACGTTCAAGTTGAAGTGAGACGTCTACTAGCCACATCATCGACAATAATTGTTCCTTAAGTTGAATTTTCTCTTCTCGGTTTTTATTTAGTTTTGAGATTTATAGAATTATTCCAAAAATTATCGCAAAAAACTAAAAAGAAAAGTTCTCAATCTTGAAATTGTAAAACAAATTCATAATTTCATCGGAAAATACATAATTTAGGCCTTAATTGTTTTTTAAGTTATCTAGTATGATATTTGTGAGTTTTTCTTCAATTTTCTCTCTACAGTGTATGACGCATCAGAAATAATTAAAGCTTACAACTTATTAACAAGATTTTATTAGATATGGGGTATAGCATCTTATTTTATATTGCTGAAAGAGAACGATCCACTTCTCATGTTGACGTGAGTTTTATTACGCAGTCTCATCAGTCATCGATATTGAATTCTGTGAGACAAATATAAGGCTCATATTTAATATGAATATTACAGTACAGTAAAATGTCTAACGTTTATTGATCGATGAATATTTACACCTGTTACGCAAGTAATATAGAGGAAAGAAAATAATAGATGAACGATATGTGAACTGAAAAACCAAAGGAATACAAGAAAAAAATTCATTTGAAACAGAACATTTTATTGCCAAGCTAATGCAGTATTACTTTCTTGCGATCTTCTTGTCCATTTCAACTACAAGCTTGAGTGAACAATTTTATTAGTACCAGACCAGAGAAGTGATGGAAGAAGGAAATTATGACTACGATTGTCTTGATTTTCACCCAAATAGAAAAGCAGAGCACTTATCGGACGACTTAAGTCACCGGAAAAATCAGCAGATAGTTTCATTTTGTCGACGTGATAGCACAGATGATGGATCAATTCTCCCAAATGATAACATTCCAGTGTTTACTTTCAACGAGTTGAGCAACCTTAATATCAGTAGTCTAGCCTTATATGAATAGTCAAGTTCGATGGATTTGGTCGAACAATACGAAGCTTTTCGACAAGACAAAACAATCAAAATTCGAATACATCGAGCTTGTGATTCTACAATTGTTCAGCAGTACAGCGATTCGGCCAATATTGTCAGTATTACTTTGGAACATCGGTAAGTTGTGAATAGAATTTCATTTTCGAGTCGTTGATAGCAACGAAAACAAGTAATACATGAGACTTGTGATACTTTTTCTATGTTATCAGATATGATTACTATTACTAAATCATCTCAGAATGAGAGAATGCACTTTAGAAGCGTTTATGCACTTATGAAAAAAGTCAAAATTGAGCTGCGTATATCTGTTTGATATTTAAACTACTTTTCATTAATATCTTCAGTCTAAAATAATATTTTCCTGAAACTATTAGATGACTGATCGTCCAACTAAAAATGCTGAATAGGATACAGTTTGCACACTCTAAGAAGTATCTCTAGGAACCATGAAAAAAGAAGAATAGCTTTTCATAACTCTTTATTGTGGATTTTCCTTAAGAATTTTCTAAACATTTCTGTATGCCATCAAAAGCTCTACTTAGATCATATTTTTCAGTTGTGCTCGAGCTGGGTAGGATAAATGTTTATTCTCCTTATATTCTCTGAAATAAGAGCATTTGATTTTTAACAATTGTGAACCAGAGATAGGAAAAACGGTGAGCCTTTAAAACTTGATCACCCTATAGATTACAGCCGGGGTGCCGATAGCCCTTTTGTTTTTTAGCTTACTGTAATACACATTGTAACTTTTGATATTTAGAAAATCTCTTTCTATTGAATATCTTTTTTTATTCTGCATATTCAAATCATACTTGGTCCATGAAAATTTATTTGTCAAAAATATAAAAACATAAATTGTTGACTAACCCGTGGTAACTTATAAGGCAGAGACATATTTTATTTTATCTAGATCTTGAGTTGCACCAGATAAACCGTTCGATACTCTTCATTTTTTCCGAATCACATACAATTTAGGATTGTTACGAGATAGCGGATTTCTATAACAATCAGTTGAAATCTCTATAATTATGCAAGATATAAAATTTTCTCTAAATTCGCTTGTGAACATTATCGATTTTTGAAAATTCTAGAGCTACACGAATAGAACTTATAATAGAAAATCGTCCTTTGTCAGATATCATTTTCGCTCGGGTGTGTACCAAATTATAGAATTTTGTTGTTGATAGCAGAAATACCATAGCCAATGAAAAACTTACATGAGTTTACGAAGTCAAAATTTAGAGGCAACCTGCGACATTTTTTGAAAATTTCGGCTTATCAAGACTTTTGACAGAATAGCATTTTCCCCAGTTGATGAAGATAAAAAAGGGTCGCTACAAAAATATCTCATCAATTAAAGTTACGACAATAAAACTATAACATTTTCATCATCGTCCTATTTGATTCTCCAACTACCACTAATGACTTGAAAAAAAGAAGCCTTCTCTAAACTAGAATCGTTCCGCCACCTATACTCCATCTGAACCAACAACTTTGTTGCTCGGATTGAAAATGTTTGCTGACACTATGTGACCAGTTATTCGAATGATTAGTATTTGCTAAAATTAAAAAAATAGGAAGTTGATGTGTCATGAATATTGAAACTAGTCGGAAGTTTCGATTCAAACCATGATACTTTCAGAACAATGAGTCAATGTATCAACCACATGGACTCATGCTGTTTATTATTTTCCGATAAGGATGTGATGACGTTGCAAGAGTTCTGTAATCTTGCTTTCTATTGTGAGCATGATTAACCAACTGGAAAAAACCAATTCTATTAGTATAAAGGATAAAACTTTTATGCACTCTCAGTTATAAAAAATTTTCTATTCTAACGCGATGGTCGAACATATTGTCATGCCTCAACGCAAACGAATTGCTATCATTGCTCATGATAACAAAAAAGCGGAACTCATTAGCTGTCTTAAGCAACATCGTAAAGTTCTCTCTCGACATGATCTGTTCGGAACTGGTACCACAGGATCTCTGGTAGAACAGGCACTCAATCTACCGGTGACTAAGTTTCGGAGTGGTCCGTTGGGAGGAGATCAACAGATAGGAGCAAAAATTGCTTCTCAAGAGCTCGATATCATATTTTTTCTTATTGACCCTTTGGATTCTCATCCACACTATGCTGATGTTCAAGCACTATTGAGATTAGCAGAAGCATGGAATGTTGTCTGTGGTATAACAACTACTTGCATCGATTTTATTCTTACGTCGCCCAAAATGCACGAATCATGTACAAGAAGTGTTAATTTAACTCCTATTTTACCAAGAATTGAAGCAAACAGAAGAAAACCGTCAGTGCATATTATAAAACAACGTGTTCCAGTTGTTAATCAAAATTCGAAATTTACATTGCCAAAAATATCACCAACGCGACCAGCACAAGTGACTCAGCAGGCTATATTCAAGAATTGGTAGTGAACTGATGTGCCTGCCACTGTTCTTTTTCAGTTTAATAAAATATTTGTGTATGAATTTACTGTTGGTGCTCATTTTTGAAGTGAAGATGTGTGCTATTGTGAGTGTCAGGATACGAAATAAATCATTTTTTGTTTCATTCTTTCTTCTATTATTTTATGAATCACAATTTTTTGTTTTCCACGATACCGAATAAAAGGAGAAAATTTCAAAGAGGACTTACCAAATAGAAATCTAACAGAGAGATGAATTTGATAGATTTAATGAAAAGAATAGATTATTTCAAATGAAGATTATCGAATATCGAACATTTTTCAAAAATGTGTTTCCTATCGTAAGTAGATCGAGTTTTTCTATTTATTATATATACATATACGTATATACGTATTTCAGAACGATAAAGCAAAGTCAGCTCACATATAACTCATAACAAGATGTATTTTAGTAACTACTAAATGAATAACAGTAATTTGTATCTAATTATATTATTATTATTATTATTAACTGTTTGAGTCACTCAAAGAATGAGTAAGGCTATGAAATTCATTCTCAGCTTTTTAAATGTTTCTATAGTTTCGTAATCGAAATCAAAATCTTATATACTTGTTATACAGGTGAAAAATCTGCGAGAAATTTGAAGTCGATCGTTTCTACTTTGATAGAAATTTTAGTGAACGCTTTGACACCGATTGATAGATTCTTGTCACGATCTATCGTTTGATATAAAGTAAAAAATGAATCGCCACCATTAGAAAAGTCGATTGATGATATCTAATGTGTGTCGCATATGCTTAAATATAATAAAATAAAGAAAAATTATCTATCCGATTTTCATGTGTTACTCAATACGAAAAATAAATAATACGGAAACGTACTCGATATTCTAATCTTTCTATGAATACATCATATGGAATTTTTTAGGTGGAACTGATTTTTGTTTTTATATGGTGCTCGTTGAATCGAACATAAAAAAAGCTACACATATGTGACCTGACGGTAATAAAAGCCACAATTGGAAATTCTTTTCTCTTCTCATGCGTTGCTTTTTAAACAATTCTGATTGTCACCGTATGCAAACGTAAACGAAACGAACGAACGAACATAGCTACAGAAATGGAGAAAACAGTCGCGTATAACAGAAAGGAAAGAGGATATGACAAGTGTTATATGGCGTTGGTCAACCAACTAGACGAGGTCATTGGTCATTCGATGAATCATAAATTCATATCTTTCAAAGGTGTCAACGGTCGGTCAACTGTCACTTAATAGAGGAAATGACAACGTCTTTCTTTATTATTATTTTAGATTTTGTCATCAATTGAATGTACATACATTTCCTATGCTTATCAAATTGCTATGCATTGTATATACTCTCTTTGTTTCAATTTGCAGTAAGAAACGAATTTTTAAAAATAAAACTATTTTTACTTTCAATTCTAATATTTTCCTTTCGAAAAATAAATAGGTGAACAATTACAAGCTCCAATAATTCTACGTGAATCCAGTGATGGTGAAGTACCATTAGGTTCTCGTAAAGTTTTTACTTGTAATGCAATTGGTTATCCTCCTCCAACTTATATGTGGTTACGTGAATGGCAAAATTTAACATCAAATTTTTCTTCATACAGTTACTTCGAAATAACATCAGCAAAAAAACAAGATCAAGGTTCATATCGATGTTTAGCTAAAAATGATGTTGGTATTGTTGCAAGTAAAACAACGCATTTAACAATTTGGTATTTTGATGGTTTCATAAGTAACCAACGTGATCAATTCATTAGTATTTCGGAATCTGATGCTGTTGTTCTACAATTACCAACAATAAGTTCATCACCGGAACCAACTGTACAATGGTTTATGAAAAGTAGTTCATTATCACGCGATAACAAACCTATTATTATGAATGAAAAATATTTTATTACATCAACATATAATCTTGTTATACTTAACACGGACTATCAGGATGAAAAAATTTATTTTGCTATTATTGAAAATATTTTCGTTGGCGGTACAAAACAATCACCAGATTTTCGATTAGAAATTAATCGAAGAAAAAATTCATATCGCACTTCACCAGAATTTATTATTAAACCAACAGATCAATTAGCAACCATCGGAAATCATATTAAATCATTTGAATGTATCGCTAATGCTGGGTAAGATATTTTGTTTTCATGAAAAAATTGTTCAAGATCTCTTAGTTTAATTTTTGTTTGATTTATACAAAAAGTGAACATATTTTCATTGATGATTCGTAGAAAAACAAAAATTGACTCGAATAAAGTAGAATTGAGAGAGAAGTCATTTAATGTAAAAGGTCCCATCTATAAAAATGAACTATGGAGAAATATATTTATAATTATTTTTTGTTTGTTTTTGATCTAGTTCCGGTAATCCAATTGAAACTATTTGGCAAAAAGATGCTGTATTAATTAATTCAACTAGTGGACGATTTCATATTGGTCCTTACAACCGAACACTTGAAGTTCGTGGGATTATTGCTGACGACCAAGGAACCTACTCGTGTCATGTTCGAATAAAAAATACTGATAGTTACATCAATGCAAGTGCAAAATTAATTGTTCGAGGTAACTAATCAACAATAATTATTTTTCGATAGAAAAAAAGTAACTGAACATATTTTAATTATATTAGGTGTTCCTATCATCACAACCAATTTTCCACTTATTCAAAATGTTGATTTACAAGATAAAATTATTTTCTCTTGTAATGGAACACAAACGTTGACAAATTATAACGTCACATGGTATAAAGATGCTGTTCGTTTAATAAATCAATCATCGAAGTAAAAGAAAAAAACTGCCATGAAAGCAAAACTAAGTTTTCTTTCTTTTCAGAGTTCAATTGATCGAAAATAAATTAATTATTAATGATATTGAATGGGATGATCAAGGAATGTATCAATGTTTCCTCACCAATGATGTTGGCGAAGATACTCGTTCAACATGGTTAAGAATTAAAAGTAACAGTTTAAAAATTCATTTTTTAGATTTTAAAATTTAAATTTAGGTGAACCCCCTACTGTTACTGCTAGTAACGATTTAATTGTTTTTAACGGAACTGATATTCAATTAACATGTACTGCCAATGGATCACCATGGCCAAATATAACTTGGTTTAAATGTAAAATATCAGCCGAATCTTTCAGTTTCTGTATGTTTAAAAATAAAATTTTTTTTTTCTAGTGAATTTAAATGACGATGAACGAATTCTATTGAATAATATGAATGGAAGATTTCATGTTGATAAACGAACTGGTGTTTTATCAATATCAAATACAATGCGAAATGATTCCGGTATATTTGAATGTTTAGCACAAAATATTCTCGGCTCCGCGCATGCACGAACAACGCTACTTGTTCGCCGTACGGTATTCAAAATAAGTGAGAAAGAAAAGAGCGAACGTTTATATTTTTAGGACGAACAAGAATCATCTCATTACCACAAACAATGAAAATTATTAAAGCACAATCGTTAGTACTTGTCTGTCATGTGTTTAGTGAAGATGATGTAGTAAAGAAAATTTCTTGGTATTTCAATCACAATCAAATGATATCACAAAATCGAGTCTATAATGAAAGTACAATTTTAATCGATACACCACAAAATCAAGATACAGTATGTAGAACTATAGAGATAATAATCCTTTCATCTAACAAGTGAAAAGAAGTGTAGAATGTATCGTTTGTACGTGTCAAGTAGTTATTAAATAGGATAGTTCTTAAAATGAACAAATGCAAATCATCGAGTACAGATCATTTCAAAACGATAATTGACGATCTATATTTTTTTAATAGGGCAATTATACTTGTAAAGTGGAATCTGAAGCAGGCAATGATACTCGTACAACAGAAGTCACAGTCATTGGTAAGTTGAATATCATTAAAAATATTCCTTGATAGAAATCTGTTGTTTTTCTTTTTGTATCAGAATTACCTTGGCCACCTACATTTGTTAGAGCGTCACTCATCAATGATTCTACTAGTAAATCGATTGTTGTGAATTTAACTTGGATACCGAATTTCGATGGGAATATGCCAATTGAACGATATATAATTCAAATGAAAGATTGTACATTGTCAGATATTAGTGAATTTTCTTCATCGTATGATGAACTCGGATGGGAAACTAAAGACGATATTAATATACAAAGAAGTGCAACAAAAACTTCGACTTTAATAAGTGGTCTTCGACCATTTACGACCTATCGTTTTCGATTATCAGCTCGAAATCAACTTGGAGAAGGTATAATAGAATTTTTTTCCGGAGGCGATGCATGTCGTGGTGTATAACTATTATTTCTCAAGTCTCACAAACTCGTTTATTACTTTTCATTATATTTTAAACAGAAAACTAATGAATTTTATTTGTAGGACAAATAAGTGCTCCTAGTAACAAAATAACACTGCCAGAAGAAAGTAAGATTATTTATTTGATAGACAACTTATTTAACTATCGTTTTAACTTAGTTCCCAGTGGTACTGTTAAATCTGTAACGGCTATTCCTCGTGATTCAACGTCAGTTTTTATTGAATATTCGAAACCAATTGAATCAATTATTAATGGACAATTAATTGGTTATGATATAAAATATGCATTAAATTATCCGAATCCAAATTGGAAATCAATACGTGTAAATTCATCAACGCAATCATATATTTTAAAAGGTTTTATTTTTCCAAAGATAAAAAGAAGTCAAATTTAGTTTTTTTAAATTTTAGATTTAATGACATGGGAATCTTATTTAATATCTGTATCATTGGTGAATAATGTTGGTATTGGTCCTGCAAGTGAAAACGTGAAAGTTCGTACTCTTGAAGGTATACCAAGTCGTGCACCGACATTGATTCAATATGAACCAATGAATTCAACAGCTATTATGATTAAATGGCAAGGTCCTTCTTCATCGTATATTAATGGTATTCTTAATTCATTTAAAGTAAGAAGAAAATTTGAATGAATGAATGATTAATGTTGATGTTCATGTTTAGATCGAATTAATTGACTTAAATCGAAATATAACATTATATCAAGAACAACAAGCGAAACCTATTGAACTCTATCATCTTGTTATTGGTTCGTTAAAAAAATTTACGAATTATTCAGTAAGAGTTAATTGTGCAACTAAAATTGGTAGTGGACCATGGTCATTGCCAACGGTTTTTGTTCGAACACATGAAGATGGTATGATATAATATTTCAACAGAACACTTTATTTAACATATTTTTTAATTATGGTAACATTTTTTTTTCTCTTTTAAGTTCCTGATCAAGTAGAAAATTTAACTTTTTCTAATGTATATGATACATCATTGGATATTAGTTGGCAGAAACCATCGGAAATCAATGGTTATTTAGTTGGTTATGAACTTGAATGGTATCAAATGAATAGCACACAATCAAATCTATATGATCGTTCAGTAATCGAAATTGAGCCTCATTTAACAACTTATAAAATAAATAATTTATCCGCAACAACATGTTATACCATCAGTGTTCGAGCTAAAACACGAAAAGGCTTTGGTTTAAAACGTTCCGCATCCATTGAATCAGGTTATCCGCCTGAAATGCCATCACCACCAACAAATATTGAAATTATTTCGATTGAAAAACGTTCCATAACAATAAAATTTTCTCCCGGTTATACTGGTAAGACCAATATTCTACGATATATTGTTCAAATTCAAATGAGAAGTAATAATTCGCAATGGGAAAATACTCAAGTAAATGATTTTTTTTTGTTTTGCTTTTGAAACTACATCATAACTTTTATTGAATAATATTTTAGTCTTTTCATATTGAACAATCGAAATTAATCGTTCGTGATTTATATCCTAATCGGTCATATCGCATACGAATGTCAGCTGTTAATATTAAAGGAACAAGTAATGCAAGTATTCCAACTGAATTTTTTCGTACCAAACCAGATGTACCATCGAGTGTACCACAACTATTACTAGCACAAGCAATAAATTCAAGTGCTATTCGAGTTCGATGGATGGTATTTAAAAATAGAAGTTTTTTTTTTAAATTAAAAGCTATTTAATACGATTATTTTTTAGCCGATTGCAACCAATGAATGGAATTCAAACGGAAAAGATGTTGGCTATATTATCTCAATCAATGATTCCATATCGAGAGTTATTAAAATTGAAGACCCATTAACGATTGAATTTACATTTAATAATTTATCACCAGCACATACATTATTTCTTATTCGATTACATACCTATAATCGTATTGGTATGAGTAAAGTTTCAATAGAAACAACGGAGAAAACTTTTGAAAGTGGTAAGTAACAAAATATATGAACTAATGTAGTTTTCAACATTAACTGAATTTTAGTACCTCATCGATCACCATCAAATATTCACATTGATTCAATCAATGGAACATCGGTGACCATCCGTTGGGATTCATTAAATCCTCTTGATCAAGGTGGTTTTATTACTAATTATAAGGTAAAATTAATCTCCCTTTAAAACCACGTAATTCAATTATGGATGATTTAGATTATGTATTATGCATTATCATCGCCTCACATGATTCATACTGTTGATTATTCCGATGATAGTTCATCGATTAGTTATATTTTAAATAATCTTGATAGTTATACAAATTATTCATGTTCTATATGTGCATGCACATCCACTGGTTGTAGTTCCTATAGTCCAGCATTTGAGTTTCGTACAGATGAAAGTGGTATGTATTGAAGACAGGATTTGTTTTTATAATGAAATTCTTTTCTTTTATAGTTCCTTCAAAACCAACGGAAGTTTTCTTTTCTAATGTTGGTTATTCGTCTGCACATATGACATGGCAAAAGCCAACAAAACTCAATGGAATTCTAGTTGGTTATAAAATTGTATATTGGGGTTTAGATGACGAACAAACACAGATTGAAATTGATGATTTGACGAGCGCTACAAATTCTTATTCATTTAACGGTAAGAATTAATTTCGTTGGAGAAAATTAAAATCGATGAAAGTTATTTTTATTTTGCGAAAGTTGAAACAATTTTGAAGAGCTAAAAATGATTCGTCATATGGACGATTGACTTTTATATGTAATAGCAGTAGAACTGTCTTCTTGTCTCGCATCTTAAAAGCATTATTTATATATATATATATGTTGTCTGTTTACTGTGCTAAAACTACTCTGCTTTGATAATTTCATCATTGTACTATTCAAAAAATATTCCTATTATTATTTAGAATTGGAAAAAACAACTTCATATACGTTTATTCTTTGTGCCAAAACTCGTATTGGTTGCGGTGAAAAGAGTATCAACCGTTTATTAACCATGGAAAATCGAGGTATAAAAGAAACAAAAGAAAATATTTACAACGAATGTAAATCTTTTTCTTCTTAAGAGCGACCTGACGCTCCATTTCCACCAACAATCATTGAATCTTCAATTAATGCGACGAGTTTAATATTAACATGGCGTAAGGATTTGGATTTCAAGTATGCACCAATTCGATATACATTCATTGAATATCAAGAAGAACATTCGACAACCTGGAAACCCTATGATCCAATAAATAAACCCGACGGACAAATAACAAAATTACTTATTCAAAAGTAAGATAAACGATTATCTTTGTTTTTCCTGGATTTAACTGAAATATATCTTTTAGTTTAAAACCAAATACAAAATATCGTTTTCGATTAGCATCACAAAATGATATGGGAATAAGTGATTATAGTCGTTCGACGAATTTTATTCGAACAAAAGAAAGTGGTATGTAAACAGTCACGCTTAGAATACTCAAAAAATTGATGTACAATTTATAATTGTTTTTAGCACCATTCGTTCAACCGGCTATTGATTATATATTAACAACTCAACCGTGCCAAATCGATATTTATCTTAAAGTAAATTATCAAATTGCTTCATTTTGATTGTTTATGTTTTTCTTCTGCTTCTTCTAAATTCAAGGACTTGGATTCAATTGACAATAATACTCGTTTAAAAGTTCTTATGAAACCCATGTCAAATGAAGAAACATTTCAAACAAGTTATCATTCAATTAACGAAGATTATTCTATACATTTAGATAACCTATGTCAAAATTCGAATATCAATGAGACGCATGTTTTATATGTTTGTTTAAGTAATACAGTAGGCGATGGCCCACTTTCGTTTGCACGATATTTTCATATACAATCGCCGGCACCACTAAATATATCAGTTAATTCAATGAACGTGAGCGTTTTAAGTCCGAGAGAAATATTAGTTCAATGGAATATCAGCCAAATTCTATCATCAATCAATTATCGCATACGATGGGTAGCAGCAAATGAAACAGATAAAGAAAAAAGTTTGATTGCATCATACAATGAATCAATGGTGATCTTGGATAATCTTATTCCGTTTACTACTTATAAAATTATGATTAATACATTCAATATTAATGGAGATGGGCTTTTACATGAAACCGATCTAGTTGGAACATATGAAGATGGTATGAATATTCTACGTTTACTCTTTAAGAAATATCTTCTTTTTTTTTTATAAATCTATTGTATGTCTTTTAGTACCTGGTCCAATTGATCAATTAACTTTCTCATACGTTACATTTAATTCCCTACAAATCGAATGGCAAGCACCAAAATCTTTAAATGGTATACTTCGTTCGTACGAGTTAACTTATGATAATCATCTATCACTTCCTTCACTAATGAACACTTCGTCGACTCGTGTCAAAACAATTAAACAACTTTTATCACCAAATATAACATTGTTACGTGTTGATGAATTAGATTCGTATCAAACTTATGAATTTTCTCTATGCGCTTGTACAATTCAATGTGGTCCATGTATTCATAAATCTATTCAAACCGGTCCACAAAAATTAGCACCATTGCCACCGTTTGATTTATTCATTAACAAACGTAGTGAATTAATATGGAAATCATCTATAAAATCGGAATATTATCTCGTTGAATTATCCCATGATCATGGTCATACATGGAAATTTATTGATCAAACATTTAAATCTCCTGTAAACTTGGCTAAATTTCAATTAAATGATTCAATCGAATATTATTTTCGGATCTATTCTGTCAATCGCATTGGTATAAGTGAATCAAGTCAAATGTATAGACATAATTTTACCACATTTTCAACATCATTTCCATTAATAAATCCACTTAAATTCGTATCTAATATATTTACATTTACACGAGCAAATCGTTTGCCTTTTTATATTATACTCGGTTTGGTTTTACTTCTTATTTTCATGGTTATCTGTATAGTAATAACTTGTTGCTGTTGTCGAATGAAATTAAAGAAAACAAAATTATTACAATCAACAAATACATTATCATCGAATTTAAATAGTGCCGAATCCAAACAAAGTTTATATACGTCAACAACATTATTAACACCAATAAAAAAAGAATTAATCATACATCGTAATCGTGATAGTCTAGCATTAAGTGATTTATTATATAATAATTTTTCCAGTCGTTCGCCACCACGTCCAATACCAACACCAACTGTCTACGATGATTTAAATAGTACAAAAAGTTTATTGACTAATAATAATAATGCAAGCAATCATTCAATTGATGAAACTCAATCGAAAACTGATTATTCTTGGTATCATGCATTGCCACAACAATTATATACGTATATGTCAAATAATCATTTAACGAATCGAATCATGGAAGAAAACGAACATGACAGCGATGAAATAGATTTAACAGTAGCTTTTAATGGTGCGATTTTAATGAACAATGTACCACGATCGAGAGCAGCTGTTAATGGATGTTCATCATTTGCGCTTTAACATAGAAATTGAATTATGTGTTAACTTATTATTTTTTTGTGTTTGTTATTTTTGCTATACATTCCATACCAGTATTTGTCTGATCTGTTTCTTTTTTTTGTCTTTTTGTTTGTATAAATTAATAGAATTGAATGATATATAGGTATTGAATAAATTGCGTGATCAGATCATACAAATATAATATTCAAGAAGATTAACGAAACTTACAACGATCGTCTGACAGATATTTTTGGAGAAATCTTGAACTCTTTGATTAGATTATTTTACCAAAATTAAAGCTTTCCAAACGGAAAAGAAACATTATTTCTTAAAACCCTGATTTTTCAATATCGGAAGGGTATTGAAGTCAGACTCTGGTATTCAATTGCGAGCTCATTTTGACTTTTAAACACAACAATATCTGTTAGTTACGACGAGTTCAAATTTAGTAAAACATTGTCGACATACGTATATGAAAAACACTAAGCCATTCAAGAAAATTATATTTTAGTTTTTCCAAATGAAATGCTGTTTCACGTATTTTGTTTATATACGATAACTATTAAATCACTGAAAAATGATTAAACCAGTATTTTAGCTTGAGAAATAATATGATGACGTAGCTATTTTTACTATTTTACCTATTTGATACTGCGAAGAGCAAATTCGCTATTACTATCGCGATTGAATCTATCGAATGAGAATACTTGAATGATGAAATAGATTTTATCAAATCATAAATCGCCATTTCTACTTTAAAAACCTGTCGAATCTTAAAATCATCTTAAGAAAATTTATTCGTTCGAAAGGAAGAATCTATTCTAATCAAGATCTGTCATAAAAATAATAGAAATTATAAATATCGATTGATGATTTTCGTAGATTCATTTTTTCCGTTATTTTTCTATCTGCCATCTTTGTCAACAGCTATTTATCCATTTCTCTCGTTCAAATAATAAAAAAAAAGACTTGAGATCTCGACAGATCCAGTAAATATTTGCTATCCTGGTCTAGTCACAATTGATTATAGCACAATTCCGATTATTCTTACCGTTATTCGTACCCGTATGACAGTTTATATTTGTTACGCAATGCAAATTCTTACGATTAAGACGCATGTCAACATTTTTATGCTATTCTATACATATAGTATATATATCCCTTAGATATTCTTTTACGGCGTGTATGTCTAAAAAGCAGATAAATCAGTAGTACAATATAATATAATATAATATCTTATAGGCGAAAATGCGGTCATCAATGCACATAGGAAAATCAAAAAGCAAGTTTGAACGAATGTATACATATGCATGTCATTTTGAGTAGTTCATATGTTTGCACGGATGATTGCATTCGGAGAGGAGTATACTATATAATTATGTGTATATACAGCTATCGTCTTTTTTCATTTTATGTCATTTTTCATTGACATTTGTAGAAGCATTCATTGGGACTCGTAGAAAAAGATACATTGATAGGTGGCAAGAAAATGACTGAACAATTCGATCAAGATAGAGGTATATGAATGTGTATTTTATCTACTATATAAAATAATTATGAGACATATTTTCTATTCCTATATTAATTATAGTTTCCATCGGAGTTGTCGTGTGTTGTTAATTAGCGATAATGAATTGTTTTGCTTTTCTATTCTCAATCATAAGAATGTTTTGTCTTAGGCTATCGTCTGTGTATCTGAAAGTTTAATAGGAAAAAAATAATTAGTAGACAAAGAAAAGAACGTAATCTCATGGCTTGTACTCGAATTCTTGTTTCGCACAACTAAAAAGAAAATGAGTAGAATGATAAAAATCGATATTATCAATACTCGTAGGAGTGTCCTTAACAAAAAGAAAAGAAGCATAACATATCAAGAATAGAAATGATTTTCGTTTCCATCTTGATTAATATTAACTCACATTATGAATGACTCGTGCAGTACGTCTGCATTCATCAGTTGAAAGTATGAACGAAGTTTATTTAAAATCATGATAGTTACATTTTTCTAAAAAAATTCAGTTGTATCTCTTGTTACTTATTCATTACTTCAAGGACATAATTTAGACCATTTGTCGACTGCAATGTCATTAATTAGTACACTAGAAGTCAGCAACGAAGAGCTTGATGGTGAATTTCTCTATGATCTACTCGATAAACTTCAAAATGGTGTTATAAGAAAACCGGAAAATTTTAATAATCTCCACTTTCTACTATTTCTACTATACGATTCGTATGGATATGCACGTGATCGATATCCTCTATGGCGTTCGTATCATCGTATAAAAAAGAAATATCTCACAGCTAAACATTTAACAATCGATACCAAACATTCTCGTCAATATATTGCCAATGCTATCGAACATTTAATTGATACAAATGTAACAATAACAACATTAATCGAAGAGTATGTTCAAGCAGATTTACAATATTTAAATTCACCAATTCATGGCCTATTCAATTCTTATACACCTTTACATACATATTTATATATGGAAAGAGTCGATAAGCCAATAATAAATGACAATATAAAAATCTATCAATTGTTTCAATCAACCATTACGAAATTATATCAAAATCTATCTTTTGATTTAATACATTTTTCAATTGCACATGGAAAAACAAATTTATTAAAGAAAATTTTCAATGAAAATACTAATTGGCTAGATTTATCAATGAATTTAACAACTGAACGTGGGTGGTTACCATTACACTATGCATGTTACGTTGGCGATAAAGATACTGTGAAAACAATTTGTGACAGTTTAACAGCACCAAAATCACCGATTCATTTCGATACAATTTCATTATTAATACCAAATTTTAAACAAGAATTGTTTGAGAAAAATCCAAATGAATTTATACTTAAAGTATGGGGTGTCGAACATAGCGCACATAAAGCAAAACAGCGAAAATCTCGTGTAAAATCATCAATTGATAGTCCTCATAATCTATTTACAAAACAGTATTTTCAACAAAAATTAAATTCAAATACTGACACAAGAGATCAACCAGCATTATCAACCAATATTACAAATGATAATGACATTCCCGATGCAGATGAACTTGAATTGAGTACATTGCCTCTAATTCAACGTGATGAATTTATTGACAAACTTTTACATATGTGTGATACAAAACAAATGCTTATTCCGTCGCCTCTTACTCTCGCATGTCTTGCCATCAATGGAAACATTATTGATTATGAAGAAATTGTTAAAATCTTACTTGAATCACATCTAGTTGAGTTCGATGGTATCAATCATGAATGTATCCTTAATCATGTCGTTAATTATATGCATAGAAAAGAATATGCTCGTTTTCAATGCGTACAAGTATATCATGATACTGAAACTGAAGGACCATCGACCTATGTATTTTATCAGTTCGATGGTTTTATTGTTAGTCAAGATACGAAACCTCTTGCAAGTCCATTATCAGGTTCAGCAGCAACATTGAATACATCGAAAAATGATGAAGCAGATGAGTCCGAAGGCGATCGCCCGAGTTCAGCTCCGATTAGTGTTCGTTGTCTTATAACTGTTTTAGTTCTTCGTGATACATTTCTTCAATATCCACGTTGGGATTTTCATTTATTACGTGAAAATATTGAAGAACATTTTTCGGATTTAGAAAATGCTCTTGGTTGTCGACCAACAATACTCTATCCCGATGGTGATATAATTTCATCGCGTAAACGTAGTGATGCTACATGGGAAGTTATTGTTAAATACCGTTTAAGTTCTGAAACCGGTGAATCATTATATATGCAAGTTGATTATTTTTTTTTTGATGCGTTCGGTGATCCACTAGCTGATGCCTTAGCGAATGTTTACCAAACACCATTCTATATATCATGCATGACAGATTCGACAGTGATGATGAATACAATATTTGACTCATTTTTTAAACGTCGTAATCTTCATCGATGGGGTACAATAGCTTCAAAACATTTAGAGCATTGTTTCGGTAAGTTATAAAAAATCAGTTTAATAAAAAAAACCAAGCTCTTAGCGTAATCTCTGTGAGATTAAAAATAGTCCCTTGAAGGTGTTCATTACGATCTGTGAGAGGAGAAGTGTACGTTTTCATCCTACATATTTCAATACTTCTCACAGATTGTGTTTCGCCAAAAATAAGAAGACGCTACGATATATAATTTCATTATTTAGATGGGATTTTGCAAACAAAAAATAATTGTACAACATTTTTATCGTTATGTTCAACATTAAATCATTATTATCAATTGGATGGTGATCCGTTTATAGAAGAAAATTCAGCAACAATACAACGAATATTTGTTCATGCATTTGCTTGTTGTGTACGACGTAATGCAAAAATTGAACTTGATTATTTAATTAAAAATCATGCTTTAATCTATTATGATTCATGTCGAACAAAACCAAATGATATTCGACATAACATTTTAACTTATTGTGTCGTAAGAAATTTAGCTGTTGTATTTGATCAATTAATGACCAATATGAAAACATCGATGTATAAAACATATCAAAATTCAACGAATCCTGATTGGCAACCACATATTGCTTGGAAAGAAATTATTCATGTTATTATTGATCCTGTTTTACAACAACAAAATGATTTTACTCAATTAGCTTGCTATGGAGATACAAATACAAATGCTACATCTATCGGCAATATACCTGTACTTCATGTGACAGACGAAGAATATATTCGATGTATTAATTCAAGAAACACAATTGTATCAAAAGCAAAAAGAAAATTAACTCGAGAGCCAACTGAGCTAAAACGAACACGAGCAATAACACATCAATTGAGTGTCTGCGATCCGCATCGAATGAAGGATGCTCGTAGTGACTCAAATGGTCTTACACCAAATCAAAAAAATAGAATTTTCAGTTTACAAAGTAATGGGAATAGTTCGGGAGCAGAAAACAATGAAAATTTAATGAAAAAATCAAGAAATATTTTTAAAAATGTTAATCGATTACGTTGGCGTGGTAAAAATGAACGCCATAGTACAGGTGGGCTAACAGTGGACCCATATCGTTCGAAAAAACGTACAAGTTCACCAACTGCAATACCGAAATTCAATGAATTATCAAGACCATCAGACGTGTTGAGTCTAGTAAGTAGTATATATATACTATAGACGAATTATATTCTTAATCTATTTACGCATATATTCTAATTTATCTCTTTTTTTCCCCCGGTATCAGTTCATTTTATCATAGGAAATGATAATGAGAGATTTCTTTTCCAATTATAATCTCAAAGAAAATCTGTCAGCACATATCTTACGACGACACTAGTAGTTCGAAAAACAAATATCATTGATTTTATAGGTTTGAATTAACAATAGAAACTCGTCTACGTTTATGTACAGAAGAAATAAGATTGATATACAAGTAATAATCATTTTTCTTTAACAAGAAAAACTTTTTCTAGGATGAACGCATACTTGCGAATTCTTAGGTTGAAAAAAAATATTATATGTAAGTTAGACTAAAACATATCTAATAATTACCAATAAGGGCAATAGGAAACTTTTAATTTTTTCTGCATGTTATTGTTATGATAAAATAAAAAAGCTTAATAAGACTTAGGATTTATTGATTGGATATTTATTTACAATCTTTTTCGTAGCCTTATGTTAACGATGCTGAATTGAATGACAATGATGAGAATTCTGATGCATCCGATGCTAATTTTCTTACAAAACTAATTTTGAATCATCAACTGAAACTTCATGGTCGTCAAACGATTGGCGGTGCTCAAACACAAAGACATTCATCACATCAAACAACTCTGCACCATATGCAAGCCATGTTTCGACCTATTCAGCATAGAATAAAAACTCCTATTGAATATGAACAAATGCCAATGACTAGAACAAAACGAACTATGAAATTACGGCGAACAGCAAGTATTTGTAATAATGATAAAAAGAACGATGAAAAAAATACTGAACAAGAGAGGCAATACCAAATACATCAAGAATCGAATACAATTGCTATTTCATAGTTCATTTTGTTCTGTACATTTTTGATGACAAATAAAAAAAGATCAATAAGTCTGAAACTTACTTTTTATTATCATTAATAGCTACAAAAGAAGAAAGATAATGATAAACATTTCTCGTCATAGCTATGTATCACTTATATACAGTTCTAGCATTATCTTTCATCAACCGACCCATGATAATCCTAAAGGGCGTAGAAAAAGTGTCTACTACTTATTTAATATAAATTCTACACAAGTGTTTGTCTTTTGTGTCAATCTTCTCGATAAATATAACAACGTAGGATTTTACTTGATACAAACAAAAGGTAAACGAAGTCAATTTTTCTTTGTAAATTTTAACACATCGACACTTAAACAGAACAGTTTATCATTTTTAAATACAAGAATAGAATCTGTCACTTAAGAAAAGTAATAGAATTAGTAAGCTACCGACTACTGTCCATGATCAGACAACGAGAGGACTATAGAGATCTTTCCACTTGTGAAAAACTATTGTGAAAATCTGCAATTGAATTCGTTTCTATTTCAATTCTCTTTGCTTAAACTGCATAGACTTAATATCATATAAAATGACATACAACCGATCTTTTCAAAGATTTCAATATGTCAAGTTTTGAATTTACAAGTGCATAGCGCTTCCTAGACTCTTAAACACGGTTTTTCTACAAGCCGAGGAAATAAATACTGTTCATGCAACATTTTTCTTTCTCAATAATCTACATAATCTCTCGTCTGTTTCGTTTTTAAAAGTAAATGTCACTGTAGCAACAACAACAAGTGAGTAACTCTGTTTTCTAGTGTACTCTACGTATCAATTCTATCTCAGCGACAATGTGTACCGGCACGGGGCTAAGCTCTTTGCTTCGTGCAAGTGGATCGAATGGATGGGTTTACTACTGGAGGAAGTATATGGCAACTCAATCAGCACCTATGCTCCAGTTCTCTGCTCACGGTGATTCATCAGATACTGTTTATTTAGATGACGTCTCTGTTGTTGACGTCAACATCAAGACCAATCGGTTGGCTTATGTGGCGTGCATCTTCTTGCATGGGCAGTGGTGATGGAGGGCGAATCAGCATTTCAAGTTGTAAAATTAATTCTGGTGAAAACTGCTATATGAGTCGTTGTCAGACTGACTATAACTTTCTTGGTCAATCATTCTCGGTTACAGTTGGCAATACTTACAGAATTTCATTTTGGTATCCTAAAACTGGAGGTGATAGCGGCAAGTTCTATGTAGATATAAAATAATGTAGAAATTCATCGCAGTACTAATCACGAAATAGACACAGCAGAATTTTTTTCTTACTGCGATTAAAATCTCATGTCATTTCATCTAAAAGTTTTTGACCTCAACTGGAAAGTCTTATTAATCGATTCTTCAGTCTTTCTATTACTTGATAAAAGTCTAAAAACACTTCTCAGAAGATCTCAAACTTTCGCGATTAACATAATCCGATTTTTTGTCGACATATATGTATTCTATACTAGTAGCAACATTATACTATGTGTATTGCTGAATTGAGACTATGTAGCATGGGCAGGTTTTCATATGAAAAATCACGTGACATATCAATCTTTCGTACACTTTTATCTGATTACAATGCAATTCATCGAAAATTCGATTTTCCTATTGTGCATGCGCGTTGTACTTTGATTGTATTCGAACGTGTATGTAAATACAAATTTAAATCTTTGAGTTTTACTTATTAGTTATTTATTTGTCATTCGTTACGATTCGGGAAGTGTATACTCAGCTATACTGTTTCCTTTTTAATTTCTTCAAAACATTTGGTTCTAAAATGTTCTTCCTCATTATTATAAGATATGCGAAACTGCTAACCTGAAAAGAAATAGATCTATCGATAGAGAATATCGCAGTTTGCCTATTTCAAATTATATCTCCGCTTTCAGATTTTATTGTCAATTCATAATCCTGATTCCAGTGAGAGAAATCAGAAGTGACGAACTGCCTTTTACCAAAGCATGTTTCAAAAACAGATAGATGAAGATAAATGATGATCTACAAAGTTGAAGCACCCCACTTAGTCTAGTTTGGTATACTCTTACAAATAGACTGAACTAAGTTGCTATAGAATATAGTTTATTACAGCTGATTTCATTTTTTTTCAGTTAGTCTCATAAGAAAAATGATTTTGAGTTGGATATCAACTCTACAAGTAGATGACGTGTGACATTCTCTATCATCTAGCTACTTCTTTTGTTTTCACATGAGTACATTTTCATCTCAGTTAGCAAACGCTAAATAATCGAAAGTACGTCATACAATTGTCAAGTTCGATGCGAAGCAAAACATTAATGTAATCCGCCCCGAGTTTATTTTTTCGACGTACGCATCACATTGTCATATTTTATGTCGATCATCGCGAAAACCAAAAGTTACGGAAAATTCGTTCGCACTAGCGGTGAAAGTATCAAGCACGAATTCCCCGCATTTTTTTTCGACTCTTCAATCTGAAGCTCCGTTCACTCACAAATGTTGTTTCTAAATGACGAAAATGAAAGAAATCTGTCGCGAGATAATTAAAATGACGCCATCAACAGATGTTTGGAAAACAGTGTATTCATTTACAGTTGATTTGAGATAATGAATCATAGAGATAATTAATAGCTCGTTAGGAATGTATCGCATAGTATGAATATCATTATGTCTACATGAACCGTATGTAAAGCTTCTTCGGATTTAAGGTTCTTCGTAGGAGATCGGGATTCGAGCTTCACATCGCATTCCGTTTTCGAGTGAAACTCGAACGCCATCTAGTTTCGTTTTGTTTTTAGCTTTTCTATTTAAAATAGGTTCTGTTAGGAAAACGATGAATTTGTTTTTTCTTTTTATAGTTTCACTAATGATCAACCGATCAGTGTCAAATAAAATTAACATCCAAGTAATTACAATCATTTTTAAAAGTTAATCACTGATTTCAATCCTGCTTTTCAACTCTGCTTAAAGTTGTTATTTCATTGAAATCGATGAATCCATTAAGCTACAATAGATCATTATGAAATGAACGTCGAGAAATTTTTGGCAGATATACATTTATTTACTCTTGTAGACAAAAATATTTCAATATTTCAATCGAATCAATAAGTTCACAATTATTTACTATCATAGTCAATAATGATTGATCATTGTGAATCATATGAAATGATTATAGATTTTTATAGTATGTTTTAAAATGACATTTGACTATATGATGGTTCTTCAAGACATGCACTATTAATATCTGAAGTGGCTTATTGAAAAAAGTCAAAAATAATTTATATTTTCGCTTACAATAAAAATAAGAATAAGTATTTCCCGTCATCTGCAGGAACCTATTTATGATAAAACAACAACACAAAAAAATGAAAGAAAAACACAATTTTCTTGCTAATTTTGATTTGTAATCGATGAAGCAGAACGATTTATTTGTCTATGATGATTTTTATTTTGTATTTACCTAATAATTAATCGATAAAAACAATCGATGTCATCCTTAGTTTATATTCCTCGTTCGACATTCAATGAAGAAGATGTGCAAAGTCTGGCTAACATATGTTTATCAGAAGATACAGCACGTGTCGATAAGCATGGAGGTCGTCGAGCAGCATTTCAATATCTATTGAAATTAAAATCATTCGGGATGGATTTATCATCTTATATTGATTCAGAAAAATGGGAAACATTAATAAAAAAAATGGAGAAATTAAAAAATTTTGATTACTATAAACAAAATTATGATGAAAACAGAGATAATACATTTGAAGAATATTGGGAATTAAATAGTACATCACAAAAAATTCATCCAAAAGCTAAAAATAATCGAAAATATACAACGGAACATTTTCAACCTGAACAATTAAAAGTGTATTTTAATAAAAAGCAAATCGAAAAAATTCCTTATTCAGAAGCTACTTTAGAATCAAGTGGTTTTGTTGATAGTGATACAAGAGTTAATATGAGAAAATATCCAATTAGTGAACGAAAAAATAAAGGTCAAATAAAAACAATTAAAGGAAGAATTGAACAAGCTGTTTTTCATGTTCCACCTGGAAAACAAGTTATTATTTTAGATTTTGCAGATGATAGAATGCCTGGAGGTAATTGGATGATTTATTTTATAAATGAATTTCATTATTAAATATAAAATAGGCCTTTTTCTTTATGGTGCTTCAACACAAGAAGAAACAATCTGTTATAATTCGAATACATATCGAGCTTTACTTGATTTTAAATATCAAAGGTTTGATGGAGGTTTTATGATTCCAGAATTTGGTTGTTTATATATTAAAAATGTGAAATTTTTTCAACCAGCTGATCCTAGTGTTAATAAAAATGTCGATGTAATTGCTGCTGCTTGTTATGATTTAGCAGAAGTACATGGATTACATATTAAAACTAAAGAAGATGAAGATCTCGAAAGTTGTACGCAAAAAAAATTTGAAACAATAATTGCTTCTGCACAAGCTAATAGTAACGAAAATGGAGAAAATACTTATCTGATTTTAGGTCCAATTGGATGTGGAGCTTTTGAAAATGATACTACAACTATTATTGAATTATGGAAGAACGTTTTATCAAGCCCATTAAATGAAAATTCAAAAACTAAACAACATGATGCTTTTGAAGAAATCTGGTTTCTTGATATAAAAGATGATAAATTAATATGTTTTGAAAATATTTTTCAACTTGATCCAAAAGAAAGAATGGAAATTTAAGCTATATACTTGAAGAAGCTCTTATATTTTATATTTATCATTTACATTGACTTAATAAATTTTCTCCATATTTCTAAGTTTATATAAGGTATTCCTAAATTTAAGAGAATTAAGAAAAAATCTATTTATTTATTTTCTTATTTTCAATCTGTTCAATTTATTTCTATACTATATGAGAAATAATTAATTTCAATTACTATTTTGAATTTAATAAAACTAAAATAAAATGATTCTTAGTCTTGTCAATAATCTCATATATAAATTTCACTAGATTCATGACAATATTTGTTCTCTTTTGACTCAACAGCGTCGTACTATTTTAGAGAACAATCTTGAAAATACGTAATTAACAACTTGAGAATTTATATTCAGTCATTATAATAATTATATAAAATAAATTATTCTTTCAAAGAATAATTTATAGATAATATTCGATTATAAATAGTTATCTATTGATTTAAATATTATCGATGGAGAATATAAAACACCTTTTTATTGTTTATTATTATTATTTAATGACAATTTATAAGTAATAAATCGCGAATAGAAATATTTCTAGCACATGAATGAGTTTATCAACCTTGAGCAATTCAACGAAAGCAAAAAGCAAAAATAAAAGAACTTAAAGTAAAATAAAACGAGATTATATGAGTTGAGAGAGATTGAGCAGTTGAGTTAAGTCGGAAAAAAAACATACAGATACAGTCACTCATTGTTAGTAGAAACGGCGAAATAGTGTAGAACTACGACGGTCTTTTCATGTACATTTGGTCACAGTCGTTATATTTGTACGTCATACCTCGTGTACATCGCCCTAGCAGTCTGGGGTGGTCTACTCCATGTGTGCCCGTACTCATTTCAGGGCCATGAGGGGGGGGGGGGGCTGTGCCTGGTCGCGCGCACGACTAGTGAATATTAATTAATAATCATTTAAACTATTTTATTAAATGAATACTAGAGAAAATAAATATTTACAGCTTCTTTTTCACTGCTTCTATACTGTTCATTACACGCTTAATATTTGGATGTGTCGATGGCAGTGAATTTCGATAAATATCAAGTGCTTTTTCTAGAAGTGAAATTGCTTTCGAGTGATCACCCATTCCGGAATACGCCACACCAATGTTATTGTAGGAATTAGCCAAAGCAGGGTGGGTCGGAGACAGAGATATTTTTTTAATTGCGATATCTTTTTTGTAAAATTCAAGTGCTTTTGAATAATCACCCATGTTGTTATACACTGTACCAATAGAGCAGTAGGACGTAGCCAAATTGGGATGATTCGGAGGCAGAGCTTTTTCATAGATTTTATTTGCTTTTTCGTAAAATTCAAGTGCTTTCGAATAATCATCCATGTTGTTATACACTGTGCCAATGTTGTTATAAGTAGGAGCCAATGAAGCATCATCTTGTGGAAGAGTTTCCCGCTTTATTTCGAGGTATTTTTCGTAGAATTTAACTGCTTCTAGATATTTACCTTGATCGTCTTTCAACCATCCAAGCTGGTGATAGATATATGCTCTATCACTATCAGTGGACGCATTCTCGAGTAATTCATTGTAGAGTCTTTCAGCTTCATCAAAATGACGCACTTTGAGCATTAATTGACCCATTCGATACCATCCTCGACCATCGATCTCCTCGTTGATGCGCTTGGTAACAGTAGAAAGCTGTGGATCATTATCATCAGTAATAGTCAATTGTACTTCCCAAAGACGACTATTCTTAGCCGTCTGTTTAATTTCAACGACACGAAAAATGGTATGCAATGTAAAAAGTATTTCTTGTTCTCTTTTAACAGCAGCGTAATCATCAATCATAGCAAATGGAGTAATTGAAGTTGATATTTTACTGGGATCGATTTTCATAATAAAGATAACACCAACAATATCTTGATTCTTTTGCATAACCCGTTCAACAAATGCCATGCCCACTTTTTGTTCCATACTAGTCGATAAAAAGTTGTTGAACGATAGTAGACCACCTTTTGAATCTAGTAGTTTCTGAAAGTCTTCCTTGCTTAGTCCCTGACCACGATAAACGGTGAATGGTTTCTTGAAATTCGCCGATTGTTCCTGATGCAGTTGCCCTAGTTGCAGATGAAGACTTCGAATAAAAAAGCCTAACTTGGACATTGTTTCCATATTAACTGATCGTAATCCACGATTAAGCATGCCATATAGAAACATTTCACATGTATACCACCAGATTGGTGATTCCTGGTGGTATTTACGCTTTAATTCGTTTATTTCTGCGTCAGGAATATTTTGTTTTTTACAATAAATTTGTAAAGCCTTTATAGATTTGGCGTCATCATTATCATCATTGATTTCTAATACGATGCTCTTGAAAATCACCGAGTACATGTAAGCTGGTGGTAAGTGATGAAGATCTTGATCGTTCGATGCTGCATCTGCTATCTTTCGCTTTGGTAAGAAGCTCATTGGTATTGCATCATGGTCGCATGCCCGTGTAGTCTTTGCTAATTGTTTGCACATGGACTTTATTGAGCCATGAACACCTTCGACTTTCGACCATTCTTTCGCCCATACTTTATGTCGATCTTTGTTTGAACAGAAAACGAAGATCGTATCAAGTTGAGTCATATTGTGTATAAATGGCACCATCGTTTGACCAAATGACCCAGAAACAATTAAAAAGATTTTCTGATCACTGATACTTTTTAAGTATTCGACACATGAGTTGACTTCAGTGAATGTTTCTAATGTGACAACTAATTTTCGAAGTTCTGTAAAAGAATTTCGAAAATCTTCCTTTTTTTCGTCAATATGAGCATCGAGCCAAACTAGAACGAAATTTTGCACGACTCTTCTCGGTCGTGCTCGGAAGCTTGTCGACGAAGCAACAGCAGTAGCATTTGTAGTGGCTTGTGTTTGTTTCATTCCTTTATTATATCACTTGCTTTGAGTGAATTGAAGTATTTTACGAACTTTTACTACAGTAAGAAAGAATGAACGAATACATGGAATAGTTAAAAGGAGTGCTTCTAGGTGGCTGGAGTATCAGAGATTAGAACAATTACAGCTATGCTCTTCTCATGCAACTATCATCCATAATGTCTAACCCTGTAAAACTTCTGGTGTCGTGAGCGTTCCTTCGTCAATATCTAACTCTCTATTTCATACAGTATGATCTGTGTACTGAACTTAAGCACAGAAACCTACGAGACTTCTCATGTGTTATTTATCTATCTCATTTGGGAATGATTTCGGAAAAAGAATTATTTTCTAATTGATAGCTCATGAAGTTCTCCACTGTCTACTCAAATTTTGTTTGAGACAAACTTTGGCAATAATCGCATCCATGAAATGTGAGAAGTCAATATATGGAAAACATTAAGAGATTCAAACTATAGTCATCGTTGTTACCAAATTATTGATACATTCGCAATTCTTAATTTTAATGCAGAAGATCAATATGGTTCGATAGTTCTAATATCTTAAATCATAAGACTAACTAAAGGCTATAAATAGTTTATTAAATACTGTTCACAGCGCACAGAAACAATGGCAGCTTTCAGCCTTTCGAAATGAAGTTTCTTTTGAATAGATTCAACATTTTATTCTATATATCTCTTAAATCATATGTATGTTTGGAAGAAAATTCAACAGTTAAATATGTCTAGAAATGCTTAATCTTTTATTGAAAACTATTCACTATGATTTTTCTATATTATCTATAAACAATTTAAGTTGAATAAAATATACTTACATAGTAAATTGTGTTGGAAAGTGTGAGTTTTTTTTCTGGTATATTTGCAATGACTTGCACGCCTGATTTATCATCCACGAAATTGCTTGGTTTTTTTACCATTTACTTTTTTCTACTTGAATCAATGAAGCACGTCATTTTGCAATAGGTAACTAGTATTTTTTTCATATATGCGCTCGTCACCGTGTAGGTCTTTTTCTCTTTCAATCTTCTTCCTTTTTTCGCTTATTTTTTGGTTTTATGTTGCTCTGATAAAAAAAAAATATACATTGATATTTGCGTAAACAAATAAATTACCTTTGAATCTTGAAGTTTCTTTTTTTGATGAGTAAAAGAAACCTTGATTGCTTGCTCTCATAGATGAGAAGTACTTGCAGTGTATTATGTCATATCTGACTTTCACAACCAAGACTCTTTCTATAAACAAGAAAAAATAGCAGTGAACTGTACGTCGACTACAACGAGATTCGATATTTCTGTTGAACAAGTTTATTGAAATATCATTTCCCCATAAGAATGATTTCGATAGTAGGATCCTATCGAAATCTGATCGGATATAGTATGGATGACATTAAACCGACGAAATCCTATCGGTATACGAGTGTGGGACCCACAATCGAAACCCTAGTGTTGGAATCCGATAGGTTCCAGTGTCGAAATTTAACGAAATTCAACATAAGCACTCGACCCATGTGTTCTTTTTGACATCGTATGCTTATTCATTGGTAATTAAGAAAATTGTTTTTTCCGTCGGATCCGCTAGTAGGTCCTAGACCAGGAATCCAACCGGATTTTGTCAGCTTGTCGGATCACATGGGATCCTATACGATTCACTGTCGGATTCATTCACCTGGGCCATTCGAAAATAAAAAGACAAAATAAGATTATCACGTGGTATTCTTGTTACGAATAAACAAATAAGAGCACATACAATAATAATTAAACGTATATGTTTTTCAGGAATATTGGGAAAAAATATGACTTTTCCCTGACACTCACACCATTTCAGTCGAGCTTTCGATCTATCTATATACGTTGCTGTGAAGCACACATTAATGCTTACCCTAATCCACTCTCCCTCAACGACTCCCCGGGGAGTCCCCGCAAAATAACGAAACCCCTGGGGAGTCCCTGTCGTGAGTCCCCGGGGACTTTTTATTTGGGGGACTCCCCGGGGATTTCTCTGGGGAGAATTGGTGAAGTTTTTTAAAATTCAAAGAAACTTTTAAATTTTTTAAATTTTAAAAAATTTAGAAGAATTTATTAGTAATTAGATATTTCATCGATTTTGGTCATATAACTCCCCGTGGAGTCCCCATAAAAGAACGAAATCCCTAGGGACTCCCTGTCGTGAGTCCCCGGGGATTTGTCAGGGGACTCCTTAGGGATTCTTCTAGGGAGAGTTGACTAGGGTATATAGCGTTTTAGTATTTACATTTATGGGATTTCTGAAGAATCAAAGCCTGAATGTGTCGAAAAAAGTTTCAGTTCAAATAAATGGAAACTACCGAAGATAGTGATATCCTCATTCTTTTCAATCTATTGATTAGAACAAATACAAGATCAAATACTTTTATTCGAATTGTAACTCCCGGTACATAATATTCTTCACGAATGCTTTGTCTTAAGACACAAGTAGTGTCAATTACTAGGAAAATGCTCACGTATCTGTACTATACCTGTTTTGTATTGTTGTAGAATTGCCTAGTATGTGCTAGTTTCTCTTTACGATAAAAACGTTGTCGGGTTCATCGAACTATCACTATCGATTTATTATTTAATCACAAAATTATGTAGCTACATTTTTAAAGCGTTGTACTGTTTTGACCAAAGACTTATAACACTGTAAACAAATTCATCCTTTATTATAGCAAATCCATCTTTGTCGTTATTTCTCAACTTGATATTTCGATTGGCACTGCTCATTCATTTACAAAATGTAATATAAGTGAACATTTTCTAATGAATAAAAATTTCGATTATTCATTTTTCTTCATATTATCGATGATATCATAGATTTGGCTAGTCCCACGAACAAAAACAAATTCCAAAAAACCGCGGTTTGATCGAAAACAACCGCGGTATTATTTTGAAACCACTCAAAACCGCGGTTATCAGCGTTTTTTTCACACATCGTTTAGGCAAATCGCGGTAAGTTTTCATTTAGTTGTAAAAAAACCTTTATGCATTTGGAATACATTTGTTAATAATCATTTTCCTTTTATACTTACATAACAGAAGACGATCGGTCTAGCATAATAAAAGGTTGTATAATTTATATGCATCTTTTCGTTATAGAAGTGTCTGAGATTAAACGGTAAAAGATGCTACTGCTTTTATTGTTTTTACTCTTTTTTGTTGATGGTTGATTTAAGCAAAGTTTTGGGAAAAAGCAATACTTCTTTAATAAATTTAAAAAAATGGAAGATTGATAATGCAGACTGTTTCAAGAGAATTCACATAGTAGAAGGCTCATTTTATATTATGACTAAGCCACAAAAATTTTGGAAAAATTTGTTTGGGGCTCTTTCATGTATCAAAAGCGTGACGTTCTACAAAGCGGCGGTTAAACGCGGTGCATATCTAAGTGCCAAAAAATGTTTAAGGACAATCAGGATGTTGTGCCCCACAAATTCTGGCAAATTTTCACTTATGTCACATGTACAATACAACAATTCTACAAAGACACTTTGTGGAAATGGAGCTCGGGAGAGAACACTACAATGCCCTTCGAAGGGCGCCACGGATGAAGCCTTTAAGGTACAGGTTATGGTAGCACACCTGCTCCTGTTGAGTCTAGTGTATCGAAAAAACCGCGGTTTGAAGCGGTTTTTTGGATATAACGGTAGTCAGAGATACGCATATTTGGTCTGACTCCCGCAGTTTTTAAAACCGGTGATTACCACGGGTTTTCGAAAGAAAATTTCCATGTGGTGCTTCGCATCGCATTTAGTATTCGGGTGAAACTTGAATGCTACCTAGTTACTTTTCTTAAACAGATGATCGAAACTATACTTCGGACTATTTCATATTCAGCCAGCAATGATATCTTGACACAGATTGAAAAATAATAAAAAACTGCACCATGATAATTAGAAAATGAATCGTTTGAAATGTTGCCTACGTGAATTTATTATTAGAAAATTCATCAGAAAAAGCAAAAGCTAAGATTCACATTCAACACCATTACAACGCGTACAATCAACTGAATAACATTTAGTCCAATAACTATTACATTGTCCGAAACAATCTGGCCACATTGTTCTACATGATCCATAAAGACATGTTGTAATCATTTGATTACAGTCGCCTTCATTTTTACATGATGTCGACAATGGATCTGGTGGAGAACAATGATTATCCACACAGTTACTACAAGAATATAAAAGACAATCAGTATAATCTTTACAATAGGCACCACATTGACTATAGTTTGATGAAAATTTTGTTTCTTCTTGTTGTCTAATGAATGCTTTAGATAACGATATTTTCCATAATTCTTGATGTTCATAGTACACAACCACAACGTATACAGTTTCGTTTGTAACACCAAGACGTGCTACACGACCTTGAGCAACAGATGTATTGAATCTCCAAACAGGTTCATTCGATGATGGTAAACGACCAATAATGACATTATCTTGTGCAGTCAGATGTAAATAATCACTACTACGAACAGTAGTACTTACAGGATAGTTTACATAGAAATTACTATTCGGCACACTGATATTCCATAATAATTTACCTGTATCACCATCCCATAATGATAAAATTTGTTGATATGTAAAATCACCTGAAAAGAAAGCTTCAAACAATGCATTGCAACTATAGGCAAGAAATCAATATCATACCAAGATAATTAATATTGATAATACTTGTATCATGTGTAGCGCTGTCCACACGTTCATCATACGTGGCTGGTCGTGCTCTCAGAAATCTCAGTGTACCATTTTCACCATTGAATGCCATTAATGTTCGACCTGATAGATAAACAATTCCGTCGTCATTTGCTGACGCTAGCGGATGCCCAATTGACGTCCAATGGTCGGCTGTATATAGCCAATTTTGATATAATAATTTTCCAGTGACAAGATTAATACCCATCAATGAATTATTTACATAGCCGGTCTGATAAATATAGCCAGGCATCATTGATATATAGACACGTTTTATTCTTGAATCAATTGCTGGATATGAAACGAATACTTTATATGTACTGACTTTATCAGCCATTGTCAAATTTGTTGTCCACAATAGTTGATTTTTAGGCAGTGATCCATCATAACATTGTAATGCAAAATTCGGTGTTTGCCACAGATAATCATATGATACAGCACATAAATATGCTGATTGTAAATCTACTTGAAATTGAATATAATTTGCTAGAGTAAAATTGTATCGCACAGTTCCATTTATTGCATGTAGACCAATTAGATGTGATGAGTTGGTTAACTGTGAAAATTGGGCAAACCAAATAGCTTCTAATGGTTTATGAACGATAACACTAGATGATTGAGGTGTCAAATCATACGTATGATTCCAGACAACTTTATTTTCAGGTGTTACCCGAGCGATACGCAAGCCGCCTATGGGACTATACTCATATTCCGATAGAATAACGTCTACATCATAGGTTGTTACGGCAACAAATTGAGATTGATATGTTACATTTCGGATCCATTCGATTTTTGAATTTCTATATTGACTTTTTGGGTCATCTAAAGTAGAGTTTGATTGTTTGATTTCGAAAAGACCATGGGTAAATCGAATCGACGAAGCAACATCACTTTTTTCAGTCGATAATAAACACGATTTTTTAGATTCAACCAAAACAATTAAAAACCCCGATAGTAATATAAAAAATGTGTATAACAATCGCTGCATTTCTACTGGTTTTAGCTCGCATGAAGTTTCCTATAAAAACAAAATGACTAAAACATGAGAATACTATCAGCTGTGTCCTTCACTTTATTAATATTTTCTCTGACAAACTCAATGACACTGCAATTCATATTTACATGACGTGTTGATATCTAAGAAAATAAAAATTTTCTGTTCGATTTAGGTAATTATTACAAATTTCTGTATCAATTAAAATTAGTGTACGGGGGTTCGCATGTTGATCAAACAAACATTAAAATCTGTAGATAATCGCACTGGTTTGCCATTGATTTGCACTGTACGTTTATCCCTAATTCAACTCGTTGCCCATGACCAAACAGTTTAATTTCAAGAGTGAAAAACATTTGCATATCCTCTATAGAAGATTCCTTTTAGTGAATTGTTCTTTGTTTTTGCAAAGAAATTCTATATAATATTTCATCAGTAGCATTTTTGATGAAGTTGGTTTACATCTCTGTAATGTCATAATTGAAATAAAAAAAAAAAGAGAATAATTACTCATGCTAGTCTGAATCAAAATGTTAATCATTTTTTGATATAATATGGTTTTTTCATTCTCCACACTTTACATGAATGAATTAGTAGGAAAATTAAATCGCAAATTTTTATTGCTCCATGTGAGAAATTTTCTAAGTAATCGATAATTGCATTTATAAGAAGTATAACATTTACTTTGTAGATGAGAAACACACAATCATTTTATTTATTCTTATATAAATTCATCAATAACGGAAAACATTTTGAAGGAGAGAATGATCACACGCACAGAAAATGTTCTAGATTGGCATGACCATCGCATTAAATTATAATAATAATAATAATAATAGTAATAATAATAGAACTAATCAAAAAACAAATACCAAACTAAACTTTGTCGTTTTGCTTTGTATCTAATTTACATGGCACTGATTTCAATAGACTTTTTGTTGATAATAAGAAGGATTAGCATTATATCGTGCGCCAGAATTGGGTCCTTGTAAAGATGCACTATTTCTTGGTGAAACAGCATCAGCTGGATCGACTGCAGAAAATTCATTGTGACCCGTATAATAATGTAGTACACGTGGTTCTTCTTTTGGGTCGAAAGTTCGTTCCATTGGATTTAATCGATTCGGTCGATAAAGTCCACGTTGCACGTATTCATTAACAGGTTCAGTATGATAATTCATTGGGTTTGGTGCTGGTCGATGCCAATATGGTGGCTCATAAGGATATGAAGATGTTGGTGGTTGAGATTGCCATGGTTGTGGTGGCATTGAATTCGCTGAAGGTGAGTGTAAAACAGAAGAACCTCGATATGGAGCCCAAACTTGTTGTTGAAAAGCAGGATTTATCTGTTCATTATTTGTTAAAGATGTATAAGGTGCAAGCATTTGATGATTAGGATTCGTTACATAATCAGTATTGGAAATATTAACTGGTTTTCCTGGATAATATGGATTTGGATAAAACATGTCTTGATGATCATAAGGTCTCCTCTGTTGTTTCTTATGTCGCTTAGCAGCAACTACTGTAGGTGGATTTAAATCAGCTGGATAATCATTAATACCCATAAATGTGCCGATAACAGTATCATTGTCATCAGTTCTTTAACAAACGAAAATAAAATCAATTAAAAATTGTGTCCACGCACAAGAAAAAAAACGTTTTTTTTTACGCAAATCATTCACATTTCAACATGAAATGTCATCTAAGAGAGTGTACTCTGGCGAAAGTAATTCATAGACTTACTAGGGTATCTAAAAACATTATGCGAAAGCCCTTTTATGTGCGCCTTTGTAACACTTGGATTTGTATGCTAACAGAAAAAAACAGATATTCAATAATACATACTTTAAATAGAATTGCTCTCGAAATAAACATAGGATTAAATCGCAACTGAATTTATATGGATGTAACCAAGAAAATAGTTGCTTAGTGAACCGGACTAGAAGTCTTATAAATTTTTACTGCGGTAACTATTAGCCAAACAGAGATTTATAGAATTTTTAATTTTACATTATAGTTCATATTTTTGTATCGCTAGATCAGTTCGTTCATCTAATTTGAGTTCGATTTCGTTTTTGTTTATACCGACTGTTCTATGTAGCCTAACAAAAAATTACAACAATTCTCCCATCCATAAAAACTCGAAAATGTTTATAACTTATTCATACGATGAATAAAGCTCTTCACTTGTGCATATTTGTTCTTTTGTGTCAAATATGCCGTACGATTTCTACCGATAGAAACTATCACACATTTTTACTATCGTCTTGTATATTTCCTGATACTTTTTTCTGTTGCTTCCTATCAATATTCAAGTGAATAAATTATAATAATAGCCACATATATGCATCATTTTTATTAGATAAATATTGTTACAAAAATGTTGTTTTCTCTCTCTCTCTCTCTCTTTAAGCTTGCTGGAAAATTTATTTACTGGAAATACTTCATGAGATAAAATTGATTTTTAATCAAAACTATTTCATCAAGTATCTTTAGGTAGAAATCTGACAAATCGAAAGAAAGAAATAAGCATATATACAATACTTATTTCAACTATTCCTATTTAGATTACTGAACAGTAGAAAATTTCAAATAAAAATTGATACTTCTTTTATACTAAGTATGACCTTCCCGAAAAACATAATCAAGTAATTCATGTGAATCAAGAAATGAAAAAAAAAAACGAATTCTTATATCAATAAAATCTATCACATGAAGCATGTTCTCAAAGAAATTGTTGGCGTTTTCAATGCAAAAAGAAGGCATTCAAACAAAGACTAGCATAAGTAGAAAAGAAAACAATCAACATACTTGATCGGTTTTTTTAAAAGAATATCATAAATTGTCAAGGCGATAGCACCGATAATCGAGAGAGCAACAGCAGCAATATTAACATAAAAACACCAATCGAGACCTTTTGGATTTACTGCAACACCATAAACAGAAAATCCAAAAACAAATAAACTCGATATACCAACGGCAGCTATGTAAAAAATAATTTCAAAATTATCTTTTAAGATTAATAACAAATGAAATTACCTGCTGGCCAAATACAAAATCCAGTTAATACAGCTAAATAATAATGAATAGTCTTGTCAAACTTATAGTAAATAATAGCGACTAAAGCAATAATTAATGTCGATGCTGTTAAGAATAAAAATACAATTTCAAGTGCTTGCCATGCATTGATGCCAACTATTAAAATGACAATAATCTATATAATTAAAATTTTAATAGAAATTTTAAATTCAACCTTGAGCTTGTTGAAGACGTTGTTCAACATAGAGATTATGCGGCGGATCATTTGAAAACCAACTAGCACATGTTTGATTAGCATAAAAACATAAACGCCAAAGACCATAGTGAATTGTATACGATGCACCATTATTAGTCTGTGTAATATTGTAGCTATCATAAAACCAATTATGTTCAACAGAAAAAACAATCACTAAAGCTGCAACGCTTAGTGTAAGTAAAACAATAGCCAGAGCAAACAGCCAAACTTTTGTTACACGCTAAAGGAAGATAGAAATCAACAAAATTAATTTAATAATCGACATAAAACAAATTTCTTGCCATAAATATGTATCTTTTCTTCAATCCTGTACCAGTTAAACTCGAGAAACAAAAAGACGCTTTCAATTTTTTTTTCTTTTTTTTTCCTTCATGAAAAGTCACTGAGATGAAAAATGATTGTTGACATAAATGTAATTCATATAATGCAAATATAAAGAAAGAAAAAATCACAAGGACTTTTTTTGATTCATTACCTTATCCGGAGTATAACTTTGATATTGTACAGTTGAAGACCAATCCTTTTTCGGTGCTTGCTGAGAATTATAAAGCATGATTGAAAGAATAAAATATTATAATTTCATAAATTATAGACAATTATATAATTTTTTTATTGTGATAAGAAAACAAGTATCAAGTGATTGAGTTGAATATTTTCGTTCGAAAATCACACGCATCAAATCTTTCTGTTTGTCCTTTGTTTCTAAATGAAATGTTAAAATAATTTTTTTTTTCGCATTGAAAAGCAAGAGAAGAGTCCCATAAAAATATATAAACCTGATCAAGAAAAAGTTTTTCTGTTCTCTGTCCCTTTCCATTGAATAATATATATTTGTGTATATGCATACATACTAAATGTTTGATGACTGTTTTTCTCTCACTTTCCTGCATAGAAGTACACAATTTTTTTTACTCAGTTATTTTCATGATTGATTAAATCCTTTATAACTTGCATAATGTAACGAAGATACATATTTAACTTAGAGAAATTCATATGCGTCAATAACCATGACAACTCTAATACATTCTATAAGTCATGATCATTATATGAATAGTTTTTCCTTTGTCGATTTTTTTTTTGTCGTGTGTACTCTCACCGATGCACTAAAAATAATGGAAGATTTTATTTGATCCTGAATAATAATAAAAGATGATGAGCAGAAAAAAGTGCATGTCGATTTCCTGAAGATTTATTGTCGTGGTTCTATCTCATAAAAGGAACTTGTTGTTAGTTCACCTCATACAAAAGAATCAATCACGATGTTGCGATTTCTAATCTATATCAATATCTGTCTGTTGTTTCGATGTGTTCATGGACAAGAGAAAAAATTACTATATATGGTTAGTTTATCTGAACCATTAGAAAGTACACTGGAATGGGATTACAATAAAAATGATGATACAGAACTTATTTTTCGATGGAATATTACGTTGAAAAACGGTGACAGCGGTTTACTTGCATATTCAAATCATGATTTAGATACGAAAAATTTAGATGTTATCATATTTGGTAAAAATGATCGACTTTATAATGGATATACAGATGATAGAAGTTTTTTATTTATACCGAGAAATCGTGTTGAATTAAAATATAGTATAGAGCGTAAAGAACGTTTTGAAAATGGAAAAAAACATAAGATAACCATACAGTTCAACCGACCATTAGATACATGTGATGAAAAACAACGGAATTACATTATTGATCGTGGAACAACTCATTTATTAACGGGTTCAATATCAAGAAAAGATTTTCAAAAAATTTATCTTCGTCATCATAGAGTTAAAGTTGATGTAGATCGTATGAGTCTAACTTTACAACATGTTCAATTACTTAAGAGTCAGGTAAATGAATAGAACTTTTTTCTTCTTTTCTAATAAATTTTCTATTGATTTAGATCGTTCTTCCACCGGTTTCAGACGGTGCTCCATATCTCGATTATTTAAATCAAGACATTCTAATACCTGATGAAGAAACAACATATTGGTGTACACGCTTTGAACTGCCATCGTTTATTATGGAACGACCTCATCATATCATACGATTCGATGGTGTTATATCACCACAAAGTCAAGGTATAGTACATCATATGGAGCTATTCCATTGTGATGTTGATCCTGAGATACAAATTCCAGCATATAATGGTCGATGTACAAGTGAACAAAAACCTATGGGTCTAATATCTTGTCGTCGCGTTATTGGAGCTTGGGCATATGGCGCAGCTAATTTTTTCTATCCTGAAGAAACTGGCGGCATCCTGGGCGGTCCAAAAACATCGCATTTTCTTGTACTTGAAGTACATTTCAATAATCCTTATTTAAAAAAAGGTATCATTGATCAATCAGGTATACGACTGTATTATACACCAACATTAAGAAAATATGATGCTGGTATTATGGAAGTTGGACTTGAATATAATCCGAAAAATTCTATTCCACCTGACTCATCTGCATTTCGAATTTCCGGCTATTGTAAAAGTGAATGTACTCAAGTAGGTTTACAATCAAATGGTATTTTCGTATTCGCATCTCAACTTCATACACATCTAACTGGCATAGAAACATTTACTCGTATTATAAAACCAAATGGTCGCATCGTAACACTAAATCTTGATCGACATTACAGTCCTCATTTTCAAGAAATTCGTCTTCTACCAAAACCAATTAAAATCGAACGTGGCGATACAATACTTCATACATGTATTTATAATACAAAAATGCGAACAAATATGACTTTTGGTGGATATGGTATTAACGATGAAATGTGTGTCAATTATATGCATTACTATCCAAGAAGCAGTCTTGAACTGTGTAAAACAAGTATAAGCGATGATGCACTTGATGAATTTTTTAAAGCTACGAAAAAGTAAATATATATAGCAGCGTGCATTATACAGATTAAGAACAAAAATATACGCAAGAAATGCTTGTTTATTTCGTTTAGATATTTTCATGCAAAAACAAGTATTGATAAAACAATCTATGAAAACTATGCCTCGATTCATTGGACTTCAACAACATCATCTCTACTTCAAGACTACTATGAAGAAGCATCTATTCATCTCTCATGTAATGGATCTAATGGAAATTACTTACTTAACTATGATTGGCAAAATGATTATTTTCCTCTAGAACCTGAACAACGTGATGTACCACTCGATACAGCACTGTGCAAATAAGATGATGGGCAACGGTGACTACGATCAGATGCTACTTACTTATTTAAATCTTGAAATAAAATGGCAAACATTAAACGTGAGATGAATGGTATAGATTGAGTCGTATCGTGCGTTATCGATTCGAAAAGAAAAGAAAAGAAAAGAGAAGAAAAGAGCAAGTTTAAATACACTTGCCAACTTGTTTTTGGTCGCTATCGATTATTGTAAATAGCAGCTAGCATCTATTCTCTTTCTTCTTTAAAATTTGCCTAGAGCTACGGCTGCTGCTACTACTACTACCAGTCTTGGCAAACGATAAAAATTTTCGGCCAATCTTGTTGAACTTTTAGTTTTTTCTTCTTTTTACTATCGTGTCAATAGACAAGAACAAAAGCAAATGCACTATGTCTTCTATTATCAAACATATACACTTCACTCGTTGATTTAGAAGTAGGCCAAAGCACATAATACATATATACGTATACTGAATGTATTGATGTGATGCAATTGAATTTTAAGATAGTTAATGTGTCAAAATAGTTTCAGATCAAATGGCACATTTTATATGCTACTATGCTGCAACAATACACTTGACTGAATATGTTTTAGCACTTAAGAAATTATATGTTCTACCTATAAACAAAATTGCGTAAAACGAAGAAACACTTTTACTTTAGAAGTGTTGAATTTCAAGTGATATGAAATAATGAAAATTGACTCTTCGAAAACGAAAAGGGTTTAACATTTACTATGTTTCAACAAAAAAGAAGTAACAAAGTTGCTCGTTATGATGTAAAATTTATGCAATCGATATTTTCTAAACGTTCTCTTTCGCTCTATGTTCAATTTAAAAGGAATCTTGGAAATTGAGCCGCTTACAAATGACAGTTGTTATGAATCAAAATTTTATTTTAACTTCTAAAAATTTCTTTCGTAATGCTACAGGTTTTTAATGAAATAATAGATTGAAAGAAATCCTTATTGATAAAGATGAAACATATATGAAGTTGTTCTTATTGATTTAATCTGTTTTTCTTGTTCGATCAATAAAAAGAACGAATACATCTACATGCAAGAATTTATACCATCTTCATTCACACTAGTTCTTATCGTCTATGATTTAATATATGTCAATCCATCGAACACAGTCTACATCCCGTCTATAAGCACCCTCTGTTTGTTTGTTTCTATCGGACCAATGTCAATTCTTCATCCTCCATTTTATACACCTCCGTATTGATGTTCATACTCGTGTCGTGTTGAATTCATATGTGATTGATTGATCAATCATATTTTTGTAGCTATATTTGTAAATGTAGTAAAATATATCATTGTATGAATTGATTGATCGATTAATATCGATTCTGCTAAAGTTAATCTTCACTTTACAGATTCGATTGAATATTATGTTTCTTAATTAGTTAGTTAATAAAGACACATTATCATGCCAAATATTCAAATGATTATGAACAAATTTTACTATCGATAGTATTTAAATTTAAATTTTAAAAATACGAAATTTAATGGTGATTTAACATAGAAAGGTAAATGCAATAATAATAATAATAATCAAAAGCAAACATTAAATCGTATTTTGTTAGATAAATTAATCTAGTCATTATGGGTAGTCTTCTCGGTCATATTGTACCCGGAACATTTTTCGCACTATTTGCCTTATGGTGGGGTTTTAGTATTGCAATAAAATACTACCATTTACATCAACGAAAAAAAAATTGGAAAAAATCAAAAATTTATTATGCAAAAACAACATTCCCTTGTTTATGCTTTTATTCGGCTGAAAAAATTCCACTGGAGTCTTATGTAAAAATTGTTTGTGCAACTATTGGCATGTTAGGAGAGTTGATAACCGGTTTTACACATTTATATGATGAAAAATTGAAACGAAAAGTATGGGGTTTTGGTGAAAATAATACTCAACATATAACTATGTTCCTTGGATTTGCATTGGCTTCTGTTTTCGAAATAGTTGCTCATTATAAATATTCTATGCCTGATGGTATTGAGTTCTTAGCAAATATTTTAGCTTTTGGTATTGAAGCTTTTTTATTTCATTTTCATCTTCATGGAAGAAATGAAGTTGATGTTCATGTTCACGTCTTACTTCTCTATGCTATTATATTTTGTTTAATTGCTGCTATTTGGGAATATAACAGACCAAATCAAATATTAGCAACTTATGCAAGAATTATTGGAACATTACTGCAAGGATTTTGGTAAGAAAATTTACCACAAGCATTTGCTTTTCTCTATAAAAGAAATAAAAATTATTTAGTTAGAGAATACTTAAAAATTAGACAGCTATTCTTATGAGAAAGAATATTTAACATCAAAGCAGTCATAAATAGTTAATTGCTCAACCAAAAAAATGGTCTATGACCTTAAAGCATCTTTTCTGGTCGATTTAAATGAGATAATGATCAGTACCCATTGATCTTAATTAACTGCAAATAAATTATGTTTTTTTATGCCTTGCTTGACATAATTAATAAGTACTTTTTAGCGTCTAGACAATAATAATTGATTTTGCTACAATGAACTCGAGCTTATATTCACCGAAAATTTATCACATTGTTCCGAGAACTCAAAAAGAGTATTAGTAGTTTATAAATGAAATTACCATGAAAGGGTTAAAAGTCAATTTATAAAAAAAGGTTTTTCTGTGTAAAACTTGTTACTAGCTTGTCTGCCTCTGCCACTAGAGCAATTATGCCTCGTGAGAACAACGGGAAATTCATTTTCCGCCTGAAACCATCTATTTTCTTAAATAGATAATCACAGTAATAATGAGCAAATTACCAAGGAATAAAATCATATAACTGATGAAAGATATATATTCTGGTGAGTTTAGCTCGTTCTACAGACAATTGACTTGTTTACAAACATCCGATAAACTTAAATCGATACATAGACTTTTTTCGAAAGCATTTTTTCTTAGTAAAAACTTAACAACAACGAACATAAGTTTTCATCAGTAGCTCATAAATTCAAATTCAAGAAAATATTTTTGTGTCAATTTCGCTCGAATAGATCTCGATTCATTCGAATTTAGAAAACAAAAACATATTGACATAGCGTAGCCATGAGATATTTTAGTGACATTTTAAAAGTATGTAGCCAATGATGTGAGGTTACACTATGTATTGTACTTGAATTCTATGAAAATATTTATTTAAAATTGATGCAAATAAAATAAATAGTCTCGACAAAATTCATATCATCTTTCCATACTGTAACCTCGACGCTATTTTTCTTTGAAAGCAAAATTTCGAAATGAACTCATTTTATTTTAAATTTAGGTTTTATGTAGTCGGCTTTATTCTTTATTTTCCATCGAGTGATCCTTATTGGATATGGCCGCCTAGCCATGGAAATATATTATTACTGACTGTTACGTTTGTATGGGCTGCAATTATTGCTTGTTTTGTTATATTTCTTGAATCAACGATCGTTTGGTATATTTTAAAACGAAGATATTCTCATCATACTGTTGAAGTATATAATGAACATTTTATTCCGAGTTCTATGATTCCAAGTAGTGATAATGAAGACAACGATGATGATGATGATGGTAATGAAGGTCGCTTTGAATTCGAACAACAACAACAACAACAACAAAAGAAACAGTTTTATAACGAAGCGTGCGCCTAATCTATATTCATGTCTTTTTTTTTCTTTCTTTCTTTCATTCTAATAGCGTCTATGCACTTGTAGTAATATAACTATCTCGCTGATATTCATGCATTTTTTGCCTGTTTCTTTTTTTAAAATTCTATCTATTGTTGTTTCCTGTATACATATGCCTTCCTTATAAATCTACATTAATCATTAGTCATCCTGAATCTGCAGATATGAAGTAGTTTTTCTTCTTCTTCTGTATTTATGTTTCTTTTGTCGTGCGTTTAGATTGATAATACAATGTGTTGAGATAATTTCGGATGCCTTTGCTTTTACTAACAAATATTTTGCATTTTTCTTGTCTTAATATATAGATATATAAACAGATTGTCATCAAATATTCAAGATACAAAATTAAAAAAAATGTTTTTAAAGCCGTATCAACTTGGAAATAAATCGAAACAAATATACGATGTATTCAAGCGAAATTATAATTTAAAAAAATTGACTATACAAATGGAAAAGAATCCACATATGAAAAAGATTATGGAAGAACAATTACAGAAACGGCAATCTCAAGGAGTGTTGAAAAAATTAATTGATAAACGGTAGTGATACTTAGTAGCAAAAAACAAAGAGGTCATAGAGGACACTTTCAGATTACACTACTGAATGAAAGATATACTATTCCAATGAAACACCAGAATACCATAGGCTTTTATTCAATCTGTATTGTACGGCTATGGAAAATGTTGTAAATCAATTGGAAAAGCATTGCTCGGGATTCAATAGGAGAGGGTTTTAGTTAATATATCTATGTCATAATGCAACTATTGTTAAGGTTATTGAAATATTCTTCAGGTTTCCATATCCCTTTTTTCATCAGGCTATAGCTCATTTGTGAAGTCATTTTTCTATTGGTTTTCAATCAACTATATGCATCATGTGTGCCATAGATTTGTTGGAATGGGATAGATCAAGGTCATGAAAAGCCTCAGAGAAAATCAATCATCTCAAACATATTTCCGAACAGAATCTTTCCATTGAATTCAAAAACTCAAGTTTTAAAAACTTTCAATGAAGTTTAAGACATAATATTACACAAGATTTCTAGATCATTTTAAACTATTTGCTCGCATTTGAAAACTCATTTAGTCGGTTGAATTTAAAACAAAACTACACAAGATAAGAACGAAATACTTAGAGCAATCCAAAAGTAGTGAGGGTGGTACCTTATTTCCTCCAACAGAGGTCGGAAAAAGTTTCGTTTTTTATCAATAGATAGAACTTGTTCCACTCTATTTTTCTATGCTATTTGATCACTATTCAACTAATGCCATAATAGTCAAATTTCGAAAAGATCTGTTTCTTTCGTATATGTGTTGGTAGCATGAACATGAATGCTCGTGAGTATTTTTTGAATAATATTTAATAGCAACAACTTATAGCACTCCGGTTTGCACTATTAGAAAGAAGAGATGAAGGCGCATCGAACTGTAGATCGTTGAATTTTCTAATCGGGGTTTTGAAGTATTTTTATTCAATTTTGTACCCTTCGGAAAAATTCTTTTTTTATGAAAAAAAGAAAAAAGAAAAAAGAAAACTGTAGTAGAGGTTCGTCTAGAATACGTATTATCCCCAAATAATTTAATTTAGCATCTGAGTCTTTCGCAGTTTGTAGATCTGCGATTAGTGGTTTGAATGTGAACCTGATTATTGAAAATTCACTGTAAACAACTGACGAGATACGTTTTTGTTCTTTAAAAGTTGCTATGAAACGTTATTCAAAAAATACTCATGAGCATTCATGTTCGTGTTACCAGCACATATACGAAAGAAACAAATCTTTTCGAAATTTGACTATTATGACATTAATTGAATAGTGATCTAATAGCATAGAAAAGTAGAGCGAAACAAGCTCTATCTATTGGTAAAAAAAAGAAACGTCTTTCGGCCTCTGTTTGAGGAAATAAGGTACCTCCCTCACTACTTCTGGATTACCCTAAGTAGAAACCTTTTAGTTTAAGAATACTTTAAAATTTTAGTTTATTCAAAATTTCTGTTTAGTTCAAGTGATTACAAGGAATATTTTCCTCGTTCCGTAAGTGATTACATCGCTAAATATGTGAATCATTTTTAAACGAATAGAATAGTCTGATCCTTCGGTAATCAAACGATTGAAACATGTATCCTACGATCATATTGGTCAAAAGCGTGCAGTACATTTAAGTAAAATATTACGATCTTTTGTTGCTGATCGTATTGGTTCCGGAGAAATTGGTGATATATTAGCTGGAAAAAATTTTCAAATAACAAATGTTAGTCATTCAAATCATTTTCTTTTTTTTCTAAACAAATTAAAGAGTGTCTTTAGATCATTGTTCCAGTTGATTTAAATCGTATTGAAATACTATGGTGGTCACCTGACGACGAAACAAAGATCATTGAAGATCTATTAACAACAGCCGGTGAAGACTTGAAGTAAGTCAATGGGTTTTCCGTTCTTTTTTTTTATCTCTATAAAATATTCAACTAGAACGGCTATTCGTCATGCACAATTGTTACCTAGTCTACCACCAATTGTGTTTAAACGAGATAATTTCCGTCTTGAACATGATCAAATTAATCATCTACTTGACATAGTGGACACAGGAACATCGGATAACGTTTCAATTAGTACGAATGTACCAGAACGTAATGATCTATATGATAGTGACCGTACAGTTATCCTACGAAAACTATCTGGTCCAACCTCTATTGATGAAGACGATAATAAAAATAATGGTACACTTACCGATATCAATAAACTATCGCCTGAACAACTACAACGACGCATGAAAGCATTTGCATTAACAAAACGAATGAAACGCATGCAAGAACAACGAAGTGCTATATATGGTATCATGGCTATTGAAGAAGAACGACAAAATGACGAACATTTCTCATTGAATCAAACTACAGATGGTGATCATGAACAACAAGAAAACGAGCAAAAATCATCATAGAAATAAATGCGCTTTGTTAAAGATTACGATGGAGTTTTTTTTTAAAGTAAATTATTGAAACAAATAAATAGTTTCATTCCATGTGAAACCAAGGTTGCATAGTTTGCTGATTTTTTTTCTCGAGATTAATTAATACAAGAAAAAATAACCCAAAAGGATTAAATTTCATTTGGCACTGCTAACGCAAGCTACGAAAATTGGAACGTATTTCTATGAACTAGTCCATAGGGAGGTTCGACTTCAGCAGAATATCTATTTTGATTAAAAAGTTCTTTCGAATTTTATTCGTGAGTGATTTATTTGATTACATATACATCGGTATCACATTTGAAGGAAAAGAACAGATTAATTAATTCATAATCAAATAATCTATATGCATGAATTACGATACTCAATTATCATATTGTCAAAACTAGTTTGATGTCTTTTCTTTGGATTTCTATGGTATCTGGAATATTTGTTTCACTATCGGTTGACCGTATTCATTAGGGAATCGTTGCGTTTCTACGAAGAATTCATGAAAAAACAACAGCTGCTACTTTTCTAAATAACATTCTTTTGTCAAGTATTGTCTGAATTTTCTATTCATCAATATGCATATCATAGATCTATTTGAGTTTCTATAAAAGCATTAATATGCTATTGACGCCTGACTAGACCGAGAACCACCGAAAATTATTACAAGAATTATGTATTCTTTTAACTATGACTACATTTAACACAATCGAGAGTTTCATTGTTTCAATGTTCGAATCCCATCTTGTTAATGTCATAATCAAAGTCATATTTTATATCTTAATTAAGATTTAACTGAAATGAAACGCATAGATATTTTACTTTATATCACTTCTATTGATCAATAAGCTATTCGAATTTATTTCATGATTTTATTATCAGATTGCAATACTCCATTGATAATAGAACCGGCATGTATAAATATCAACTTTTTGATTGGTTTTGTTTTTCATTTTTAAAGATTTTCAAAATTATCTGTATCATTTTCATCGGAGAGATATGCGCAGTGTTAAACGTCAATTGATTTCTATAGTACTAATGTTGTCGATTTTGTTCGTATCGTCTCTAAAAGAAAAACAAAAATCACTTCTGCGATGCTCATGATTGATCTATCTATAATAATAAGAATATATGACTACGTTTTTTTTCTATTATCTACTGTGATCTATATTGAATTTAGCTAATATTTGAATAAGCCAAAAGTTAATAGTTCTCTTTAGAATCATTTTTATTCAATCAAGACAAAGGAGAACATTCTTAGGTTAATATAAAACATCGTCATATTCAAAACAATATGAATAAGAGATAATCAAATTTTATAATTATGATTTATTTACATGAAGATAAGCATGCAAAACAGATGTCGAGTTATTCTGACGTTTATTATTTGCAGCAAATCGACCGATTGCTGTTTGTTTTTGAATAGTAAACAATAACGTTAACACGACTCATACTTAGTGGTGAAATCTAACGAAGTTTTCTACAGTCACACACTAGAAGTTATTTTCTCTATTTTTTTTGTCATCATTAAACGTGACCGTTATTAGGATGTATGAATTCATAGAGTTATTTTGAGGCTTCTAATTGTAAATAGTGTCACATAGTAGGTTATTTATACTTATATTTGGTTACTATTAAAGCTCATACTGGAATACTAAATATTTTATTCGACATCAAATGTTCAATACGATCAGAAAAAATTCATCAAGTTAATATTATGATAAATTGAACCTAGTTTCTACTATAATTAAAGCATCGTCTGTTCTGAAGTAAGTTTCTTGTTAGCCATCTAAAAAGTTGTTTTGACACTAAAATGAAACTTGGTTGTTTTCGTGGCAGCTCGAATGGTCACGAGAACCATATACAAAAGTCACTTATAGCTGATTGTAAACAAAAAACGAGAAATCTTTGTTCTTAATTGCTTTAGTAATCTGTCACATCTTTTCGTGATTATATTGAATTATATTCTTGTCGAGTCTTCTACGAATCAGTTTCAGCTAATAATATATGAGAGTTCTTGTTCTCAGATTCAATTTTTTTGTGATGCATCGATAATCGAAATATCCTGTCTAGTGCGTGCAAAAAAACTAATTAATGACGGTAAAAAGATCAACGAATGAGAGAAAAAAATCACATAGTTATGTTCTATTTGTTACGACTCTTCCGCTTACTTAAAATATTATAAAACATAGGAGATAAAAATCTTGGGATGGTTCAACTGCATAGGAGAGGAATAACATCGAGTGATAATTATGTTCAAGTGCATGGCAATCAAATGAACTTGTTGACGATGAGTAGAAAGAAAGGAAATGACATCTATGAACACAATTGACGAGAAAAAACATACTGAAAAACATATATCGGCAAAAAAAAGCAAATTCTATTATATATTTTTCTCTTTATTACAATTTATTGTCTAAGTCGAAGACTTATTATGTTTAATAAAGAGACACATAGAAACAAGAGAGCGAAAGAGAAGCAGACCATAAAGGAAAAAAAATCGTAGTAGCCAACAGCAATATTTATCAATATTTTTTTGTGCACAACTGCACAACAATCTTATCATTTTTTTTATTTCTCTAGTTGGAATCAAATTGCTAGTAACAATATAACATCGATTCAAAGTCTCAATTAAAACTCGATTTAAGTACAAGTAACGCCAACAGCACTTTTATATTTCAGGTAGAACTTTTCTTATGCTACCCGAGCTAGTTAAAAGCAAAAATCGTTCCTTTTTTTTAGAATTTCTTATTGAAAATATTTTTTTATGAACTATTTGAAATCTTTAGAACAATCGGACTACTTTATATGGTTAGCTTTCTATTGAAATCGAATTCTTTTTTTTTTGCATTTTTATCTATTGTAACGAATTTAGTGTGAAATAAGAAATGCCATAGATGATTTGTAACGGTTGGAATAATTGAATGTTAACGTGCGGACTATGTCAAAGTGATAGGCAAAATTTCACCGAGAAAAGATTACAAAAATAGGAAGTTAGTAATGGAAAACAGATATTATAATATTACATTTATAACTAAATCACAGTATATACTCTAAGTATGTTATGAACACTCAACTTTTCATGAATTACTAGTGTATTTCAATAATTAGCATGCATACATATATATATATATATATATGAAGGAAAAAATGATATCCTATTTTTATCTCCTTATAGTAATACTAACAATAGATTGATTATTTGTGCTCATATTTTTGTTTCAATACAATGAAGTTCACTATTATAGTTTACTTTGTTTTGTTATTGAAATGTATAATGAATCAAGTACTATTTGGACACGGACGCAAGAAAATTATTTTTTTTAAATATTATTCTTATTGTCTAATATTGTATTTCGATAAGAAAGATGAATTTTTGTTCTTTTTCTTCAGTATCATCGTTAATTTCATTCTCAGATTTTATGAACATTTATCTAAGCGAAGAACTTGTATTATTTTGAAGCGATTGACAGCATACAGCATTTTCAACATGAATTATATTTAATAAAAAATATGATTCTTCTATTTGTACACAGTAACGAATAAGGTTAGGTAGGCTCTTTTAGGCTACGAAACTGTATTGTTACTTTCTATTTTTGCGAGATTTATTAAATATAACATTGATGGCATTAGACTGAAAGAATTAACCACTTGCCACGTAATTCTAGAAATCTCGTTTTCATTGAAAATTTTTCTAATGATAATGTTTGATTTCTAACTAGTTAATAAATAAAGTCACGTTAACAATCTATGAAGAACGGTGAGAAATCTCATTTTTCGATTTATACTATTGCATTCTATTTGCAGATTTTAGTATGAGAAATAAAAATGAATATAACGAAACAGGAAAAGAACTTCCTGTGAAGCGTTTTGTCAATCCGAAGGAAATGTCAAACGGCGGACTAAATTAATTGAACTTCACTTTAATTAGAATCATTTGATTACTTTTCATACGAGACACGTTCGTTTTTTTCACATAGATTTTCTTAATTAACATCTTTTTTTCTAAAGTTCATGAACAAAATCTTATTTCAGCATAGTTAAACGGAGCGTTCACATCTCATCACAACACAGTAACTTCAAACAAATACTTTTGATACACTCAATAATAATCACTTTTAAATATAGTCTTCATTTAGAGAGAGAGAGAGAGAGAGAGATTTTATAGCGTAGAATGGGAGTGCCCAACCGAATTCCGGAAATGTTTCAATAGAAAAAACAAAGCATGATGCTGCTTTTCTATACAATACATAGAGAGCGTTCGTTTGCTTTCATTACATAGATTTATGTAGAGACAGTTAAAATACAGGAACTTTAAAACTGCCGGCCTAGTCATGTTTCCTCTTGTAGAATTTTTCACATGTAACTCAACATCACTAACAGACTAACAAAAAAAAGGAGCATTTTCTTTCTCTATTCATAATTAACGTGTGAGTGATTGAAGATTGCAGCACCTCTTCTCTTTTGTTAAAACATGCATCCTTAGATTCGCCTTTTCGCGCTCATCATGAATCTCCACTTAGTTTCTCGATTTGACAAAACGCTCGTGGAGAAACGCGCAAGATACTAGGATGGTCTAAAAATCGACAAAAAAATTGTTTTACAACAAACAATGTGTATTTCTCTAGTGTTACACTTTTCACTCTCACCAATATAGTTTTCGAATTCCCCATGGAAAAATTAGTCTAACAGCAATATATATATATTGTTGCTGGACTTATTTTTCCATGAGGAATTCGAAAATCATATTGGTGAGAGTGAAAAGTGTAACATTTGAGAAATACAGGTTGTTTGTTGTAAAAAAAATTTTGTTGACTTTTAGTCCCTCGTAGTATCTTGCCTATTTGCCCACAAATGTTATGTCAAGTCGAAAAACTAAGGTGATTTTCGTGATGAGCACGAAAAGGGGAATCGAATGATGCATGTTTAAGCAGAAGAGAGAATGAGCTGTAACTTTCAGTTACCAGGCCTTCCAAAAAAATATAACGCTTTTAAGAAATAAGAAGCATTTAGGATGTAAAAAGCTTTTAAAAAGTTAAAAGAAAAAACTTTCCTTTATTTCTTTTATCCCAGTAGTAGTTTGTTCGGTTTAGATCAATCATTGAGTAGGGTAGCATATTTGCTTTTCATCTGTTACCTTTATTGAGTAAAAAATATCTAATATATTATTGAGGTAGTTTGCCTGCTTTCTCATCGATTAATATAAGGATAAAGAGGGTTGCGTTTACGAAATCGTCATAGATCGGATTGATTCTAATAGAACACTATAAATAACATCAAATGATAGTTCAACCATTTCGAATCTGACGGCTCATTTATTGAAGCGCAGGTGTTTCTGTTTATTATTGCAAAATCCAGAAAATATTTCAGTTTTCTTTTTTAAATCTAAGAGTATTTAGTGAAGATGAATTCATAACATATAATTACTTGTCTCTTCGACAGTCATGCAGATTTTAATTAAAACAGTCAAATGGACATGTTGAGTCGTATTTGGTGCAAGAAAAAACAAAAAAAATGATTTTTATTAAAGGTTATCAAGTTTGGAAAAATAAATAAATATATGACACAAATAGAATCATAGAACGCGTTTTTTACCTCAATATAGACCGAGAGAATAACTGCTGATCGGAGTGGGGTGGGGATGATGTGAGTCAAAATATAATTACTATTTTTCTTTAATATTAATAATAATTACAAATTACATTTACTCCTCCTTATTCTCTGTCTAGTTTGCTTCTCTTCGTCTTATTCTCGGGAGTAGCAGTAAAACGGAAGAAAAGGACAGAATGAACTATTTCGCTATCTTACGCATGCACTCATTTTCTTTACTCTCGCAAGTAATGTTCTCACTTAAAGCATCATTACTTTTCTTTGACTGTTTCTTAAATAGAATAATCAGAAAGAAAAGCCAACATGTACTAGTCTCTTTAACTTTTTGTTTCGTTTCTTGTTCGCTCTTTAGTATCATCGAATTATATATATAAAGGTGTCCTGACATCAATGGAAGCAATATATCTCAAACGTGAGTATATATATGTATCTGTATATGGCTAATTAGAAAATACGAGAAAACTTTCTTTGTTTTTTATTCAAATAATATATGGTGCGAGTAATTGAAGATTGCAGCATCTCTTCTCTTTTGTTAAAACATGCATCTCAAGATTCCCCTTTTCGCGCTCATCACGAATCTCCACTTAGTTTCTCGATTTGACAAAACATTTGTGGAGAAAAGCGCAAGATACTAAGAGGGTCTAAAAGTCAACAAATTTTTTTTTACAACAAACAACCTGTATTTCTCTAATGTTACACTTTTCACTCTCACCAATATAGTTTTCGAATTCCCCATGGAAAAATTAGTCTAACAGCAATATATAAAGCTTTATCGGATATTGCATGTTCAATCGGGCCAACGAGCACTTAGGGTCGCTCCGGTTTTTACTAGTGAATTTTGCAAACATATCTAGTTTTTCTTTGCTGGTGTAGAGAACTTCCATTCAATCGTTATTCGAAGCGCCATTTGATGAGCTACAAATGTGTAGCCTGGTTTTTATGCGGCTTATCTGTGCTGAGAAACCTGTTTTTCCCACGCCAGCCGTTGACTTGTCGAAAAATTAGCCATTTTTTCCACTTTTCCACTAAAAGAGATTTCTCTATGAGTCAAATGAATATCATATTCGGAGTCAGCATAAAAATTTGCATCGAATAAGCTATATTTTATCGAAAAGAAATTCTCTTCAAAATTCAATTTGTAGCGGGTACCACAGGGAAAACTTGAATTAAAAGTAGCTTGGGGGGAGTATAGGTCGAATTTTGAAGAAAATTTCTTTTCGATAAAATATAGCTTATTCGATGCAGATTTTTATACTGACTCCGAATATGATATTCATTTGACTCGGAGAGAAATCTCGTTTAGTGGAAAAGTCAAGAAGATGGCTAATTTTTCGACAATTCAACGGCTGGCGTGGGAAAAACAGGTTTCTCAGCACAGAAAAAGCAGCATAAAAACCAAGCTACGCATTTGTAGCTCATCAAATGGCGCTTCGAATAACGATTGAATGGAAGTTTTCTACACCGGCAAAAAAATAACTAGATATGTTTGCAAAATTCACTAGTACAAAGCGGAATCACCATAAATGTTCGTTTGCCAGGTTGAACATGAAAATATCCGATAAAGCTTTATATATTGTTGCTGGATTTATTTTTCCATGAGGAATTCGAAAGTCATATTGGTGAGAGTGAAAATTGTAACATTAGAGAAATACACATTGTTTGTTGAAAAATAATTTTTTTGCTGATTTTTAGGCCCTCTTAGTATCTTGCGTGTTTCTCTATGAACGCTTTGCCAAATCGAATAACTAAATAGATATTCGTGATGAGTGCGGAAAAGGGAATTTAATGATGCGTGTTTAAGCAGAAGAGAGAAGGTGCTGTAGCTTTCAATTACCAGCACCTTGTTGAACATGACATATTGTGATGAACCTATTATCCGTTCTGAGATCATTCAATAGCAAGTGTATGCAAGACAGGAAATAATTATTTTCTGTTTATTATAAAAATGTCTGTTCTCATTGTGAAATAGCTTCACTTTAATCTGAGACATTATACTAATAAATCGAATAAAATATATTTTTCAAGACAATGCCGATAGTACTGTTTTGTGAGGAAAGGAAAGCATTTAACACATATAAAATGTTTACGCACATATATTTTAAGTCATTCTAAATAATTTAGCATGTCTTTTTTTAGCCATGAGAATCTTAATTGATCATTCGTCATAAGAAATATTAACGAGCTTTCGACTCTGAGCTATTTTAAACATGCTCATCTAGTATCTAGTAGTTGTTTCCTGTTGTCACGTAAATACATATCCTCAAATATAAGCTGTCTGCTTTTTTATGCCGTTGAGTTTAAATCCAACTTTTTGGCGTACTTATCTGATCTGCGTCGTGTACTTCCGAATGTATTGCCAATAAAAATCAGCTTAGAATTCTTCTTCTTCTTCCTCCTCTCTAAATATAATCATTGTTTTTTGATGCATTAAATGTAATAGCCGTACAATAACATTTGTTTATAAACGATTATGAATGTGAGCTGTCAGTCGTGTTAGTTCTAGTATAAATACGTAAAAAGAAAGTTGCTATATAAACAAAAAATTCTTTCCATCGAGGATTGACAATAGTCCCACTCACATAACTTTAGTGAATGCAAATTCTCTTAATATTATAAATAAAACAAGGTAGACTATTAGTCTTCTTCATGAATAACATAGCAGATTGCTTGTGAAATAAAACCACATCAGAAAAAAGTAGATACATGAATAAATTACAATATTTGCAAATAGAGTAGGAAACTCTATCAGAATGTTTCGTCTTTTTTTTTTGTTCATAGCCTTTCCCATTGAATTATTTTCCAATATAATGTTACCATATTCACCAGCATCATTATCATTCAATAATTACAATTCCACAGCTACATATTCAACTTCAACATTAGCTCAACAGTTGTTAGTTGGTATATCTCAGTCCGTAGCTGAAACAAATAAAATGGATGTAAATTTTCATGATAATCATAATTCACTTGTTCGTTATAAAACCATCTATCGTAATTATCATGGTATTATATCAAGTTTTGTATGTATATTTGGTTTAACATGTAATTTATTCAATATAATTGTCTTAACTCGTCCACTAATGCGTTCGTCCACCAACACTATTTTAACCTCATTAGCTATATCCGATTTAATTAAAATGTTATTTGTTTTACCTGCAGCGATACTTTTTTATTGTTTACAAATTAGTGAACGTAAAAGCGAACCTGATTTTTCATCACGCTTTCAAGTTACATTTTATATGATACAAATGTTAGTTGCACTAACATTACATTGTATTAGTACATGGTATGGGTGAAAAGATTTTTTGTTGTCAAAAAAATTTAAATTGACGTGCGTGGAGAGTTTATTAATGTATGTAGACCACAAAGGTTCTCCGATGAATCTCCAATGAATGAGTAGCTATATAAAAACAATTTCCGTTTTCTTTTTTTTTTCTATAGAAAGCCATAGGAAAAAAACACTGACACAACTATTTTCTTTGTGGGGAAAAGATAAAATTTAATAATTAAAGTTACTTTGCAAATCGTATTCACTCATCATACATTATCTATTGTACCATATGCACTGAGAACTCTCCGTATCGTAATGCATGCTGCTTTTCTGACGCAATACAAATGAAAGAGAGCTATTAATACTAGAAAAAAAAACTGTTTACCCTGGCAAATTTTCTGTTCTTTTGTATCGTAATTATATCATTTTGAAAGATATGAATCCTGCTGAGCATGTATGATCTATGTAAATCTATTCGGTTTCAGGGGAAAACGACAGGTTCAGAAAAATGCCACACCGAACAATATCAAGAATGAAAACTGTAGAACAGAAAATTGGTGAGAAGTAAACACATGGAATGAGATTATAAGTAAATAGATAACCTATAACCATTTTAGTAATCATTTAATATGATTAACGCCATCGCCTCAAAATAGCTTTTGAATCTAATAGAATTATGGATTGAATCATAGAGCAAACTGTGTGTCGATTTTAAAAGATTGGTTTCTCATAGAATACCAAGATAAAAATAAATGATTTTCTTTACAACAATTGATTGAGAATTTCATGCAGAATACCCATAGATTCTGTCAGATTTTAATATAAAATTCTAATATTTCCGTACGTCCTTTTTTTTTATAAGCCTTTCATTGATGCTTCGAGTACATTGCTGATAATGGAGAAATCAATGTAATCCTACTGGAAAAAAAAACTTCTGAAACGATCAATTATAAATAATTTCATTATTCGACTTGATAGTATTACCGTTATGCCTTTGAACTCTGTATTAGTTTTGTAAATTGATCTCAAAATTCAATTATTTTCCCTTAAATATCAATTAAGATCACATTCTTTATCTACTTCATGAGACTCTAAGCTATAATCATTCTCTTATAGCTACTTGATTTATATCTGTTTGATAACAATTCAAATAATAATAGAAGCACGAAAGATTTAAGAAAGAGACAATCTAGAGTTCTTTACGTAGGAGACAGAAATAGTTTCGAATAATTTTTAACAGGATATATTTTACTTATCTAATCCGATTAAATTCCGATAAAAACTTAACTATACATGAATTTCTATCGCCTTGTTTTAACTAACCATGATACAGATTTCAATATTGTGTTCTTTTTCATTTTAGGCTGACAGTTCTTCTCGCTGCTTTTCGTTTTGTATTTCTGAGCTGTAGAAGTCTAACAGGCTATGTTTCAAGACCAGATCGTGCATTGATGGGTGTTATTACAGTAGTTGTTGTTTCCACAATTCTTTGTGTACCATCATATGTAGAACATCGTATTGTTAATAATTGTACGAACGATACATTGTCATTACCTTCATATCGTTTTGAAGAAACAAGACTAAGTGAATATTTATCGTTGCGTAGCACTGTATTTGTTTTACACGCTGTTATATTTAAATTGATACCATGTATTTTACTGCTTTTATTCAGCTTTTTATTAATTCATCAATTAAGAAGTGCATTAGCAAAAGCTGAGATAGTTCAAAAACATTCTGCAACACCAATAAATCTTACGAATAATGGACGCTTGCGTGGGCGTAGACATGAAAAAGAAAATCGTCGTACAACATTAATGTTAGTTATAGTTTGCGCTCTATTTCTAATTACAGAATTACCGCAAGGTGCAATATTACTGTTAGCGTTTCTTTCAAAACAGAGATCAAACGATTATTATGAAATCTATCAACAACTTGGTACGTTAAAAAAAGAGAATGTTTTTCTTTTCTTTCTATTACGATTCGCTTTTTTATTCTAGGTGATACCTTTGATATATTAGCATTAATTAATAATTCCGTCAATTTTATTCTCTACTGTTTAATGTCACGTGCATTTCGTGACACATTTAAACAAACGTTTTGTATTTCTTTTCAAGAAATCGATCATCGAGATTCAAGATTTTCAATTACACAGATTTCGGTAAGAAAAAGTCAACCCGAACAGTTAAATACATCAATACATTGTGAAGCATTATCAAAATCTAAATGTAGTATTTATCAACGAACAAGCAAACCAATAGTTGAAGAGAATAAGAATAAAAAGAAAAAAATCTCACTACAATGTTTTAATCATTTAACAACAGTTCCATTACTCAATGATGATACATCAAATGGTTTGCAAAAACACAATTCATGTCCAAAATAAATAGATTTATCTCTGTTTTGTTTTTCAGTAAACATAAATAATAATAAAAATAATAATGCAAACTATGAAAATTTATTTACACGAGATGTTTATATATATCAAATGAATTTTTTGCAAAATCTCCTGTAGAGTAAAGAAATTTATTTATTAACTTTTTCATAAATAAAATTGAACAGTATCAGCGTTGTTATGCATGACGTCTCATTTTCTATATGGAAGAAATCTAAATTCTATTACTGATTCTTTCAGGATTTCACACGTAATTAGGATTATTGTTAAATTGTTGATTACTGTATAACTACTACTGATTCAGTTAACTATCCTTTTCGAATTAAAACAAAAATTCATTAGAAAAATAAAAACAATGAATGCTCAAAACAGTACTATATTTTTTCTTTTATATTTAAAAGAATATTTTATTTTATATATATTTCTCTCGGAATGACAAGAATCTTAATGTTACTTACAGAAAAAGATACACATGAAATACACACAAACAATATGATTTAATATATTTTCAATTCGCTTTCTTCTTTTTGATAGGTCATCAGTTTTTGCTCGTTGGACATTCAATTAAATTAGTTAATATCGTGAACACAATGTTTCAATACTAGATAATCTCACGTTAATTATTGTAATAATCTAACATGAATACTCATTATTGGGTATATATATGTGACTGTGTATGTATGCGAATTTTTTTCCCAGTTTTCAACAACATAGAGAAATGCGAACCGACCTGATTGATAGACTTTGACACATCGCTTCATAATTGCATAAGTGACTCACATTAATTAAAAAACTGACAGTTTTGACGTTGATTTTATGATGAATATTCACTGAGACTTTCATTAAAAATAATGAATTACAAATTCTACAATCATTTTCTGTGACGATATTTTGCTCGAGTATACCCAAGTCGAACAGTCCGGCCTGAAAACGGCCGGTTTCGGTTAGTTTCGTTGATTTTGTGGAAGCAGTATTCCGGTTAGAAAATTTTCGGATTTTTTTCAGTGATTTCCAATCAACTCCTGCCGGAAAGCACCGGAACTTGGCAGGAATCCGTCGGAAACGTCTAGCCGTATATTTGACCGGAATACTGCTTCCATGTTCCATCGATTTCGCGTGTTTTCCTGCAGGATATGGTGAGTTTCCTGCATATTTCCTGGAGTATCCTACGAGATCGGGTGACCGGAATGTTCGACCTGGGTAAGTAACGCTTTGAGTAATTTTCTTTCAACCTTTTTTATTTATCAAAAACATATAATGTAAATCTATGGCACAGAGTAATCGATTCCAAATTGAAACATCTATGTTCGTTTAATACTAAAAGATTTTTAATTTTACCATCATTCAATTCAACGGTAACTATAAATCTTTACACAACCATTTTTTTCTTAACAATCGGCAAGACTGGTTTGGTATGCGTTATTAAAGGCAAACTATTTCATAACTGACAGTTGATCTTTGATTTTTATTGATTTTTTTCACATTTTGCAGTTGAAAAACAAAAAAATTCTTTCACGTCTATTGAATAATTATGTTTCTCTACTACAAAACCTTGCTGCACAACAAGGGAGTGTAATTTTTTACTTTCCATTGACGTTAAATATAAAAGAAACAATGCTTTTAATTTTAATTCTACTATGGCTATTCGTTGCAACAGTTCATGCAGGTCACTATAAAGAAGTGTAGATATATGTAAAGAAAACAATGATTACATCAGTGTTTAATCTTCTACGATGGAACCATCACTTGGAAATCCGTTGATCCCTATAGTAATCCTAGTACGATTCGAATTATTATTTCTCAATCACATTTATGGACACTGCGTCGTCTTGCGTGTAATCAAGCATTAATTGATAGTTTAGGTTGGTATGCAGATGGTGGTCGTTGTGGCGATATTGATGGCACGCTTCGATGATTCTCCTTCCTTCTCTTTCTGTTGTCTTTCCATTGTTCCAATGTATCTCTCTCCTATATATACGTGCGTTATGTATGAAGTTGTTACACTCTGGAGATGTCCGATGACACAATACACCATCATGCCGACGGGCATAGGCGGCACTCTCTAGTTTTGTCGTTACACTCTGGATAACTTGCAGTAGCCTAATAAACATCATTGCCGAGAGTGGCACAAGCTACTCCAATCAAGTTGTTCGTTACAGGAGTGTATGTCGGCTTCGATTTATATTAATATACTTTTAAAATTTGTTTTCTCAACAAAAAAGAAAAAGAGAATAAATTTTGATTCAAGTGCCAATAATGACTTAAAGCGAATATCTACGTGAAATTGCCATTACTCATTACAACAATTGAAAGAAGATACCAGATAGCACAGTTACATCAGCTAACAAGATGTACGGTTTTGCAGTTCTACGTTTCATATGTCAATTTATATTGCACTAAATGCTGTGAGAAGTAACACTATTATATATGTTTTTGAATTTGACCATAAAAGAAACTATAAAAATATGTGTGAATAGGTTTGTGAATACAGATTTTGGGAAAACTTTTAAAGGCACATGTTTTGAAAAAAGGACCAGACTCTATGATTTTTTCTGTGCAGAAATTTTCACAAAATAGATGCTATCGTGATTATTTAGAGTCATGCAGCTATATACAGGCAAGCTAGTGAACGTACAAAACGTACATATATTTATAGAAATTGTCTTTTTTCAGATTATTTATTGGTCGAAAACATGCTGATCTTAACTAATAATCAAAAAAGGAATCCTTTGAAGAGAAGTGATGGAGATCGAGCAAGCGCGACACCAGACAGATTCAAGAATCTGAAAGATTTTAATTTTCAGATTAAAATAATCGAATGGAATAAAATGAAAAAATACTGAAATTCATTATTAAGAAAAAGTAAATAATAAAAAAATACACTGTATGATGGATTTGAGTCACAGTTTCAATTTATGCCGCACATTTCACCCTGAAGTGCATTGTGCCATTGCTAGACAACGTATGCCGTACTTGGCGGTGGATTTTATTCTAATGTGATTATGTTGAGTTTTAATTATTTTTTTTACAGTTCTGATCTCACATACGGGAAAAAATATTAAACGGAAGTGTTGAATAATGATTATTTTTCTTAACAAGTTGAGAATGTGGAAAGCATTGACGTCATTCGCATGGCAACTTGTATATTTCTTGTAGTTTAGCCATGCACAAAAAACTGTCGAGATTCAACTAGGTGAATTGATATGGTATTAATTATATATGTCACAGTTGACATGGGAATTTAGTTGAGATTGGAATGCAGGAAAAAGAAAATTAATTAGAAAAACGAAAAGAAAAAACATAACAAAGAGACATTCGCTGAGAGTGATTTCTTTTTTAACGTATTACAAAATAATTTATTTAAAGAATTATTTGCAAACACTGAAATATTAATCTTATTGTTTCAAAATGTGTTATTATATAAAATTTTATTTAGATTTAATAAAGAAAAAAAAAGTATTCAATAAATTTTGTTTTTGTGAATATTCTATTTTCTTGCTTATATGAGTCATATCATTGATTATTCTCTTTTGTTTTATTTATGATTTGGTATTATAAGGAAGTAAAATAATTGGTTCGTCCATGTAAGATAATTTACCAAAATTTTTTTTTCAAAATTGTTTCAAAATTTTAGTTTTTTATTTAAGCTGTCTAATAAAATTTATTGACCGATACATTTGACAATCATTCATTGATTAACTTAATTCTTATTTATTGATTGTTGTTGCTATGAAACATACGAGAGGTAAACATAAATTATGTCGAAGTTGTAATTATTTAAGTTATTATGTTTTGTCTCGAAACAAAAGTCGTGTCAACATGAATATTTTTTATCAAAAACTTGAATCATATATAAATAGCATTGATGTTAAGAAACAAACGAATTATACAATAAAGAATGATATGTATTTAGATATTTTGAATGTTCTTAAATCACAAAATGTAAATCAATTATCTAAATTTAAATCTGGGTTAGAAATACTTTTCGTCTAGTTCAAATAGGGCTATGTGAATTGATTTATGCAACTAAAAATAATCTTCCATTAATAGCACATGAAAAAGTTTATGAATGCCACATCGCCGTTGGTCATTCTGGTCGTGATAAAACTTGGGCTGAAGTTAGATTAGTTGTTTTATTCACAATAATTCTTATTATCTTTTGATCTAGATTAAAACTCGATATGCTGGCATACCGCAACAAGCTATTTCTATCTTTATTAACATGTGCGACGTCTGTCAAACAAGATGATCGTTTCCAAAAGCGACGAGTGGTAAACCAATTATCTCTATTGGCTTTTTAACTCGTTTGCAAGTTGATTTAATTGACATGAGAAGTATAAAACATGATGGATTTAATTTTATTGTGCATGCCAAAGATCACTTTACAAAATTCAGCTGGTTATTTGCATTACCATCAAAAGAAGCCCATCATGTTGCACTTCATTTAAGAAATCTTTTTTTATACATTTGGTCCTCCGAAAATTCTGCAAAGTGATAATGAAAAAGAATTTGTGTAAGAATTAATTTTAAACTGATAGTATATTATTATATATTTATTAGGGCAAACATTATTTTGAATCTCAAGTTGAATTGGCCTGATCTAATTATCATTAATGGTCGTCCAAGACATCCACAAAGACAAGGATTGGTCGAAAGAGTCAATGCTGTAGTTCAAAAAATGTTAGGAAAATGGCTTGAAACAAATAAATCACTTGATTGGCCACAGGGATTCGGTATGTAGTATATAATAAATTGATTTTGAAATTAATAATTGGTACTGTAACGAAATTGTTAAGGATTTGTCATGCTTGCAATGAATAATTGTATTTCTCAAAGTACAAAAACAAACACCTTATGAAATGGTTTTTGGTCAATCTGTACGAAATGATCATGATTTCTGGTTACAACTTCATCAACAGTCCATTAATAAAACAATCGTTGACGAAGAAGAGTTACCTGAATCACTTGCCGATAATTTAAATTTAAATGATCATTCAGTGCGTATTAACATTCATTGTTTACTAGTTACAAATATACATTTATATTCTTTTTTCAAAGTTAATTGATAATAATTCTGAATATGCTGATGCTTGTTCACCAATTCCAATATTATCAACGAATACATACGTGCTTCAAAATGATAAGTAAGAATTTTATTTTTATGCAATTAAATTTATATTTTTTTATTGCATGTTAGTAATGATACTCAAACATCACACAAACGAATTCGTGAAGAAGCTGAAAAAAATTATATTCGTACTACAGGTAATATTTTCCTATTTAAAATAATATTATGCGTGTTTATTTGCAAGTAACATTTATCGACATCGAATGTCGATTCACTGAGCCCTAGACGGACAGAACTCAATAGTGAAAATCAATTAATAGCAGAAATTATTGTTGATTTGTGTTAGAAGGGGATGCTGATATTTCCGAAGGGGCGGCAGATAGTTCAATAAACACGACAATGATGTCCTGAGAGTGGAAGGACCGCGAGGAGACAGAAATCTCATATTACTATAAAACCGTTTGCATCTGCAATTTTACAAACGGTTTGTCACTAGGGCTAACTCTTCTGCGTGTCCTTCTGGCGAATCTGGCCATGATTTCTACCTCAATAATGCTTATTTTTGCACAAAAAAAAAGGTCGCTTTGTGCTACAGAAATGATCACTTATACCATAAATATGGTCATTTCTATCTTAGAAATGGTCGTTTGAGGAACACAAATGACCATTTGTGCTATGGAACTGGTCATTTTTGCCATAAAAATGGTCATTCGTGCTTCAGAAACGGTCATTTATGCCTCAGAAAAGATCATTTATGCTATAGAAACGATGGTTTGTGCTTCAGAAATAGTCAGTTGTGTCATGAACATGGTCATTTATCCCTTGGAAATGGTCATTAATAGACCTGACAAAATGAAAAATGTCTGTTTGGCTGATTTTGCTTTATTGTATAATGTGTCAAAGAAAAAAGCAGACAATGCTCGAATTACGGAAAATTCTGATGATGAAGATATCATTGACAATGCAATTGATGAAAAAACTATTGCTTTAAAGATGAAAAATGGAAAAGGTTGGATTAAAAACAGGAAAAAGAAAAAAAAATAATAAGATG